AAAAAAACAATCTGCCTGCGTATTCTGAAGCTTTGCTGCGGTGAAACGGCCTCTCTGAGAGTCATGCTACACCGCCGCTGCTGCTGCGCAGAGCTTGTGCACGATTGAAACCTTTTTCAGAACAGCAAACATGAATGTCATCTGTCAGGCTGAAAGCTTCAAAAGGAGCTCAAATAGGAGCCCTGATGCCACAACAACAGGAAGAGAAAGGTAAAGCTCTGAAAGGGGAGGTTTCGGTCTCAGCCGGGAGACTTTTCCAACTCCGTCCTTCTGCTGATTTGACCAAAAATCGTTAAAAATTCAAAGTAAAGCCACGTTTCCATTCGGATGCCTGAGATTTTTAACCAATTCAATTACGGCCAAACTTATATGAAAGTAGGGCTGCACAATATATCGTAAATATATCGTTATCGCGATATCAGCATGCACAATATGCATATGGCAAAGAACAGATAAATATCGTAATGAATGGTCGGCTCAAATGTTTGCTACACATAACGCTTTCTGTAAGTCAAACGAAAGTGTCACATTTTTTTTTACAAATCAAATAGAGCTCTTCGCCCATTTGGCCAATCGGGTGGGTTCTCATGGGTTAGAGTCCCGCCCCCAAGGCGGACGGCCCTTAATTTTGATGGTTAGCGAACACCTGAGTTAGCTTAGTTCTGCTCTTTCTGCCTATTCTGCTTTTCCCGGGATCCACTCATTGCCTTTTCTTGTTTATTTTCTTTTTCCCTTTCCTTTTCACATCTTTTGCTTTTCTCGTTTTTATTACTTTGTATTTCTTTGTTTTTGGTTATTTTAGTTTCTGAGTTAAGTTTTTACTTATCGCAAGTAATATCGTCATCGCAATATTAATCACTGTTATCGAATATCGCAGGTTTTCCTAATATCGTGCAACCCTATATGAAAGTAAATCCAATAAAAGACTAATTCCAGCACACTGACGCGGCTTCATTATAGCAACACGAGAAGCTCGTGTGTCAGCAGATTTAGAGTAAATTTCATTAGGACGTTATTAATAAAACACACTCTCGGACGTCGCAGCCACCCGGAGAGCTAAATCTGGTTTAATTATTACCAACTGTTCAGATAGTAGCCTGCTGGGATGCCGGCGCTAACCGTTTTATGGTCTGGGGTGTTTCTAAATGGTAACTGTCTTATCTGCAGTTTTCCTGCACATCATTAACTTTGACTGTGACCCCGCCCGACCCCAGACAAGCATCATTTCCTGGAGGTGGGTGTAGCTCAAAAGTCTTCTTCTGGTGTCTAAACGTGCGTGTGTGTGTGTGTGTGTGTGTGTGTGTGTGTGTGTGTGTGTGTGTGTGTGTGTGTGTGTGTGTGTGTGTGTGTGTGTGTGTGTGTGTGTGTGAACATGCGTCAGTAACAGACAAAAGAATGTAAATTTTGTAATCATGTCTAAACCGACGCCAGGAATGTAAACACTCGTGCGAAACAAAGGCCAAATTTGTTTCAGTTTGCAGTTTAAAGTGGAAAATAACATGTTTTCTGAAGGTAGGATTAAATAAACAGAGGCTGGTGGAAGCTGTGTAGGTGGAGGGAAAACGATAGCACATTCACGGGCAGTGCGGCCTGGCAGCTCTGTGTGGTCGGGCTGCAGTAATTACACGTCTGTCGCTCGGGTCTAAGTTCTGCGAGACAAAGCGTTTCCTTCGAGCGGCCTTACCATCTGGATCCTCGGCCGGCTGGATGCTCATGTAAGGCTCGCCCTTGTCCAGTCTGGACTGCCTCTGGCGGCTCTCCTCCTCCAGAGCTGCCTCGGCCCGGCTTTTAGCGTTGACATAGGCCAGGTAGGCTGGCGAGTTGTGATAGGCCTTCATGCTCTCATTATACTCAATCTGCAGTGGAGAAGAGGACAGGAATGACGAGGAAACAGAAAAAGCAGCGAGGCTCAACCCTTGTTTCTATCTAGAGGAAGAGGAAAGAGGTTTACTCGGGCCTGATGGACAGGAAGGAAGGAAGGATGACTGAGTGGACCCACAACTGTTGGGGTCACAGCTACAGGTCACCCATCAGACAGAAAACAAAAACAGCAACATCCCATAAACACCCCCTTTTGTAAAACAACCAACCTTCTCTGCTTCGTAGTCATTCAAATAATCCTGTTTCTCCTCATCAGTGAGGTCCCTCCACATGCCACCGATTATCTTCCCAATTTCCCATAGCTTCAGATCAGGATTGGAGGCTTTTACTTGATCCCAAACCTGGTGATGAGAACCAGACATGGGTATGGGGGTTGGGTTGGGTTGGAGGGGCTATAAGTGGTTATCTCTTTGCAGAGAGGTCACAAACCAGAGGAGGCCGTGTGCTTTAAGCTCCATCTCCAAAGCTGCTAAACTCCCACTGTGGCGGCCCTAGCTAAGCTCTGGCTTCGCGCCTTGTCACAACATCAAATGTACATCTGAGTCTAAGCTCACAGCACGCCTTAAACAGCAGCACACACGGTGATGCGGAAAGCATCGATTTTACACGCTCCACGCACCTTTCGACTGTATCTCATGTATGGCATCAGCGGCTTGTCGGGTGGTTTGGGAGGCTTTGGGATGTTTATTCCAGAGGAATTCTGGTTAGGAAAGAAGAAATTCATTAGAGGATGATGGAAGCCGTTCAAAGAAGGCCTCAAGTCTGGTCTCGTAATTACTCATTTAAATAGCAAGTCACTCCAAATCAACTTTTTCTTTGCTGATAAACTAAATAAACGAGTGTCTGATCGTGCTGCAGACACGTGTAGTCAATAATTCGGCACTTTAGTGCATTTTAGTTAAAATTTAAATTTTCTGCCTAAAACTGTCAGCGATGCACCGTCGTCAGGCAAAAACTCAGCGCTGCATTTGAATTTAAATCTGCCGTCGCTATTGGCTAAGAGGTACCCTATGATGTTTGATGGTACATTACGATGTCACAATGTCGTGAGTGTGTGTATTTGTTAGCGGCTCCGCCCTCTCGGTCTGCTAAGCAACAGCATTTGTTGCATTTTTCAAACAGGAAGTGGGAGTGGAGTAATAGTCTGGTAGGGGGTGACTTGCTCTTTAAATAGTTGTAGCAGTTCTACGGTAGATACAAAACATTAAGGCGAAATTCTTTGCACTAAATCTCCCTCACATAAAGTGACTTCAACAGCTTCATTCTCTACATCGTCAATTCCTTCTAGAATGAGCCGCTTCGGGGCTCTGTCACTTAAATGGTAAATGGCCTGTATTTGATATAGCACCTTCTAGAGTCCTGGAACCCCCCAAGGTGCTTTACAACACAGTCAGTCATTCACCCATTCACGCACACATTCACACACTGGTGGGGATGAGCTACGATCAGGGTCCGAAATTAACACTCGCCACTCGCCAAATGCGAGCCATTTGGCGAGTAGATTTTTGAGCTCTATCTGCCACATAGCGAGTAAATGTTTGCACCAAATTAGTTATGTTTATCAGTCATCTTCCATGGATTTCTGTGATACTCCTCCCGCCTGCATGCAATGTACACAAACATACGCGAAACGTGAGCGCCGCATCCAACGTCACTTCCGCCTATCCCATTCAATCAGTTTATCAAGTTAGCAGTTAGCTTAGTGTTAAAACTAGCGGTGAAATGTGGCGGTTTTTAACTGGAGTCAGCCAGCCTTCCAAAAGAAAACTCGTCGAACTGGAAGAAAAACCACCAGGACCAGTGGCAACCAGAAGATTTTGTGAAAAGTGGCGAACTGGAGATGGCGGAGTCGTGACACACTGGCTACATTATGAACCAGAATCTGCGCAAATGAGCTGCACCGTTTGCCGCCAGCACGCTCGAGAGAAGAACTAAAACAACTCGTTTGACATAGGAAATAAGACGATGAAGCTTGAGACTATTCGAGAACATGAAAACAGCAAGTGCCATATTGCCTGCACATCCATGTCCCGGGCTCAATCTGAGGGTTTGGCTTGCCAATAATTTCCTTACGCTAAATGATTCTAAGTCTGAGGCACTCCTGATGACCCCTAACAAAACAACACAAGTATCTTCTGATTTGGCCACTCTCCCTTTTGACCTCAAGCAGTGTGTTACCAACCTTGGGGTGAAAATTGATACACAGTTTTCCACGGGCCCTCAGATTAACGCAGTGGTCAGATCGTGTTTTTATCAGCTGCGCAGACTAGTCCGTTTAAAACCGATCCTGAAAGGAGCACACCTGGAATCCGTAATCCATGCTTTTATCATCTCTCGACTGGATTATGCAAATTCCATTTTAATTGGTTTACCTGCCTCCGCTCTTAACAGGCTTCAAGTCGTACAGAACGCGGCAGCCATGTTTTTAACAAACACTCCTAGGAGAGAACATATCACACCTGTACTGGCGCGGCTCCACTGGCTACCCGTAAACTTTAGGGTCAAGTTTAAAATCCTGACTTTTGTTTTTAAGGCCCTGAACGGTCTGGCACCGGATTACCTGTCGGATCTTGTCACTAGGTATGTGCCAAACCGGGCGTTGAGGTCTGCTGATTGCCTGCTGCTTCGTGTTCCATTAATGAAATACAAAACGCGGGGGCAGCGTGCTTTTGTCTATGCTGCTCCGACACTATGGAACGCACTTCCTCTTTCGGTGAGGCTGGCACCATCCCTCCTCCGGTTCAAATCGCTGCTGAAGGCTCACTTTTACGACCAGGCATTTTTAAATCCCTGACTTTTATTATTTTATTATGTGTCTTTTTATTGACTGTAATTATCTGCCTTGTTGTGCATTTTATTGTCGACTGTGTATTGTTTTATTTTGTGTTTTTACTTTTTATTCTGTACAGCACTTTGGTCGGCTGCCATGCCGTTTTTAAATGTGCTTTATAAATAAAGATGGTATGGTATGGTGACACCCACGGTCTCGGCGCTAATGGCTATGTCAGAGAAAACAAGGAGTCTGACTAGATTTCAATTAAAGAGTTCATAAAAACATCTCTAAAAAATAAATAAATAGTAAAATGACAAAAGAGTTGTTTTTCTTATTAATTGATGTTTTAATTATTTTGTCACTCCTCTCTGTTTGGAATCAACATAACATAGAATAACATGCTTTAGGTAGATCTAAATCATTTAGAATTTTGGCCGGTAAAAAAATATGCTTGGCCGGTAGATTTTCATCATCTACCAGCCAACTTGGCCGTGAGTCAAAAATTTTATTTCGGACCCTGGCTACGACGTAGCCACAGCTGCCCTGGAGCGCACTGACAGAGGCGAGGCTGCCGAGCACAGGCGCCACCGGTCCCTCGGACCACCACCAGCAGGCAAGGCGGGCTAAGTGTCTTGCTCAAGGACACAATGACAGAGACAGACTGATAGGAGCTCGAACCTGCAACCTTCCGATTACGGGGCGAGCACTTAATGGGCTCGACACACAGGAGGCGACATCGCCTCTCCTCCATACATTTTCAATTAGACATGCGCGACAAAGCGATAATCGCGGGTCTCCCTCCTACCAAGGGAAACGCGGAAAACGTGCGTACGAAATTTTGCGCTCGTGCACGTGTCGTGCACAGGCGACCCAGCGACGCGATCCCAGAAACTTGAAACATTTTCAACTTTTCATCGCTGTCGCTCGGACGAGGACCAATCAACAGAGGTTTCATTCACTGACCAATGAGCGGACAGGATGCTCCGTACATCTCCGAGCAAACATGGAGGAGAAGTTGATTATTATTATGTTTTATAGTAAAATCAGAAGTAAGATTTCACATAACTCTAGCAGCGCCTTGTGAAACATCATATCTACCGCTTTATTAACTCTGAACCGCTTAAATAACCTTAATTCCCTCCAACCTGACACAGCCAAACAAAACAACGGAAGTTTCGATTTCGCCATGGAACAGAACGCGTAGACGGCTTTGCCACTGCTGCGGATCGCCTCCTGTGTGTCAGGTAATAAAAGCGACGGCGACAAATTTCGCTGATCGCGGTCATTTGTCGCCTCCCGTGTGTCGAGCCCCTTAACTCCTGGGCCACCGTCGCCCAGACAAGCTGGAGCTGGCCACGACCACCCATCCCATGATTGGCTCCCATAAGGAGGGGAACCCACCATGTCTACTGGTTGGGGTTGGAGTAGGGCTGGGCGATATGACGATTTTAGACCGTTTTACGATCTACACATCTGACAGTCTGTCATTTGAGACCTTTTTATCACGATTCACAGCTCTGCTGTTGAAATTCTGCCTCTGAATGAAAAGGGAACTTAACTCCGGCGAATGACACGCCTTTGTCTGACCCTTAACCAATCAGAGTGAGTCATAGTAATATATTAGTGCCCCGCTTGTTTTCACCTGTGTGTGAACAAACATGTCTTCGGCCACGGCTGAGAGCGACAACGAGGTTTTCGTTCCGAAGAGGAACGCCTCGTCCGTCACCAGATGACAAAGAGCAGCGAAACGTCATTTACAAGGAGAGCGTCAAGGCAAGTGATGGCAACACCACAAACTTGTTGAATCACTTGAAAAGAAGGCATCCCAAACAATACAACGAGAGCCAGCTGGCAGCTAAAGCTAAAAAGCCTGCGGCTGCAGCGGCTAGCGCTTCTTCCAGGCAGCAAACGCTAACAGAAACACTCACAAAACTCACTCCTTACGGCAGAGACAGCAGACGATGGAATAGCGTGACAGATGCAGTGACGTACCACTTGGTTAAAGATTTGTGTCCCGTGCGAACAGTAGGAGTGGGATTTAAGAAAATGATAAAAACATTGGATCCGCGCTACGAGTTTTCCAGCCGCAAGTATTTTTCGAACACCGCCATTCCACGCATGTACGCTGAATGCAAAGTGAGAGTTGCAGAAAATATTCAGAATGCGCAGTTATTTGCTACCACAAGCGACCTCTGATCCAGCCGCACATCAGAGCCGTATTTGAGCTTAACTATCCACTACATGAGCAACTGGGAGCTACATAGTATTTAGAACAAGTTAATGTTTGCACAATACGTTTGCAATTGACATGTTTGCACTTTAAATATGTTTATGATTTTAATTTATGTTAAGTTACTTGAAAAACGAGAAAAACTGATTTTTGTAATTGTTTCTCTCAGGGCTTTTATCGTCTCTGGTGTGAGTTTAAAATATAAGTGTGTTAGCACTGTGTTGATTATCCCCAATATGAATAAATGTTTATTTATTCAATGTTTTTCTTCTTTAATACGCAATTGAAGTTATGCTATTCATGGATAAAAAATCGTGATAAAATCGAAATCGTGATAAAATATTGGAAAAATCGTGATATTCTATTTTTGCCTATCGCCCAGCCCTAGGTTGGAGGGACCAGTGGTGCCAGCGTTCAGCAGCTTCGCTTCTGTCAGTGAACCCGGGGCTGCTGTGGCTACGGTGTAGCTCACCACCACCAGTGTGTGAATCACTGGTTGTGCTGTAAAGTGCCTTGGGGGGGGGGGGTTCTAGGACTCAAGGATGCGCTATATAAAAACAGGCCGTTTTTAAACTCTTGCTGTTGACAGAAAACTGGGGGTTGTGGAGGGTTAACTTCAAAATGTAGTCATTAAACGTCTGATGCTGCATTCACTGACCTCTGCTGCACCCCCCCCCCCCCCCCCCCCCCCAAGCCAGTCCTATTCGTCAAATGTCACATTTGTCACTGGATACATCGCGAGCTTCAAAACATCAGACTCACACGTAGCCCAACTTTGTCCTCTGGAACGTTGGAACATGGAGAACAAAGCCAGCTGGGAAGTCCAGTTGATCGAGCCAACAGCGCTTGACGGACAAATCTATTCTAGAATATATTCGTCAATTCTCACAGTGTTTCTCAGCTTGGCTAGTCTCAAACAGCGTGACTCAAGTTGGACCTGGAGCAGAAATCAGAACCATCTGCTCGCAGCTGGAATAAAGATGAGAAATGTAAACGCCGACAGCGAAAGTGTTCTGCTTTGTTTTTGTTTTCCATGAACCAAGCTGCAATTTCGCGCTTACAAACAACCAAAGTTGTGATGTTTCTAGTGGCATTTTCCAATGCGTGTCACGCTGACTTCATTTAGAAACCATGTCAACTGGTAGTGAGAAAAAAAGGTCTTTTTAATGTGTGGTTAAAGTGTCCTGGAGAGACATTTGCAGTGGAGTAAACTGAAGTCTGTGTTTTTACCGAGACATTGGCCAAACAACAAGCTGAGCAATGTGAGGCTTCTTTTAAGTGATTGCAGCTCAAATAAAGGATCAATCCATCTACGATCGGTACAGTTTTAGATTTAGTTCAGCTCTTAATGTTCCTGTTCTCACATCAAATACGTTTTTATTAAGCTGTAATGTCTCAAAACTCGAGCAGGAATCTTTTCACAGACGTTTCTGTTCTGCTTCAAATTCTAGAGAACAGAACAAACTCGATGATGAAACCCGATCCCCAGACCCATCGTCCTCAGTTCTTATCACTTCATTAAAGTCATTTAATTAATGACAGTTTGAGGCCAAGCACAAGCCAGTAACCCCACAGAGAGCAATAAAATACTGCAGCCGTTGAACAACAACATAAAAAATGAAGACACTAAGAAAAAATCTCACTTAAGCTGGGATTTTCCCACTGTGAAACATAATGCCATTATCAGAGTCGGCCAACCACAGCTTGCGTGCGGCGACTAAATTACTGCGCAGCAGCCGGGGCCATGTCGAGCAGCGAGCCTGCAATGCCATGGCAACGCTGAAGGCATGGATTACTCAACGCGGCTGTTAGAAATGCTGATTTTGAAAGGCAGCTGGTATCTGAGGACACAGAAAGACTCTCGACGTCTCTGTTTTGCGACGCAGGCGGCGGAGTGAGTTTGGAACGTCTCAGTTTCAATCGCAGCAATCGAATGAGGTCAGCTTGTTCAGGGTTTTTCCTGCGTTCAAATTAGCGTGGCGGCCGCCTCCAGCTATGTTTGTGCCGCCCCAGCCTGATGTCACTCTGCCCCCAGCTTTATGGATGTTATTTTAACTGCAGTTGCAGCGTTGCGCCACTATAGGGGCGCTGTATCAGCAGCAGTGCACCGAAAAGTGCTAAAACAGCTGCAGACAAAGATCAAAAATTGTTTTTCTCGCTAGTTGGTACAGATCTACGGTTGGTGCTATTGACGTCCTGATTTTCCCCCAGGCTCTTCCATATCAGAGCAGGGCTGTAACTGTGTGCGTGTGTCTATTTTTAAACGTCGCACTGGTGCAACATCTTTGAATTACTATTTTTCCCAGAACTTTATTGTAAGAAAAATGCTTTTTACTGGCTCACAGTGTGGTCATCTGGATGCAGTGGAGGAAAATAAAGGAACCAGCAAAGGCAGAACCGGTCCAAAGTCTGGGATCAAAAGTGCACCTATTGGCTAATGCTAAAGCTAACGGGTAGCAGTCTCACGATCAAGTGGCGCACAGAAAAACACATGATCATAAAACTAAGAATGACTAAACTCTACAAGCAGAGGAAAAGTCCCCACCATCCTGTTTATTCTGCATCCTGCAGCGCTACGGATCAGAAGTCACATTACTGCTACAATGCTACGGCAAGCCGTTGTAGTATAATTCACAGACGCTTCTATCTTTGAACATAAATTGAACTGGATTATTGCCAACCCGTACATAATAGACATGCCACCATTACATTGTTAGCAGCAGAAATTAAATGTTATTAACATTTCTATTAGGGATGCAACGATACCACATTTTCCAAAACGATACCAATACTGGGATCTGAGTACTCGCCGATACCGATTACCGATACCTATACTTCTACCACACAAAAAAATTCAATGATTTGAATACAGATTTTATTTTCTTCTCTGCTTTCAACAGGAAAAGACTGTGAGGTAGATAAAAACTAAAAAGTAAAATATATGAATAGAAATCATCACAAAACTAAAATATTAGGTGAACAGAAATGACAAGTTACAGTGAAGCCATTTTCAAGCAGCTGCATTGGTATCGGTTCCTGATATCAGTTAACTTTTACCAATACCGATACCAGTATCGGTATCGGTGCATCCCTAATTTCTAATACAAATGCTTGTTAATGAAAAGTATTATATTTTACTGGATATTTTTATGTGTTATTTTGACTAAGATGAGTGTTATTAATACAAACCTTAAATGTTACTGAAATGTAGGTCATATATTTAAAAATATTTTAACTATAAATATCAGATGGGAAAAAGGAACTAAACACCAATCTAATGCATATTATTGAGCCTTTCAGAATAAGAGTCTGTTATTTCAGCCTGATAATTTTGTTGTTTTATTTCATATTTTTTAGCAGCAAACCAGTTTTGTTTCACTTGAAACGTTGTCAAATGGAATATTCTATTAATCAACAGAAGCTTACATTAGAACACTTAACGAAAACATATGTTGCCTTTAAAAAAGTGAGGCAGCTGAATGCACAGCGTACGCATGTGCTGGCGCACGGTCAGGATGGTACCACCAGTGCTTCAGTTCGAACCAGAACCCTGTTGTTGTTGTTCGGACCATCCTGCAGCATCCGCCGTCTGAGTTAAAAGCTAATGTTGGCGCTCATTCAGCCTGAACAAGCATAAGGTGCAATTTTTTCAACGCTTTCCTGCACATGTCTATTATCTGAACACACAGAGACCAGAATAAATGCCTTCATCTGATTAATTCATTGAGTTGTGTTGTTATCACCAAACTAATATTCATACCGTTGCCCGACTGTTGCTGCTTTGGGTCCCCCCGAGCCTGTAGTTGTTGTAGGCCAGGTGGCTGTACGGGTTGTACCCCACAAACCCGGGGGTGTTGGGCATTTGCTGATTGAAAGGAACAAGACAGAAACATGAGTGAGGAATGACGTAACACAAAGAGCCGGAGAAGTGTAACCCCAACTCCCCCCTGGGGGAAAAAAAACGGTGAAAGGAAAAAGTACACTTATTTTCACACTGGAAATGTTGGAAAACAAACAAACAAAAGCCTGTTACCATTATTCTGTGAGACTAATGGAGATTTAAAAACAATGATTTCCTTTAAAATACCTTCTCAAACGAGACTGAATTTACCCCGCAAACAGCAACACCATTTTAACTTGAAGCAGAGTAAATTTTTTTTGTACTAATACTTACAGTTGTTGGGGCAGGTGGAGGCGGAGGAGCATAGGATGGTCTCTCTGTTACAAATAACACCAAAATCAATTAATTCTGCCGTGAATGTCATAAACACCCTAAAACTATCCCAGTGGTTCCTGGTATGAACGGTTTGATCACGCAGGTTACTGGGTGTAAACTACAGAACACCTAACTAAAGTTCTCCCGGTTCCTTACTTGACATTTTGCCGTGCGAGTTGGGGTCACTCTCTTCCAGTCATTGGATCTGAGACACACAGAGTAAAACAGCTATTCGTGCTGCACTGATCAGTTCTGTTCCAAATGAGAAAGTCAGAAACAAAAGAGAAATCATTAAAAAAAAAAAAGTTATCAAAAACAAAAATGTAGCTGCACAGTTGGTAGCAAAGCTGCCTTGCAGCAAGAGGGTTGCAGGTTTGAATCCCAGCTGTGGTTTTCTGCTTGGAGTTAGCGTGTTCGATATGTACATATATTGTTGAGTAACTAAGTTGTATTACACGTTGAGTCACTAGCTAACTAAAGGTTTGATCATCTTGTATTACATCTTACATAACACTATCTCAAAAATGTAACTGAGTTACACTACTTTGAGTTACTTTTGGTATGCCTAACCAGAATGTCGTCTCTTGGCTCAAGTGGTGCAGAACTTGGTGGCCAGATTTTTGACTGACACCAAAAGCCGTGAACATGTTACACCCGTTCTGGCAGCAAGTCAAAGGCTCCCCATTATGTTCAAGCTCCTCACCGTTGTCTATAACAGCCTACAGGAAAAAAGCTTCACCCTACCTGAGTGACCTCCTGGCTCGTTAGCTCATGAGCTACGCTACGCTAACAACATATTGAGCTGCTGGTGTTCCAAAGGATTAGGTGTGGCTCTAAAAATGAAGGTCGTGCATTTTCATTCCTGGCCCCCAAGCTCTGGAAGGAGCTCCTTTTCCTTATCAACTAAACTAAAGACTCACTACTACACCATTGCTTTTGCAGGAACTTGGCCTTAAAGAGCAAGTCACCCCCAAATCAACTTTTTTTTCCTGATAAACTACATAAATGCGTGTCTAATCGTGCTGCAGACACATGTAGTCAATAGTTTTGCACTATAGTGTGTTTTAGTTAAAATTTTAATTTTCTGCCTAAAACTGTCAGTGTTGTGCCGTTGTCAGGTAAAAACTCTGCACTGCATTTGAATTTAAATCTGCCATCGCTATTGGCTAAGAGGTACCCTAATATGATGTCACAATGTCGTTGTGAGTCTGTGTGTGTGTATTTGTTAGTGGCTCTACCCTCTCAGTCTGCTAGGCAACAGCATTTTTTGCATTTTTCTAACAGGAAGTGGGAGTGGAGTAATACTCTGGTAGGTGGTGACTTGCTCTTTAATGGGCATTTCTCTGTTTCTTTTTTTCTTCTTCAAGGCATTCAGTACTTGTAATATATGTTTGTTTTTTTGTTACTTGTTTTGCCTAGTAGTTGTTCAGCACCTAGGGAGCCGTTTGGTCACTGAAGGCACTATACAAATAACGTATGATGATGATGTCTTACTCAAGTGTGTGACAGCATTGTAAAACACTATAACTGATAAATTTGTGTTTTACATAAGAGTGAAATAAATACTGTATTGTTCCTCATTGTTGTATTAAACGTCACCAGTACCTTTGTGTCTGATTGGTGAAAATAAAAAATTTTCACTGAAGTGCTAGCATAGCCAATATTTACCGGTTTTTACACATTAGCATTGGCTGATATTGGTCTTTCGTAAAGGCGATTTAAAGTCAGGCAGAACCTCAGGCAGCCCGGTGCTGTGCAGATTTTTTTTTCTTTGTATTTTTGCATTCACTTATGATAACAGCTGCATGATAAATAAACAAACACTGAGCAGTGAACAAAGTTAGGATTTAACTGTTAAATTCAGAGTTCAAAAACTGATTCAGGTTCAGAAATTTTGTGCATCAACCAATGTTATTAGTGACATTTTAGCATGAAAGTAAGGTAGAAAATATCTAGATATCGGTCATAGAACCCGGCCCATAAAAATCAGCAGTACAACTGGTTGACCATGTCGTGCATATTGGCATCAGTATCTGCAAAACAAAAAACAATATTGGTCGACCTCTCTGAGGAGCTTTATCAAATTTTGTCTAAACTTTCTCAGTCAAATCTACAAATAAAGCAGCTTTATGAGGAACTATTGTTTTGTTTAGCACCCTTGGCCAGCGGAGCAAGGTAAATGTAAGAATATAAACTAATTTCTGTTAGGACACTGAATTTGTGTTAGGGCTGCTCGATTATGGCAAAAATAATAATCACGATTATGGTGACTGAAATTGAGATCACGATTATTTAGGACGATTTTTCAATTTATGTTGATTTTATTTGTTTTTATTCAGTCATAAAACTGCTCAGGGCACAATCAGGACAAAAATAAGAAACAAGATGATCACTAAAAGAACTCCTGATTCCCAGGATAAAAAGACCAATATACTTATAGCTCATAGTCTATGACCCAAGGGCTATAGACCTTGAGTCTAACCAGTACAGACCCAAATACCATTATCTTGCAAATACTGACAGCAAGAATTATACAGTGGCATTTATAACAAATAAATGCAAATAAATTGATGTTCACAAAATGTTACATAACATTTATTGAGTCGTGTCAAGGTGCTGTAGCACCGTGTCCTCAGAGAGATTAGTTATTAGTTATCAGCGTGAGGAACTTATTTCTACCTTATTTATAAACTATTTATTTACAGGCCCATCAGTTAATGTAATAATTGTCCCGACCACAGCTGCACCCCCCACCCCCCCACCCCGGTCTCACAGCAATCGGGCAAGCTGCACGTGTGTTTAGCACGCCGCACGCGCACATTTAGCTGTTTTTAGCTGCTCAGGAGACCGCAGGTGCGGTGTGTGTGTCACTCACTCTGGTTAATCCAACAAGGAGCCGGCTCCGAGAGCTGTCTTTAGCGACCGACACATCACTGCATCATTCCCTTTCCTAATGTTGTGAAGAACGGTCCGGAGCACAGGCGGAGTGTTTAGCTAACCTGCAGGAAATGTCGACGACAGTTATCCAGAAAGTAGCTAAGGGTTACCAGAAATGTTTCTGAGATGTTCGCTAGGTACTTTTAGGATTAAAAAGTCAAGAAGGGGGTCTGAAAAGCTGCTAGAAATAGCGTCAAAGTCGCTAAGTTGGCAACACTGTGGAGGAGCGCTTCATTTGCAACTTAGGGCAGCGCAAGCGGGAGGAGCAAATAATCGGCTTGTTATGTTTTTTATAATCGTTTAAAACTCAGATCGTAATCGTGATTAAAATTCGATTAATTGAGCAGCCCTAATTTGTGTTGACCTTTATTTATGCTTTGTATATCTTTAAACAGTTTTCACGGTGCAACTCATGGAGTGAAGTCCACGGCACTGGACCAGAGAAACAAAAAAAGTTTATGCACCCGTCGAGGCTCTCCGTTCTGTTCTTCATGGTGCCAGGGGCAGCTACATTATCTTTTAATTTGTGTTTGAAATTGTAACTACTAATATATTGCCATGGTTTTCTAAAGTAATGTGCTAGTACTGTTACTGAAAAAAATAATTTCTGTAACTCCCTACTGTAATGTGTCACTCCCAACAATTTATATATATTATTAATTTATATTTTGCGTAGTTGTTTTGATCTGCTGATTTTTTAATTAGCCCACGAGGTGAAAAAGTGTGGGCACCCCTGCTTAAGAAAGACTGTACTGTCCCTTTAAGAGTTATTGATTAAAAGACTGCCGATTGCTTTGAAGCTCATTCAACCCCCAGCCGAGAGCCCCCAACGCTTGACGGTTAGCTACGCCCCTGCGCTACTAGAGCCCTCAAAGACTGCAGACATTTGCATTCGGCTCAAATGTTTCGCATTTTAAGCTCATTTTGTTAGATAATATCTCTTTAATTGTTTATTATACGAGACAATTGAATATTGACTTATTTGTTCATGAAATAACCCCGCTGTGAGTTAGCTAACAGCTAGGGCTAACTAGCCGATGTCCCCAAATTAAACGATTGTTAAGGTTAGCCTGACCGAAGCCAATGCTACCCGTGCAACTAGTGTGAGCTAGTTTTCCCCACTGTGAATGATTCATTTATATTGTTATAATCGCGTGTATTCCATAAAAGATCTTTAGCGAGGCTTTGCAGCTTAGCTAACGTTAGCTCGATAGCTTAGCCGCCTCCTTGAAGAGAAAACGGCACCTCCGACATGCTAATAGCGTACAGTCAGACCGAAACGACACGCTCAGCAGCACAATAACTCATCGATTCTGTCTGAGACAACTCGGGAGAATAATGAGGGGAAACTCACGTGAGAGCCTTCAGTCTTCACATCAGCGCTGTGGCTTCCACAGGGGGAGGCTAGCTACCTTTCTGAGAGGAAAAAGCAGCCTCCACAATAAACTCATGAAACGGGGTGTCCTCGAATGATTCCTGCAGAATCCTCCAGAAACGCACCCCACCCTCTCCAGATTACAGCTGTGCGTCCAAGCTCATGGTAATCAGCCTTCGCTGTCAGTGCTACAGCTTTGATTCACACCACAAACACCCTTCAGGATCAAAACCATAATCTTAGTCTCATTTTAAAGCTCCAGACAGGTCCATTCATTCAAGCATCCTACTTAACGCATCATTTCGTGTCAAAATATGTCGACAGAACCTCTTCTAGTTCTTTTTCTCCTTGTGCACGTAAGACTCCATCTCTTGACACAATAAGCGATAAACAAGCATGATATTTACCGATTTTCTGCAGGCGTACTGTTGTTTTTATGGTTGCAGTCAACAGAACATGATTTCCTTATGTCAGCATGTCATAAGATGCATTGTGGATGATTCACAGGCTCTGAGCTTTTGGGAAGAAAAAAAATCAACATTGTTCTATTCACTGCCCCCATGTTGTTAGAACTGAAATACTTTGCATTCTTGTTCACATTGTTCGAGAGGTGCCCAGGTCAACGGTTGTATTAGCATGTTGTCTAAAGATAACAGTTCTAAGCCTGCAGGATTTCGCCTATACCTCTGTCCATCCAACCTAAATACCTCTTGTTTGGGATCCGTTGATTGGTTGTTTTCATTGTGACCCAGTTTCTTTCAGGGAGCCCTCCACACCTGAGAGTTTGTTGTTGTTCTGCTTGACCTGCAGTCTGGACAATATTTATTCCAGACACCGATGTGATCTTAACTCCAGGTGTGGTGCTTTACCAGCAGGAGGTGAAGGAGCTGCATCAAAGGGTCAACACGAGGGATGTGGGAGCTCCTGTTTAACGCTGGACACCTGGAGTGGAGTTCATCCGGAGGTAGGGCGAAGGGCACATCAGGCTTTTACACTGACACTCTCACAGGGGCCTCCCGGTATCAGCTGTGGGATTCTGGATACCCAGGGCGGCGGAAAGGGGCGTGTGACATTTTAAGTCAGTCTCATAACGATGTTCTCGCAATGCAGTTTCAAGCCCGGTTCTTAAGCTCCCCAAAATAGAGTCAGGCAGTGGAACTAAGCAGAATTGAAAGTTAACTCTGGTGGATAAAGAGGATATTTTTAGAAGCCTACTGCTGCCAGATTGTGATGATGTATTTTTCCCAATAATCTTCCTACACGACAGCTTGAGTATTCTTCAAAATATATCAGTTTTGTCACCTTTTAAATAAAACTTTAGGAAACGTAGCTCATCACATTCAATTAAATTCAATTCAAAAATACTTTATTAATCCCAGAGGGAAATTGATTGTTGTAGTAGCTCAGAATAATAATAATAATCAAGTCATCAAAGAGTTGTTGTATATTACAATGGCTGTTGGCAGGAAGGATCTCCAGTAGCGGTCAGTGTTGCAGCGAAACTGAAGAAGCCTCCGACTGAAGACACTCTTCCGTTGTCGGACAGTCTAGTGAAGAGAATGCTCAGGGTTGTCCATCATTTTCTTGATTCTCTGGAGAATCCTTCTTTGCATTATCTCCTCCAGCGGTTCCGAAACTGCCGATACTCTGGCTGAGTCCTTGAAAGGGCTTGGAGTTCCTCCATCTTGTTGGCCAGTGATCTCACATTGCCCGTTATGATCGATGGAAGAGATGGTTTGAAATTCGTCTCTCTCTGTCTCCATTTTCTCCCGCTCTGCACCCACGCTTCTTGCGTTTTAGCCAAGCCCCCACAATGCCGCTCTAAAAATGGTCCCATCCCGGAAGTAAGAAAAATTGCAGTTCCACCCTCATCCGCTGGGGGCTGGTGCCAGAAGCGAGCAAATCCTCATTGACTCCCATGTTAAAAATGCCGATTTCACAGCAGAAATAAACATGTTTACAGCCTGGTACCAAAACATGTTTTTTGTCTAAATTATCTAGTTTATACTCGTGACAACTCTGAGGGGGGTGAATTTTTTTCTCACTTTTCTGTTTAAGTGTATTGAAAGCCTAAAATTCTGTATAATTAATGAGCATCCGACCCACGTGACCGCCGCCTCAGACCCACGTGACCACAGAGCTAGCTCCGTGGAAAGGCCTCAGTACAGCCTCGGTCTGGCTTGGAAACTGCTCCGGCATTTTGAGTCTCTGTGTTTGTGTATTCTTCTTTGGATATTATTGGTGCAATTGTTGGACAAAATGACTTGCAGTGGTATTAATTGCACTAATAGAGCGTCCAAGGAGTCTCCACTTCATTTTTTTCGGGTAAGTTAAAATCTATATTCGTATTTTATGTCACTGCCACCTTTAAACTAGCTGAGTTTACCGAAGTAGCTAGCTAACTATCAGTTTAACATGTAGCATGTACTGTTTAACCATGAAATTTAAATGTAAAATACGGTAAAATAATTAATAGGGCATATTTAGATGGGTAATAGGGTAAAACCCAGTGCATTTAAGATAAAAATGGGTTGAAATATGACGGAGCGCTAAGAGGGAGACGTCTGTGTCCATTCTTCCATCCGGTAATCCCCAGCGGTCAGGCCGGGCAGCCTGACCGATCCGGCGCCTACTTGCTGCGCCTAGCTGCTGCGCGGTCTGACCGCTCGTGGAGTTTTTCATGTCTGACTTTAACCGCATCTAATACTGTATTATGGCGTGAGCGCAACAGCGACAACTTAATATTGATGTGTAAGCAGCCTGAGTGGTAGGGTGTTTTCATCTGAACCCTTAAAACCTCCAGCAGGCTATGCTGCACTATTGACGTGTTAGCGCGCGGCGCTAACAACTTAGCAACGTGACATGTCTCTGAGAAAGCGTAAAACACGGACGCTTCTTCTGAAGCGGAAAATAACACTTCTTCTTAAGCAGAGCAGGATGTCGCCTCGGCTCGTTCACGGCCGAGCCGGACTGAGCTCGATAACATTGACCAAGCACAGCCACTGGGTAGTTGTAGCTGCCACCAGGCCTGCTGAAGGAACTCCAGCGGGTTTCATCAGACTCGTAAAGTTTCTTGTTTTTGCTGGGGATTTCTGTATTTTACCGCTCCCTCCTGCAGTCTTCCCCTATTAAAATTTAAAATGTGTAACTTTATGTATTGTGATGAATGACTAATATTCATGCAAAACTAAAACGTTAGGCATTTAGGGGGAAAAAACAAAATAATAAACATTATACAGATGTCAAATAAATCAAACTGTAATTAAACTATATATTTTCAAAGTCCTATAGACAGCATGATGGTTTGTGTGATCCGCGCGGTTTCACTTACACCCCTTTAATGATCAGGCTGTTTTTTATTATTTTTATCAGCTGATAGCAGTTAAAATTATGGTAAAAAATAATTTTATCTGTTTTTGATAACTTAATGCCCAGGAAGAGCATCTTCCTGGGCATTAAATATAACCCAAATGTTTTATTATGAGCAGATCTGATGAAGGTGTAGACAAGCAGTCTGCAAAGTAAAACTTGTTTAGAGTCCAAACTCTTACTAAAGCTTTTGAAAAGAAAAAATGGTTGAATTTTGAGAAATATCCACAACAGGGGAGCGAGACCTCTGAAAAATGTATATTTTCTCTGTATTCATAGAATAATGTGAAGATTCTGGGAAAAGTTGGGATTCTGAGATTAAAACGTAAATCTTTCTTATCATAATTCTGGCAGTTTTTGTGTCCTTCTGCTGTGGAAAGTCGTGCAACATGAAGATACTGAGAAGATGCTTACAACCTGTATTTTTATTCCATCCATAAATAAAATCATGAGCTATTTTTTTAATCCAAATTTGATCCAAAGGGCCATCGTTGGTTCCAGACCCGTTCTAGAACATTCCTCTAATCTTAAAGTCATCATCAGTTTCTTCCTTTTAACAAATATTTATTTGTTCAAATATTTAATATTTATAACTGGAATATTTGTTCCTCCCTCTCCCACTGCAGTTAGTCCTGTCCTGCAACCCTGTTTTTGCAGCTTAGTGAAGCCAACCATCACTAACCTGGGGGTGGTTTTGGACCCAGAGATGCGGATGGACTCCCACATTAGCCAGGTAGTTAGATCCTGCTTTTCCCGGCTTTGCCAGCTACCAAAGATGAAGTCCATCCTGAAAGACGTGTCATATTTTCTCCCCAAGCCGGACCTGACCGTCATGTATCGGTCCAAAATAGTGTGATGATATTGTGTTTTTTGTACATAACAGACTTTTTAACAGACAAATTTGTCGCATTCTCCTACACCTCTTCACGGGCTCGCCACAGTAAATATTCTATTTGGCGAGAGATAAACTTTATTGTATTTATCCTAGTGAATCTATAATTAAACGGGTAAACTGTAGCACCACATCCAACATCAAAGAAAGTAAAATGTTACCATCAGGAGAGGGAGAATGTTTAAGTGGTTAGCAGCAGTGTGCTAGCCGATGGCCCCCTCCATGAGGCCACCACAGCTCAGCAGAACGTCGTTGTAGCTTCTTCTGGGGAGAAAAACACTTAGAGAAAAATAAAGTTAACAGCTGAAATAGCAGGAAATAATACAGTTAAAGAGCAGATTGTAGAAGAAAGAAACCCCTGGGTTAAACTGGTCTGTCTACTGCATAATGCTGAACTCTAACATGTGTCCTCAGGGAAGGACCTGATTGGTGTCCAGAACCTGCTGAAGAAGCACCAGGCTCTGCAGGCTGAGATCACAGGTCATGAACCTCGCATCAAGGCTGTCACCCAGAAAGGAGAGACCATGGTGGAAGAAGGTAGAGCAGGTCTGGTCCTGACATGTTTCTGAGGTGTCTGCAGGTTCTGGCTCACTTTTTTTGGGTCCAGGTCACTTCGCTGGTGAGGAAGTGAAGACTAAACTGTGGGAGCTTCATGGACGTTGGGACACGCTGAAGGCCAAGGCGTCCCAGAGGAGGCAGGACCTGGAGGACTCTCTGCAGGCCCAGCAGTACTTTGCGGATGCTAATGAGGCCGAGTCCTGGATGAGGGAGAAGGAGCCCATCGTTGGAAGTCCAGACTAAGGGAAAGACGAGGACTTGGCCGAGGTATGGAAGTCACTTCCTGAGAAACTCCAATCGCTTTTCTTTGCTCTCTTTCCAGTCCTTCATAATTAGTGTTTCTGTATTTGTCATTTCCTTCGGTTGTCTACCAGACGTCGTTGCTCGTTTGAGCGTCTCATGGGTTAGGGGTAGAAGTGCTGGCCTCGCACAGGAAGTGATGACAAACGTGTTCCCGTCGCTCTTATTTCAAACGGTTTACAAGCTGTGATGTGTGTTCCCGCTGCAGAGCAGCCATGACACGTGGCAGCCGGCAGAAGGCTCACGCTTTTCCACTAAACACCCGCAGAGCTGCGTCTGCGGTGAACTGAGCAGGGTTTGTTTTACGGTCGCGGATCCGATTGGACCATCGCTGCGAGAAAGCTCCACTTGTGTCAGACGAGCTGAAGGTTCTGATGTTCTGCTCCACAGGCTCTCCTGAAGAAGCACGAGGCCCTGATGTCGGACCTGTCGGCTTACGGCAGCAGCATCCAGGCCCTGAAGGAGCAGGCCCAGTCCTGCAGGGTGAGTTCAGAACCCTCGGCCCGTCAGAACATTCTTATCCACCACGTTCTAACACCAGACCTGTTAACCCGAACGCAACAAGGTAATCAGCAGGTGCTTTTGTCCTGCAGGACCTGAAGGCCAACGAGTCCCGCCTGAGGGACATCAACAAGGTGGCATCTGAACTGGAGTCAGAAGGTCTGATGGCTGAGGAGGCTCCTATGGTTCCGGCTCAGGTGAGCGTCACCTGTCTGCAGCAGCTGGTCCCTCTCACTTCCTGGTTTGTTAACTCTGCTCGTCTCTGTTTGTAGCAACAAGAACATCTGGGTTCTGCTCCTGGAAAGGTGCATGTTGTCCTCCGCCTCCACTAGAACCAGACGTGGTGTTTTTGTTACCACTCATTTGTTTGTTTGTTTGTTTGTTTACAGGATGAAGCCGACTCTAACACGGCGTCACCCTAGAAGGTGAGTTCATTCAGCTGATCAGAGGTCACCTCTGATGGCAGCAGTCACGGCCGACCGTGCTGACATCACACAGGAATTCAGGTGACCCGGCAGGCACCAGGTGCTGGTGAAAGTGGGGACATGTCAGCTGGTTGCCATGGCTACAGTTATCTTTATGCATCTGTATGACTGCTGACTGGTGTGTGTTTCCTGTGACCTTTGACCTCAGACCGTACGGTTGGGCGTTCAGACGACGGCTAACTTTAATTCCATCAAGGTAAGAGGAAGCTCTTCCCTTCCTGTCTGAGCGATCCGTCTCCAGGTTTCTTCGTCCGGCGTCCAGCCCGCTGGCGTCCACCTTCATCTCACCTTCATCTCATCTCACTTCATTTATAGTGCAATACTTTCACATTATCATTTTCCCACACTTCTGTATACCTGTATTTTGTTGTTTTTCAATAAAGAATGACAAATTATTTAAGTTTGGTTTTTGTTGCACACAAATATATATCTGTAAAAAATATCTACAAAGCTAATGTTTACATAACAAGTATGATTGGGTTTTGCAATACGGCACTCAGGTTTATTTTAGTAAGATTTTCAAACCAAGTAAAGTTAGTAAAGAACACATTTCTATTGTCTGCTAAGAAACTGTTGGGATTTAAAATGGGCCTGTTGTACAAATAACTTGTAAATGATTATTCCTCACTTTTGTCTTAACCAAAGAAATTCCAGTAATTGAGCAAAAACATTTATTTTTAACACTACAGTTTATAAAACAGGGCGCAAAGTGTCGGCACATGTATGTATGTCGATGGTCCGTCCCATCCAAACCAGGAGACACAGACGTCAGGGAGGCCAAGGTTGTCTCTGCAGCTCTCTGGGCACCACGCCTCACTCAGCTGTCTCCAATGATCCAAATGGCTATGGAGGAAAAAATACCAGGTTTGGCCTAGCTGTTTAAAGTACAAAACCATTCATGAAGTGGTCAAGACAAGTACTTGGTACTTACACTTGCTGCTTTGTGTAGCTGACGTTGACACACAGGCTGCCATGGTGACCTTTTAATAGATCTAAGAAAAAAATGTAATAAAAGAATGAAACTTAAAAACTCCCAGACCTCATGTCATATTTACTAATCAGCTATGGCTGATTTGTTTGGATCACAGTGAGTTACACTAATTCTAATATATTTTTATTTCTATTATACATACATACTTTTTAACTGTTATTTTCACATGACTGTTATCAGGCTCTCTTGTTCTGGTTCTGATGATAACTCTGTGTCTTCCAGTAAGTTATCTTGTGCTTACTTCATCTGTATAATGTCTCTTTACTTTTGGTAAATTGTACTGAGTCCAGAATAAAGGCTAGTTGGCTGTACAAGATACAAACAAGTATTACGTTTTGGAAATATATGAAACACCGCCAGCATCTGTTAGAGCCTGTGGCGGGGTGCTGAGGGCCGGCTCCAGCCCAGGAATGAGCTCTACACGCCGGCCGGGAGGGTTTGAAACACCGCCATCCTCTCCTCTGCTGGCTGTTCATTCTGTTATGGTTACCGGTGCTTGTGTTGCAATGTGAAACTCTTGGTCTCAGATTTTGTAAGAAAGATAATAAAATGTCCCCCCAAAATACGACTTAAATATATTTTCTCTTCTTCATGATACATTTAATGGCTGGTGCGACTCAGGAGTGATAGCGCCGAAAAAAACTACTGAAAACTTGCTCAAAGCAAAATGTATTCATTACGGAAATAAATTATAAACTTACCGATTTAAAACTTTTTTAATACAGGTACTTCTCACGAACAGGCGCAGAAAACCTCCACCTAAACTCCGTGTAAGGTTCAGGTCGATGGGTGTTCCAGTTAGCTCCGGTTGGGTTGAAGCTAGGTGGCTACATCCGTTAGCTCGGCTCCCACCTCCGCTTTAGCTTTGGGTTAGCCAGGGTTAGCTTCAGGTTAGCTCGTAGCTAGTTCGCCTGGGTGTCGTCACTCGAGCCCAGCCTTACAGCCACACCCTCAGCGCCTCCTCTCTTCCCTTTTATGGAATTGTCTGGGCTGGACGGAACCTGTGACACGGTCAAAATGGCGGTGGTGGCCACCTCCCATTATAGACAACAAACGTGTTATTGAAGCCAATGGAATCCGTTTGTCCAGTATTTACAGTCTATGGTTTTAGCTCATTTGGCATTTGTGGCTTCAGTTGAGGTATTATTTCAGCCTTTCCGATGTTAATCAGCTGCTCCCGATTGTAAACCAGCGTGTTGCCATGGTTACGCATCATAACAAATGCTCAAAAAGTGAGAAAAGCTAAAAAATAGCAGTAAAAATCCTCCAAGTTTCACAGCATCAGAAACAGAAAAGTAAAATGTCCAAAAAAATACCATTTCCTTAAGAAACTAGAAGAAAAAATACCCAAGAAAAGGTAAAACTTACATATAGTCAACAGAGCTACTCCAACATGCAGCCGCCTAGAGCAGCGCAGTTCCAGAAAAAAACTGAACATGAAAAACATCTCAGCCAGCTATAAATCATAGTTAAATCAAGACATTAAGGAGCATTCTAGATATGATTTATACATTTAAATATGCATAGCACTCTGCACATAAAATATTCATACAATGTCACATAATGCCGCAAAGCCAAAATAGTTATGCTATTAAACTGCACAAATGACATTCTTACCTTTAAAACTCATAAGAAGATAAAGAACTTTGTCGTCCCGAGGGAAATTATTTTTTAATTGAACATGCTCAGCACATCAAGAGGATTGAATGTGTGACAGGAAGGAGTTTGTTTGTTTGTTTGCTTGTTTGTTTTTTCCGGAACTGCGCTGCTCTGGGTGGCTGCATGTTGGAGTAGCTCTGTTGACTATATGTAAGTTTTGCCTTTTCTTGGACATTTTTTCTTCTAGTTTCTCCAGAAAAACTGTATTTTTTTGGATATTTTACTTTTCTGTTTCTGGTGCTGTGAAGCTTGGAGGATTTTTACTGCTATTTTTTTTAGCTTTGTTCACTTTTTGAGAATTTGTTATGATGTGTAACCATGGCAACAGTCTGGTTTACAATCTGGAGCAGCTGATTAACATTGGAAAGGCTGAAATAATACCTCAACTGAAGCCACAAATCCCAAATGAGCTAAAACGCAAGAAGCGTGGATGCAGAGTGGGAGCAAAACAGCGACAGAGAAAGAGGAAATTCAAACCATCTCTTCCATCGATCATAATGGGCAATGTGAGATCACTGGCCAACAAGATAGAGGAACTACAAGCCCTTTCAAGGACTCAGCCAGAGTCCTAATATCAGGGCTTACCAAGTCCAGTCTTCTAGGGCTACTGTCCTAATTGTAGCTGTTTCCCTGCTCCAACGCCCCTGATTTATACGAACGAGTGATCAACATGCTTATGCAGAACTCAACATGATCATGATGTAACGGAATGAAATGACTGTTTTCCACCTAAAAGTCATTTTCCCCCTCTCCTCTGACACAGAACTAGCCTGCATGAGATATGGCCTCAAGGTCTCATGCATTCGCTCTAAACTGCTTCATTTCAGCTCAACAGAAGAATGAAGAATGGAGTCTCTCCTTTTAATAAATCAAGGAACTCTATTTTTAATAAAACTAATCAAACAAAGTGTTAGTCAATAATAAGATGTGACCAGTCTGTGAAATCAAAATATTAATTACTTTATTATAATCCTATAGAATATAATAAGTAGTATGACTTTAAATGCTCGACTAGGACTGAATTCACGTAGCGTTAAGACATGGCACATTGCTTTTATTGATCCAATAAGAATCCGCCAGATCTGACGGAGGCGTGGTTTTGTTGGTGTTTGGTAAATCTGTCATCTTTTCATTCGACCATAAACCAAAACATCCAAAGTATAAAACTATGCCCACATCATCTTTAACGCCAGTTCAAATCGTTTTAGAGAAGTTGTTGGAGTGGCCAATCCGTAACTTTCCTCTTCAGCCAAAAGAACCAACGACAAGCTGGATAAAATCTGTTGCTGTTCCACCTGCTGCAACGGTTCCTTTCAGAATAAAAGCTGAACTCACTGACCTTCTGGGTCCATCTGACGCTGTCAACCAACTGTCGCTTTTTACCTGGAGACAATCCAAAGGCTAGTCTGTCGTACTGCTGATGCTGTTTCATCGGCTCCGGTATCGAAAGAGGGGTTCGAGGACCTGGCATTCTGGATCTGTTCGGAGGTCTCATCCTGAGGGAATGTGTGGAGCGACAACATGGCATCGAATGTGTTTATGAATCTCCTAATCAAAGCTTAGCTCAAGACATCACCTTCATTCCCACCAGAACTAATCGTTTCTTCGGATTTGCTGGTTCGTAGCAACATTCCACATTACACCATTCTCCATCTCATTCACCTTAGTTACACCATACATTTAGTGTTAAAGTTAGTCTAGTTTTAATTTGTTTAGTAATAAATCTTTAAACTTTTAAAACTTGACTCTCTCTTCTGTTGTCTCTGAGTTAATACGAAGTGGTTACATCATTCCTGCAATAAAAAGTTCCAATCTTCTGGTTAAAAAGTACCCACAGATCCATAAGGTTGATTTCATATTTACTATGGAATCTTATGTCTTACGGCTCATGAAATAACATGTAAATTAATTCATTACAATGAGGTGATTATATTCTTTAATTCAGGTGTGCTGGAGGAGGAACTATGTAAAACATGCATGATGGTAGCCCTCAAAGACTGGAATTGGAGACCCCGGCTTGATTGTCCTTCATCATTTGAAGAGATTAATCAGAAAAAAGCATTAACCAGAAAAAAAGACTTTATTTACATTGTTTTATCCATCCACAATACAGAAACAACTGGATCAGATGTCATTTGGTAAAATGCCAAAACACTTATGCTAAATATTCCAGCCACTAATAATTGTTTTAACTGATGCATTACAATGAGTACATTTTCATTTTTTATCAGGTTGACATTTACTATGTAACTGATCATTTTATTGATGGAAACTATATTTTAATGCTCTGTTTACTTAAGTGTGTGTGTACATAAACAGTCCTAATACAGATAAACCAGTTCCTTTGTATGCATGCAAACATTACTGCTCATCAGCCACACAAACAAACAATTATAGTCCAAAATGACAACGTTGGAAACATATTGTAGCTGAAGCACAGCCTCTACATAATTAGAAGTTCTTTACGAAATAAATTCTAATCAGTTAGTTTTTTTTCTTCGCTGCTGAAGATAAAAATCATTTGTGACAAAGAAATGTGTTTGCATTGGTTGAAGAACTGATATTTTTCCACACACATTCAATAAGCTTCGTTTTCTTTCAGCTTTTTGTTTGTGAAGCAGTTATTATTATTATTATTGGTCAAATGATTTCTGGAAACATTTATTTACAAACCAAATTATCAGATGAAACAACTTCAGGAGATATTTGAAATTAAACTCTATATTTAATAGTATATGGATTATCAGATTCCATCAGTAAATAACAGTGTTTAATTTTACAGATTTTGCTGTTTTGTATAAAAAGTGGCTCAACACACAGACAAGAAAATATGTTGGTTGAGGTTTAAGGTAACTGGTATATTTTTATAAAGAAATCATTGTTTACAGATGGCCACATTCTTACCATGGGTTGGTATTACTGAGAGAAAGCCACTTCTATTCACCACTTTCATGCTTTAACGCTAAGGAATACATGCGCATTATTACGCCTTTTAGAAAGATTAAACCAAGTCTACAGGTCAAATGTGTGCGGAAAAATTCACAGATATAAAAGTTTTCATGGCACTTTTTTAGTTAATAGTAGAACAAGACTTTGTTTACTGAACTGGGCTAAAAAAACACTCACATTTAAAGCTAAAATCAGAAATGAACACAAAAATAATTTGATTGTGTGTTAGTAGCTATCCATCTTTGATATTTCTACTCTGTATCGTGTACACAAACGCTTTGTTTGGCTAGCATTAAGGCTTCTTTACTGTTTGACTTTTTATTCAAACCTTTTGTGCTTTTCACTCTTATTTTCATAAAGTAAATAAACAACAGAAAACTTTTCTTGAGTCCACAAATATAGAATTTCCAATATAGCAGATAATGCAAGCTGTGTTTATCAAGAATTAGCTTACACCTGCTACTTCGCTCAACCTCACACTACCAGTACACTTAAAATGCTATTATAATAATTGCTGTTATATAAAATGCTACTGGTTGTGCCTACATGATCAGTGGTTATGTCACTTATACAAGTAATACCCTAATTCAAATTATGATGCTTGACAGACAACTGACAAAGAAGGGTTTCTACAGTTTCTCCAAATGTAGCGTCGCTAAAATGCTGCATTAGCTAAAAAATGAAATTAGCTAAAAGATGCAGTTGTCACAACGTGTCATTAGCAAAAACTCTAAAGTACCACATTAATAAAATGCTACATTAGCTTGAATGTTATATTAGCTAAAACGTTGTTAGCCAAAATGTTGCTTTAGCTAGAAGAATGACGTCAGAAGCTCAGTCCCCAGCTATCTCACACACGATTTTAAATACAAACTGTCTGCCTGCTTCACAAAACTGGCTTTCTAAAAAATCCAGTAGTTAGCTAGCTGCAGTGTTTTCGCAACGCTGATGTTAAATGTTACACTTAGACAAACCCATCTAAAATGCCATGAGCTATAGCCAGTTCAAATAGTTGCTCTCATTTTTTCAAAAGCTAATCGCCTCATTTTAATTCAAATCCTAAATAATGTCCTTAAAAGTGCATAAAACTTTTTTGTTTTTAATTTGGCACAGTCAGTTTGTAGCACCGAGACATTCTGCCAAGCAATACCGGGGAGAAATCCTCTGTCATTGCATACTAATGCAAACACAAAGAATGGTGCTGGCGTCTTAGCACCAGCTGGAGAAGGAAGATTATTTTATCATCAGTGTACACAGGTTCTAGCTCAGTTTTACTGCCAACACTTCCTGTTACATGTGTTTTAAAGTAAAAAACGCAATGAAGCTAATTTGTTTAGGATACAGAGACCTTCAGGTGAAAACCTATGGCTGACCGTTTGGTGACAGAGAGTTGTTTTTATCACTCCCTCATTCCTCTCTCGTTCTCTAGCTTTTATTGCTACTTTGTTGATGTGACTGAGCTAGACTTGGTGTTGGAGCAAACACATTTTATGGTTTGCTTCATCGTTATCAACCCAAATAATTAACAGTATTAGAAGACTGAAACCTAACAAAAAATGTATTAGACAGAGATGTTTCTTGGATTTTCCTGATTCTGTAATTACTATAATGTAGTGCTCTAAAAACACTACAAACTTTAGTTTTACATCATGTGTAAATGAGTGGAGTTAATTATTACACAATAGACTTGCCCATATGCACCACAAATATAACTGTTACCAAAGAAAATGTGTTTTAAAAATATTTTCTGCCACCTGGTACTTTAAAGCGCGCACGTTTATAGTCAGTCTGTCTGACATTCACATAGTAGAAACAAATCACAACAAGTGCTCAAAGAGACTCAAACTGCGTTTTCTCACACACAAATAAAATAATAAAAGAACTCAATGGTTTCCTTTTTGTTGCACAAGCTCCAGTACCGTTGGCCTCCGGTAGAGCAAAAGGATGCAGTCCTTTAGTCACGTAGTTCTACAAACAAGCACCAGTAAAATTTAGCTGGTCCTGCAACCCAAACCTCCCCTTCACCCTCCTCAATCCCGCAGGGTGGCAGCCATTAACTGGTGGCAGTCCAGCTCCCCTCGCAGCTCCAGTGGGCCAGGCATCCTCAGACCTGTTTTGGGATCCACACACCAACACTTTCCCCGATGGCCGTCACGAGCAGGATGGCACTGCAGGCATAAAAATAAAAATAGTCTGATTTTTAATTCACTCACCACTATTAAAGTGCTTCCACTCCCAAGTATAATGTCCCATTGCAGTGACACGATGATGTCACTATGACCCATGTTTCTATTATATCTGTCCATTGGCCGGCTTGTGTTTCACTGCCTGAAACCCTTTAGTTGAGCTCTGCACAGGAAGTGTGATCCCACAAAAATCTTATGGGAGCAAGTGGCTAAAAATAGATTGTGAGTCCCAAGATCTTCAGTCAGATGGAGAGTAAAACTAAAATGAAATCTCAAGAGTATAAAAGTAAAAATAGAGAAATCTGACATGTATGAAAGCTGAAATAAAGCGTAAAACTGCATATTGGTGTATTTGATCGTAAAGTTTGTGTTATCAATTTATGGTTCTATATGTGGAGGTGGGGTTGAACCTAATGTGGGAGTGACAGAGACGGGCTGCGGGCCTTAATGATCAGAAACTGGCCGGGAGTAATTTTAACCCTCCGGGCCGCGGGCCTTAATGATCAGAAACTGGCCGGGAGTAATTTTAACCCTCCCACACTGTCTTCATGGGTGACCCCGCGAGGAAAGTTGACCATTGAGCAGGATGATGGTTTATCCCTTGAGGTCCACGTGGCAGGGGTGAGGTGGTGCTCACTCTTCACCCCTGCCACATGTACCCAAGGGATAAACCATCAACCCTGCTCAATGATCAGCTTTCCTCGTGGGGTCACACCCATAAGGACAGTGGGAGGGTTAAAGCAATACTCCCGTGTAGGGCTCTACTCTACGCCTTTGGTTCTTCAAGGCCATAAGCCTGAGCTTCAACTGTTGGCGACAAGTTGGCGATATGACATTGTGAGAAAAAATGTATTTCCATTGAATTTGCAAAGAATTAGTATGTATGGCAAATGTACGGTTATGTAAAGAAAATGGCTTCCTCTTTGAAAGGAATGTGCTCAGCTGTACTATTTTGTAAACAAAGAATTTACAAGGACACATTCCTGTGAGTTGCATAATTTATTTAAGACATAATCACAGATTTCTTTTCAAAATTTGGTCGCAAAAAGTCTTTATTACATCTCAGCTTGATTGCAGACTTCAGAATTTCAGCGACAGGAGAGTGATGTCTTGCAACTTTTGTTGTTCAAACGTTTTAGGATATTTTGGAAACTTGAGTTGTGCTCATTTTTCCAGTTGAGCAATTTCAAAAGTGATCGGTCAAGAACTGGACCTCAAGTGAGAGAAAACGCTGTACAAGATGGCCTGGCTGCTTTAAAGCGAAATGTAAAGAATACTAGGGATGACTCGAGACTTTTACACAGAACCTTATGCTGTGACCTGATTGTGACTCATGTTTGCAAACCTCCAAACTGTTTAAATCTGCATTTTTGGTTTGAGACACTGACATCATTTTGTCAACTGGACACAAACACGAGTCTGACAAACACAAATGTGCTGAAAGGGCAAATCAGGGGTGTCTTCTGGACCAAAAGTCACTAAAGCGATGTCGGAAAGCCTTTGAATAACGATTTAACCTAACACAGATTTCTTGATTTAGGAATAGACTCCGATTTGAATCTTTTAACACTCCTTCCGTGAACTTTCAACAATTCCCGTAATTCTGTTTTTTGTACGCATTTATACTTTTTTTTCTGACTGATTTTTGAAAGCCTCTAAGTCTGAACTGTTAAGAATCTCAGAGCAACCCTGGCTTAAAATGAGTCCCAGTTGTCCCTAATGACCTGTGTTTTGCTTCCCTGTGGGTATTATCACAGTGCCGTTTTAGTTAAACAGTAAACAGATGCCTGAGAACCTGAGCAGACTGAGATACTTTAACCATGTTACACAATCAATATAACCCAGACGTTTGCCTGAGAAGAGCTTTTCTTTTTATTGCTCTGAGTCCGCAGCTTGGAGCAGCCTTATCTGACCTTTTTTATGCTCTCTGATTCTTTCAGTCTTATCTGCACGTTTGCTCAGTCTTGCAAAAGCAGAGCAACATAAAAAGAGCAGCTGCATCCAAAATCTAACTGCCTCCATTGCAGTAATGAAGTGATTTTTGTATAACAGTTAAGGGTGAACCGCTTTACGCATGACATCTTAATTTGCGAGCGTAAATCTCTTCCCACTTGAGCGTGGAAAAACAAGGTTTGGCTGCTCCGTTAGGTCGGTTTGGAGACTCTTGTTAACGCTGAACGAGTGAGATAGAATGTCATCGTCAGCAGGCGTGCTTTGTGTCCTGGCGTGGTCTAAAAGGTTCGAAGTGTTTGAAGTTTAAAGACTGGCATTTTTATTTCAACTGGCGTAAAACGAAAGATTTGCAGTTCACAGTAGACGTGACTAAAGAGCACACAGCTCAGCGTTCCCACAAAGCTCAGGCTGGGTTCAAGCTGGGAGTCACAGACCTGCTTTGGGTGGAAGTCTCCGTTCCTGTCACAGTTGGGTATGGGGATCGTGAAAAGGTCGTCATGGGTTCGGCTGTTCGATGCCAATCTGTCCAGAGCTCTCTGTAGCTCAGCACGGCATGGTGCCTTTGGGAGAAACAAGTTCTGATTAGATATTCCTCCTCCACCTTAGTTACCGCATGATGCTTTTATGCAAAACAAACTTTGTGTGGTGGAAAAGGTGATAAAGAGAGGAAGAGCATGCATTTCAAGTCATTTAGACCCTGTAATGAGATTTAAAGATCAAACTTGACAATAGCTTAAACAGCTGCAGCTTTGATCTGCTCAACAGTTTGTTTTACTTTGGTTGTGTCCCATCTGCCTTTAAGCATGCTGTGGTCCAACGGCTTCTCAAGAAAGATGGCCTAGATCCGTAAGATCTGCATAACTTTCACCCCATCTCCAAGGCTCTCTTTTTGTCTGAGGTAACGGAAAAGGTGGTGCACGGGCAGCTACAGGTCTGCCTCGTTCAGGAACATTTCCAGTCAGGCTTCAGACCACAGGGTTCTAAACGACCTGCTGCAGATCGTAGACCATGGTATGTGTGTGTGCTGATCCTGTTGGATCTTGAGAACCTTTGGTCTCATCTCAAATTGTGGGTTGGGATTAAGGGTGTCCCTTAAATGGTTCCAGTTGTACCTCTAAGGAAGAATGTTTTCAGTACACCTTGAGAAATATATGTCATATGTGTCTTCAATGGACTTTGGGGTGCCCCAGGGTTTGGTTCTGGGTCCGTTTCCAATTATATATGCTACCACTAGGGTGTGTTTTCAGAAAGCACGGTATCTTGTTTCAGACCTATGCAGAAGACCTGCAGATCCATCTATCAACACCAGCGAATAGTGGCTGCCTTAAATATGTGCAAGCGTGTTTTGACACAAACTTTCTCAAACTGAATGAGAGGAAGACTGAGATCATTGTCTTTGGGTCACCTACTGCACTGCTTAACCACAAAAAGCAGCCTTGGAGATCTTTCCTCCTTCTGTCATCCCCCAGTTAGGAACATGGGGATGTTTTTGACTCAGGTCTCACTTTTGTGGATCAGATCAGTATGGTGGTGAAGACTAGTTTCTTCCAACTGAGGTTACTGAGTAGGATTATGTTCCTCTTGACCTATTTGCAACTTTTTTTCATGTTATAATCTCTCCACGTCTGGATTACGGTATTGTGTTATACACTGGCTTCCGTTTACAGAGTTGTCAGAATGTGGCTGCTCGCCTTCGGCAGACAGCAATCAAAGTCACCTCAGTTTGGAGAATCACGGAGAGGCTCTCACAACTAATCTGTGTGGGAATCGTATTAGAAATTACTCTCAGCTCATCAGAGATTAGCTCAATGTCTCTACAACTGACTGAGCTGGACCCATTTTAGCATTAGCTAATGTTTATTAGCTGCAGTGGCCATTGTGAATTGGGTAAACCTAATCGGTTGTAGATGTTCAATCAATGATTGAATATTATTTAACATTTATTTTTATTGAGAAGCTATCGAAATTTGCTCCAACTCTGACATTATTTGTGCAAATATCGACAAACATCCCCTTCCCATGTGCTCACCATTCGTAGGAGGGGCCAAAGGGGTCAGGTGCAGTGTGTGACTGATGGTAGTTGAGGGCGGGGACCTTGGCGGTCTGATCCTCGGCTGCAGAAGCTGGCTCTTGGAACATGGAATGTCACCTCTCTGGTGGGGAAGGAGCCTGAGTTGGTGTGTGAGGTTGAGAGGTTCCGACTAGATATAGTCGGACTCACTTCAACGCATGCCTCTGGCTCTGGGACCAGTTTCCTTGAGAGGGGTTGGACTTTCTACCACTCTGGAGTTGCTCCCACTGAGAGGCGCCGAGCAGGGGTGGGCATACTAGTTGCCCCCCATCTTGGTGCCTGAACGTTGGGGTTTATCCCAGTGAATGAGAGGGTAGCCTCCCTCCGCCTACGTGTGGGGGGACGGGTTCTGACTGTGGTCTGTGCTTTTGCACCAAACTACAGTTCAGACTACCCACCCTTTTTGGAGACCTTGGAGGGGGTGCTGGAAAGCGCTCCTTATGGTGACTCCCTTGTTCTGCTGGGGGACTTTAACGCTCACGTGTGCAACGACAGTGAGACCTGGAGAGGTGTGGTTGGAAGGAACGGCCACCCTGATCTGAATTAGAGTGGTGTTTTGTTATTGGACTTCTGTGCCAGTCATGGATTGTCCATAATGAACACCATGTTAAGAAATAAAGGTGTCCATATGTGCTCTTGGCACCAGGAAACCTTAGGCCGCAGCTTGATGATCGACTTTGTTGTTGTTTCATCTGACCTGCGGCCGCATGTCTTGGACACTCAGGTGAAGAGAGGGGCGGAGCTGTCAACTGACCACTACCTGGTGGTGAGTTGGCTCAGATGGTGGGGGAAGATGCCAGTCAGACCAGGCAGGCCCAAATGTATCGCGAGGATCTGCTGGGAATGTCTGGCAGAGTCTCCTGTCAGAAGGCGCTTCAATTCCCGCCTCCGACAAAACTTCCAAAATGTTTCGGGGGAGGCGGGGGACATTGAGTCTGAATGGACCCTGTTCCATGCTTCCATTGTTGAGGCGGCCGACCAGAGCTGTGGTCGCAGGATCGTTGGTGCCTGTCGTGGTGGCATCCCCCGAACCTGCTGGTGGACACCGGCGGTTAGGGATGCTGTCAAGCTGAAGAAAGAGTCCTATCAGGTCTTTTTGGCCCGTGGGACTCCAGAGGCAGCTGACAGGTACTGGCAGTCCAAGCGGAACGCGGCTCGGGTGGTCACCAAGGCAAAAACCCGGGCATGGGAGGTGTTCGGTGAGACCATGGAACAAGACTTCCGTACGGCTTCGAGGAGATTCTGGTCCACCATCCGGTGCCTCGGGGGGGCTGCTGACCTCTGCTCAGGACATTATCGATCGGTGGGCAGAATACTTCGAAGGCCTCCTCAATCCCACCGATACGTCTTCCAGTGAGGAAGCAGAGTCTGGGGACTTTGGGTTGGCCTCTCAAATCTCTGGTGCTGAGGTCACTGAGGTGGTTAAAAAGCTCCTCTGTGGCAACGCTCCAGGGGTGGATGAGATCCGCCCGGAGTTCCTCTGGATGTTGTGGGGCTGTGTTGGCTGAAGTGGCTCTGCAATATCGCGTGGACATCGGGGGCAGTCTTACTGGACTGGCAGACCGGGGTGGTGGTCCCCTTATTTAAAAAGGGGGACTGCAGAGTGTGTTCCAACTACAGGGGGATCACACTCCTGAGCCTTCCTGGTAAGGTCCATTCAGGAGTTCTGGTGAGGAAGATCCGTCGGATTGTTGAACCTCAGATTCGGGAGGAGCAATGTGGTTTTCGTCCTGGCCGTGGAACACTGGACCAGCTCTATACCCTTAGGGGGATCCTGGAGGGTGCATGGGAATTTGCCCAACCAGTCTACATGTGTTTTGTGGATTTGGAGAAGGCGCTTGACCGCGTCCCTCGGGGGGCCCTGTGTGGGGTACTCCGGGAGTATGGGGTCCTAGGCCCTCTGATACGGGCTGTTAGGTCCCTGTATGGCCGGTGCCAGAGCTTGGTCCGCATTGCTGGCAGTAAGTCGGGCTTGCTCCCAGTGAGAGTTGGACTCCACCAAGGCTGCCCTTTGTCACCGATTCTGTTCATAACCTTTAGGGACAGGATTTCTAGGTGCAGCCAAGGTGTGGAGGGCATCCGTTTTTGTGGCCTGAGGATCAGGTCTCTGTTTTTTGCAGATGATGTGATCCTGTTGGCTTCATCAGAACGTGATCTTCAGCTTTCGCTGGAGCGGTTCGCAGCCGAATGTGAAGCAGCTGGGATGAGAATCAGCTCCTCTAAGTCTGAGACCATGGTCTTGATTTGGAAAAGGATAGAATGCCTTCTCCAGGTCGGGGATGAGGTCCTGCCCCAAGTGGAGGAGTTTAAGTATCTCGGGGTCTTGTTCACGAGTGAAGGAAAACTGGAGCGTGAGATCGATAGGCGGATTGATCCTGCATCTGCAGTGAGAGAGCTGAGTCAGAAGGCGAAGCTCTCTGTTTACCGGTCGATCTACGTTCCTACCCTCACCTATGGTCATGAGCTTTGGGTAGTGACCGAAAGAACGAGATCGCAGAAACAAGCGGCCGAAATGAGTTTTCTCCGAAGAGTGACTGGGCTCTCCTTTAGAGATAGGGTGAGAAGCTCGGTCATTCGGGAGGGTCTTGGAGTAGACCCGCTGCTCCTCCACGTCGAGAGGATCCAGTTGAGGTGGCTTGGGCATCTGGTCAGGATGCTTCCTGGATGCCTCCCTGGTGAGGTTTTCCGGCCACGTCCAACCGGGAGGAGACCTAAAGGTAGACCCAGGACACGGTGGAGGGACTCTGTCTCTCAGCTGGCCAGGGAACGCCTTGGGATTCCCCCGGAGGAGCTGGCCCAAGTGGCTGGGGAGAGGCAAGTCTGGGCCTCTCGCCGTAGGCTACTGCCCCAGCGACCCGACTCCGGATGAGCGGATGAAAATGGATGGATAGATGGATCGACAAACATTCCTGGGAGTTGTTTCGTGTTGCCTTTATAAATCATCCTGTCAGACTTTTTAATCAAAATCCGAACAATTTATTTTACAAAATGACGTGGAAGACGTGTTAGAATGTCCAGAAATGATTTGTGGAGGGGCGTAAGCTCGAGGCAAATCTGTATTTATGTGACATATTTATTTTTATATGAATCTCCCAGAATATGTGCCTGTCACTGATTAATTAGATAATAAAGTATCTTTGAATATAATTGAATTGAATTGAATTAGGATGGTATGATCGTTCTGTCTCCTGCCAACGTTAAAATCCAAAATTGCGTGCTGATGTCAGTGTGGATTCTAACTTTATTTCCCAAGACTGTAATTAAATGTTATGGTCTGTAAATAACTAATTTGTGGAATTTATAACCTGCCTGTTTCTAGTTGTGACTTAAGAACCATAAAACCTTAATGTGAAACACCTGCTGAGGCTCAGGCTTATGTTTTCCTGCATTTCTTGTGCTCCGTGAAGCTTGTAAGACATCAAATGTTTTATTTTTTCTTACCAGCACTAGCTTGGCTTCATCTCTGGCACTGTTGCTTCTCGGGTTTATGGATTTCAGTCGGGCCATGTTCTTCTGTATGCATCGCTTATCCTGTGGACTGCAGCGGATGTTGCTGATGTTGGGATGTTCCAGGATGATCTCCTCCTGTCTGTCCACTGCTAAAAAACAAAAGAAAGGGGATGTAGTTTTGTTTTTACATTTAGTGCTACCATCTTTAGCGCAGCACCCATCCTCTCCGCTCTGCCAGCTGGTCTTCCTTGTCCTTTATCGTTCCATACAGCGAAATGTAGGCTATAAATGAGGCCAGGTTAACCTCAAGGGCACAGATTCTGCACCAGGTGTGTGGAGGGAGGGGGGGAGGGGGGGCTCAGCTCTGACCCTGGTACTCTACCACATAGCCACACCACCAGCTCTGAGACTTTTTAAAAGGATGCCACCCCTGTTCTGCCACCCTCTGTACATTGTGGTCAGCACCACATTCACCTTTGCATCCCTATAATTCTGCAGCTCTGCAGCCCTGGAGGCACCCAGCTGCTTCCTGAGGAAATGCTCCCTCCCTCGCTCTTTATTCTCCACCCCTCCACATCAACACCAGCCTCTGCCAGATGCAGGTCGTTAGGGATTATTTACACCGACTCCAGCGGGCAACAGTGGGTGAGTGTGTGTGGGGGGGTTTGTAAGCGTGCATGCACCAAAAATCAAAATATAAAAATCTGTAATAAAATCCTACAAACCGACAGAAGCATCAGATCGGTTCTGGGTCTGACCACTGGACCAGGTGTGAGCCGGACCTGACTTCCAGGTATCAGCTGATAAGATTCAAGAGAAGAACCTCCAGGTGAACTCGCTTTCATCCTGGCTCTGTCTTCACTCTCAAGCAGCAGCAGATCCCAGGAGCAGAGCAATGACCGGGTTTCTCAGATCTTGCTGGCTTTGTTTGTCTGCGGTCGAACTGTTTTTCAACTGTTTGTATTTTTAGTTTTGTTGGTATTAAGTTTGGTCATCAGCACTTTTTTTCCACCAGAGCCGACAGACTTTCGGCTGCTTCCTTCATTTCGACACTTGTCTTTTGCCAGCTCTTACTTTTCTGGTTCCACGCTCTTTTGCAGGGCAAGCCCGAGTCGTTTAGAAGTGGGTCAGAGGTGGCATGTCCTGTTTGCTACTCCTGCTGTTTTCCATGGAGGAAGTTGACACTTCTGTGGTTTCACTTTATTTGGATCCCCACCCTTGTGCATCGGATATTTTCCCTACATCATACGTCCTGAACACACGACAGGGAATCTCTTATCATAGATGAATCATGCCATCGTGCTACCAGTTTGTCTGAGCTGTCCGTGCCGATATATTGTCTTTGATTTTCTCTACATGTTGCTATGCATTATGGGTAAACATCTCCACTTTGGTCTCATTGTTGCAGAGGACTTGAGGTTTGTTCCGATGCAGCTTTGCTGCTTTATCGATTTTTAGAGAGAAAATGGTTTCTCCATCTTCCTCTAGCTTGTTCAGTCTTTTCCTAACTGTCCTTTCATGAACTTTAACCTTTAACCCGTGACTTGAGGCCCATCGAGTCTGAGATTAAGCTCTCAATGTTTTCACCAATTCTCTAAACATTGACCTCCGACCTCTGGGTGGATTTGCTGGGACGTCCACCCCGTGAAGATTGGCAGCTGTCCTAAATGTTTTCCACTTGTAGAGAAACTTTCTCTCCAACAGTTTGAAAATGACCTTTAACCTTTTCCCACATTGTTGGGCAGCAACAGTCGCTTCTGTGAGATGTTTTTCTTCCTTGTGTTGAAGCTGATATAACAAATTTGGAGAGCAAATGAGACTAAACCATTTTTTTCATGCCTCTTAACAGCATTCTTACAAAGTACAACTGTAAATATAATGTGGAGATTAAAAATAAATAAATTAAATGATCATATTTGTCTAAAAACCTCCACCAATAACACGACTCTTAACCAACTATTGGACCATGCGGTTGTCGATCTCACTGAACCCTGGGTCCTCCACTCATTACGCACGTAATTAGCAACAGAACACCGCTGGTGTGAGAGGATCTAGAGGCCGACCGATGTGGTTTTTTAAATGTCCGATACTGATTTTTAAAATAATTTAGTTGCTGATGACCGATTTAAAGCCGATTACTAAGGCCGTATATTTGTTCTGTGTGTCTGCGTCTCCTTTGCTCTATCGCTTCCCTAATCCAGATACGTACAGAAGATGGATTAAGGAAGCGATGGCGATAAGGAGTCGCAGACACAACACCATTAACAGAGACGACGGTGTTTACACGTTGGATCACACATGGGTTATCAGCGTGAAGGATGCGGGCAGCAGAGGGCGACATCGTCCTTTGCTGCCCGCACATAAACGGACGTGATGCCACGAACAGCTCGAACAGCTCTGACGAAGGCAGAAGTTCCGGCCGAAACACGTCAGCCAAAGGTAAAGAAACATCTAATTACTTCACCAACATGAATACACGGTAGCAGCACATTGATTGTGAAATACAACTGAACACTCCCTGTGTACGATATAAATGAAATAAGTCAGTAATCTCTTAATATTTATTGAATTTCACGTATAAAACAAACTCAAAACATAAAAATAAAACGGTGTGTTGGGGTCCTTCAGGTCCTTTCTTCAGTCTAGTGGAGGCAGTTGGCCACACAGGTGCCTGTTTTTATTTAAAAAATTTTTTTTAATCGGCTTTAAAAAAATAAAACATTTGAATATATCGGTTGGCCTCTAAGAGGTTCTCCGCGCAATAATATCAGAGAAGGAGAAACAGCCGGCTGCTACCACTTCAGCTTTAGGACAAACCACCAGAGTCCCAAAGAGAAAAACACCATTTGAAGTCACAACAAAAGACGTTTGGACCTAATAAATGATAACTGGTGTTTAGCGCTATCTCGTTTCCTCTGGCAATGTGCGTTCCTATATAGGGGGGGGGCGTGGCCTAGAGATGATAGCCGACAGACGGGGTGAGAGTTCCGTGAATGTGTTTGTGTTTGTGTTTAAAAGCTAGCTTGTTTTGCAGATTTGCCGTTGCAGCTTTAGCACACACCTGCGTTGCTTCAGACCAACAAACTGACTGATCCCGTAACAAAATGCATCTGGTTAGCAGCACCTGGCAGATCGTCTCCGTAATTATTCCTATGGGGCGCTTAGTGTTCAGTGAAGTTCTTCTGCAGATAGATTCAGTTTTTTAACGAATTGTAAAACAGTGAAATTGATGTGAAACTTAGAACAGAAACGTGGCTAACGTTTACCAGACATCCATGCCTAAGTGACATATTTCCCTGCTGAAGGATGTGCGAAACTTTAGCTTTTTGTTTTAGTGAAAACACTCAATCTAGCTGTAGTTAAAAGTGCAGCTTAGTTATTCATCTACAGAGAAAACGGTTGAGTTCTTTTCTTTTGAGTGTCCCATGTGTGTCCGTAATATAAAAGAAGATAAAAACCAGGGACATCAAAAGTCCAGCCAGCTCTCAGATGATCCATAAAATAAAGATGCAGTCAGTATGGAAAAGATTTAACGACCGGCACTGCAGTAAACCTGCGGCGATCCACTTCTTTGATTCCACTTGGATATTCTCATTCCTTCACCTTTTCCAGATTAACTTGCTTTCAACAGAATATCACCCCGAGATCCTTCAAGCGGATTAAAGAAAGACAAACGAAAACATTCACGTCGGGGTTCTGTACGACGCTAGACAAAACAGCTCGTTCTTCACCGACAGCGACTTTTAAAAGATTCTGGCAGCGAGTTCAAAAGTCATCCAGGCTCGGCACCAAAAGGCTTTTCTTTTCAGTCAGCACAGCATCCTGCCAGAGTATCGGTGTCGGCCCGTCAGCTTCCAGGCAAAACACTTCTAGAAATCAGTTAATCATCAGCTGATGTCTGATTCGGTTGTACAAACAGAGCTTGGCTCTGTAAGCCAGGCCCGTGTGAACTGTCCCTGCTCACAGCTCTGCTGTCATGTGTCAGTGCAGAGATTTAAAGAAAGCTAAATTAACACTTAAAACAAGACCCCGGACGCTGCTGCTGTGCCTCCTTTTCTGCTTCCAGTTTAGCTTGTGTGCGTTTGTGTGAATCCAAACCGAGCAAATTTAAGCTTAACTGTAGGAAAGAAAACCTGGAAATGAGCGATACACACTTTCAGTCTGGATAAATGCATTTATGAAATAAAACCCTTTAGCTCGTTAATGCCGCCGCGACACAAAAATTAAACAAACTGAAGCTGAGTTCAAAATCACAATCACGCTTTTGAAGCAGCTCAGAGATTTTCCTGAAAGGAAATAACTTTGTTGACTTTGAAAATTGTGTAAGACTTCAGTCTGAGGCCTGAAGCGCTCCTAAGCCAGATACAACACACTCACAGGTGTGGATCAGAGACAAAAATATGAGCAGAACCTCTTCCAGATGGATCCTCAACAAAACATCATCCTTAATCCCGTGAAAGACTTTTGGATCCAAGCGTTGTCCGCATCCCCCCCCCCCCCCGGCTCTGGGGTTTCTTCTGTTTTCAGGAAGGAATTTTATTTTCCATCTCGACGAAACAGAATTTGAATTTATGTCAGATTTCCAACCAAACTATCCGAGCCGTGGTGGGGGTTGCATGACATTAGCCTCTGGGACCAAACTCCACGGACAACAGGAAACACATGGAGGCAGAGATTCAGGTGAAAAAACGACTCTGAATCATAGCAAAGTCCACGTCCTCTCGTCACCAAATGCTTGTTAACAATACCCCTAACAGTTTAAATTCCCATCTGAATACAAATGCAAACATTTCTGACCCCCGTCTTCAAAATAATGACGTGTCATGATGACCGGGACAAGGTTGACTTGTTTGTTTGTGTCTCAGCTTCAAGTCAAGAAGGGGGTCCCTGTGCAGCGGAGTCCAACAGTAAGCTAATCTCATTGACTCCTGCGTAAGAGCCTCAGCTGTACAAATGTGTTACACGGCCTAAAACAGGCAAATACACAAGGAACATCTGGAGGTCTGAGGAAATCCACGTTTCAAGACACCAGAGGGCATTCATGGCTACAAACACTAAAGTTCACGTCAACAAAGCAGAAAAGGAGTTTTACGGAATTAAAGAAGACTTTTGAACCTGTTAAGGTCTTTGCGAAGACAGAAAACTATCATTCTATGTTTAAACCCTCTTTCTTTCGTGACTAGACGGAGGCACAGCTCTGCTGAACCTGTGATAATGTTTTTGCCTGTTTGTGTGAGTTAATTTATTCTTTATTTAACCAGGAAGGTCCCGCTGAGATTAAAAACCTCATTTTCAAGGGAGTCCTGGCCAAGAGGCAAAGTAAGTAAAATATCAGATAAAATTAAAACTCTTAGAAAGTAAAGTAACACTTTACAGTAAGGGTCCTTTTATTAACGTTACATTATTAAGCATTAATAAACAAAGGGACCCCTTTATTAACCTTCCTGGTATTGTTAGCTATTAAAGAGCAAGTCACACCCTACCAGAGTATTACTCCACTCCCACTTCCTGTTTGAAAAATGCAACAAATGCTGTTGCCTGGCAGACCGAGAGGGCGGAGCCGCTAACAAATACACACACACACACACACACAGGCTCACAACGACATTGTGACATCATATGGTACCAGCTAACGTTCTAGGGTACCTCTTAGCCAATAGCGATGGCAGATTTAAATTCAAATGCAATGCAGAGTTTTTACCTGACGACGGCACAACACTGACAGTTTTAGGCAGAAAATTTAAATTTTAACTAAAATGCACTAAAGTGCAAAACTATTGACTACACGTGTCTGCAGCACGATTAGACACACATTTATTTAGTTTATCAGAAAAAAAAGTTGATTTGGGGGTGACTTGCTTTTTAAGCCCCACCCCCTTTTGGTACATAAGTAAATTTACCTGACAAAAATATAAATCTAAACCTCAGATTAATTTTTGCAAGTTTTTATTTTATTTAATCATCTAGCTCTTACTTTGCTGCTGCATGTTCAAATGTTTTCAACACAATTCACTATAATTAGTTGTAGTTGTATAACACTTAAAAAACACCCTGACTGTTTGCAGGTGGGGAGGGGGACACTCACTTTCTCATTCCAGGTGAGTCGACTGACTCCAAAAGCTCAACAGCCGTGTTTCCACTTTAGGAGTTCCAGGAAATTTCTGGGAGGGTAAAAAGTGACAGGAGGTACGACGTCTCTGTCTTCTCTGTCCCGTCCAAAACTTCGCTAAAACGCTAGCTTATCACGGCTGCTTCAGCGGTGGGTTACGTCACTGATCTGCAGACCTTAATGACATTAAAAAAGTTTTATTCTGTCAAGCAAGTCGTAATTTAATCCCTCTGGGGGATGAGGACAGCGGCAGTGGGGAGTAAAAAGTGGTGTTCAAAAACACCAGAAGAGTCACCATTTCTTACAGCATTCTGAGACCATCAAACAAACGGCGTAAGTAACACCACATTTTTTTGGTGTCGGGAATTTAGAAACGGTATTTTTAAAACAACGAGAACGCTGGTTACTTTCTTTTCCTTCCATTCTGCTCACAGGTTGGATGTTTGGCAACAGCTGCTGATGTCATTTGCTTCTGAGTTACGACCAATCAGCATTAAGACATGTCCTGCTCAGCAACTCCACAGGGCCATTTCTGAGCACATACTGCAGTTCTGGTTCTCAGTTGGTTCCTGAAATTGCCAGGAGTCTTTTCAAAGCGGTCTGGTGAAAGGGAGACACGCACAAAATTACCCGGAAGTTCCGATAGTGGAAACGAGGCCTAACGTGGCTGCTCCTGTACACTGGGTCACAGACATCATATACGTAGACACCCCGTGGACTGGCGCAGCCTATTGGAGCTGGCGTAGCAGCAGGCTGCCATCTTGGGTGGGTCCCCATTAGCCCCCAGTGCATTTATTTCTACTGAGGAAGGTTTTCAGTCAACTAAAATGCAATTTTATTATACACACACACACACACACACACACACACACACACATATATATATATATATATATATATATATATATATGTTTATGTTTATTCATTTAGCAGACACTTTTATCCAAAGCGACTTACAATTTATAACCTATAGGGCATGATGTGATCTGTGGGGGAAACCAGAGTACCCAGAGGAAACCCACGCATGCATGGGGAGAACACACAACTCCATGCAGAAAGGCCACAGCCGAGATTCGAACCTGCAACCTTCGTGCTGCGAGGCAATACTGCTAATAACTGCGCCACCATGCAACCCAATATATATATGTGTGTGTGTGTGTGTGTGTGTGTGTGTGTGTGTGTGTATGTATATATATATACATATATATATATATATATATATATATATATATATATATATATATATGTTTGTATGTAAATATATATGTATGTATGTATGTATGTATGTATGTATATTTATATAGTTTGTATGTAAATATATATATTTGTATGTATGTATGTATGTATGTATATTTATATATGTATGTATGTATGTATATATATATATATACATATACATATGTATATATACGTATGTATATATATGTATATGTATGCATATATATATACATACATATATATGCATATATATATATATATATATATATATATATATATATATATATATATATTTTTTTTTTTTTTTTTTAATTTTTTTTCACAAAGTCAGACACAGAGTATGGCATGATAATTAAAACAGCAATATAAACAAAATACATTAAAATAATTTAAAATTCCAACCATTAGGCTAGAAAAGTCTATAGTAATTCCATTATCTTTGCACCCTGCGTTGACTACAGTTGGGCTTTGGAGAGTGAGGAGACCCACCCAATATGGTGGCAATGCTGTTACGCTCTCCTGTGCCCAATGGGGCATCTACAAATTCACGTTTATGCACTGGATATTCTAGCTTCACTTTTAAACAGCAAAATGAGGCATAGCTTCCCTTTAAATGTCAGTCTGGTCGGAGGGTGTAGCTAACACACCTCTGTTACTCTCCAGCGCCCCCTGCTGGTGTGGAGCTACCAAGCTGAGGTTCAAATAATTTTTAGTGGGTGGGGCCGGGCCAGTCGCTACAGTTCCAGCTAAACCCTGTTCATCTCCAGCAACAGCTTCACCCTGCTACTCCCACAGGGCCTGCAGGTTCAAAACGGTTTAATATCTGTTTGTAAGTGGTATCCATGATCGTCATCAGAGAGAACCATCCAAATACCAGACACCGAGTTTGCTTGGCAGGAATGCAGAAACAGATGCCAACATGATGATTTATTCCAAGTATTAAAACACAGAAGGTTTTTAGGAATGTGAGATAAAAGCTGCCTGAAATCTTGTTTAATTCAAGATGGTGCCTGTTGTTGCTATGGAAATTAGTTAAAGAATAGGTGCACCAGAGAAAAGAATGACTTTATAAGTGATTCTCATATGCTTCCTGGTGGTTTTTGTGATATTAACTCATATAAATGACCAGATAGGGGTCTAAAAAGCTGTTTTATTTCTGCAGAACTGTAACTAACAGCCTGAACACCCTAAACTCTCTTCAGTAAAGATGTGCCTCCTTCCATCCCTGCTTTGAATCCTCTTGGTTTTTGAAAACCCTCTTCTATTTTTATCTTGCATGTTCACTGTTGCTAGGAGTGGGGCATGTTTTCAGGAGATGCACCCCCATGTTTAATAATGCATAACTATGCACCACAAAGGAAATCTGCTGCTTGTGAATGGAGTTGCTTTCCTCTTTCCACTCTTTAACATTTCTTTTTATTGTTTCTCCTCTGCTGTGGTCTCACTCGGCAGGTCTGAGCGGCTGCCCAGTAGAATCGATTTACAATGAGATTTATTGGGCAAAGCTTCACTGTTTGTTATGACAGGCTCCAGGGGCGAGAGGGAGTGTGGATGCAAACAGAACCCGGCGATCGGATTACAGAAACCCCAAAGAAACAAAACTTATGAACTTCAGAAAAGGTTTCATTCCCGGAAAAAAGAAGGGGACTCCCCTCGGCTCGCTGTAGGCCAGTTCCTGGCCCAGTTAAACCACAGAGGCGGCATCAAAGAGCAGCGGCAATGTTCAGGTGTTGACGGACACGGCCAAGACAAACTTAGACAGCCGTTTGTTTTTAACAAGCTCAAAAATCAGCTTCCCCTTTCCCTCTGATTCCACGCAGTCACGCTAACCTACGCTGGCCCTGCACAGAGAGAGGGAGCAAACGGCTCTCATTTCAGCTCTGGCAGAGACGGTGCCGATGAGCTCATCCTCACGAAGGAGCTGGACGCGGTGGGCGATGTGCGCCGAGGCTTGGTAGGGCTCGGAGGAGGTGGGGTGCAGCGGGTTCAGGAGGAACAGATGCTGCAGAGATGATGCCCGTCCAGGGAATTTCATATTGACTGAGACTGGTCCTTCTCTTGGATGTTCTGGGAGACTACTGCCATCAGCTGTAGCTGTCTGGGAGTCTGGGCTCGGTGAGGAATTCAACGCCACTCCCATTTAAAAGACAAACAGTCGATTTCATCAGTGAAAAGAAGTTTAAAGCTGCAGATTGGGGCCGTTTGTGCAGATAAGACACCCCTCTCACTGTGCGGCGGTAAAAACGGACTTTGCTCATTGCAGGAGTGCCATAATAAAGAGGGGCGGGGGCTGGGGAGGCCCAGGAGAGCGCGATAGAGACATCAGCACAAGAAAAAGTGTGAGAAATCTGCAGCAGCAGGAGGAGCAGCGGGGAAGAGGAGGAGGAGGAACAGGAGGAAGGGGGATATCCACCAAAGAGCACCAAGTGAATTACTGATTGCAGGGAGCACTAATAGCCCCAGACTGGCCACAGTCCATTACAGTCGTTTCATACAGCAGCTTTTATTACCTCCTCCCATTACACACGCAGACTGATGTTTGCAGCAGCACCACACAGCACATCACTGCTCCTGGTGCACAGCTTCACTTTCCCTTCCCTGAAACCGGCTTGGTCTAAGTTGATGCCCACGCCGCCTGCTGCCTCCTGCGATAAAGCTGTTCTGCTCAGCACGGCCCCGTTCACCGTGGCACAGCAGGAGGACTGTGTGTGCTCGACTATCCGGAGCGGCTCTGCTTGAGAGTGGCGTGAACAGGCAGGACATTGTGTCAGGTGCCTCCGAGCCCAGAGGCTGACGGCTCAGGTGAGGGCAGCTGAGACCTGTGACTGACAACAGCTGAAAGGACGAAGAGTCTCATTTTCTCATGCGCACAGTCGGATATGCTTCGGGCTTACCTGAGTTGTCCTCTGCCTCCCTCTCGTCCGTGCAGACACCCTGGCCGTGCATCAGGGAGTGCAATGGTCTCTCCACGCCGCGCGGCGGGTAGCAGCGGAGGCCCGTTCCACACCGGGGGGAGTACACGCCACAGTGCGTCCCTTTAGACAGGGCGCAGGTGGGGCAGCAGCCACAACCGGGCTCCCGCACCGTCTCCTCGCAGCCCTCAGGCAGGCGGCAGCTGGCCAGCCTCTCCTCGGAGCACTCCGGACAGCGGATGGCCTGGTCGGACAAGCACAATGCCGCCAGGGACAGGGCGCCGAACAGCCACAGGCCCCAGCAGGATGGACCCACGCCACGTTCCTGCACCATGACCGTCCCGGCACCTGCACACAATCCTTTGCCCTCGCCAGTGATCCTCCTCAGCCTCCCTCCTCTTCTCTGAGAGCTCAGCGGGTTTTTGATCACTCTCTACGTCAACAGCAGATTTTAGACAAACAAAGGATGTTTGAGAGGAACACTTTGTCCAGGAGAGTCTTTGATATTTTCAGCTGGTGTGTGTTTCATATGCAAAGGCACAATGCCTCTGCTGTTTTGCTGCTTCGTTCCTTTGGTTCAGTTTCACAGCACAGAAATTAGAGCCTGTTCTTGATCTCCTCAGCCAGCAAACGTTGTGATGGAAACTAGTTTTTTAGCTCAGGTCACGCGTTCAGGAGGGATTTACAGGGGTCCGTTCAGGTGAGCCGTTCCTTCCCTCCGTTGATCCCTCCCCCCCCCTCCAAAAAAATAAAACAATCTGGTCAACAAGTGTCCAAATGCAAAGCAGGTCATCAAAAAGACATCGGGTTGAGTCAGAACCGCTGTTTCCTCCTCCTGCTGGTGTGCAGTGCCAAAGACTGTTTTCTGAGAACACGAGCAGCTCTGCCTGGACTTTATACTGGTCCGTGGACACGCCTCTCTGTACAGGCGCAGCGGAGGAAAGCCAGGCTGAAGCTCTCTCCTCTGTCTCCCTCTGTCTCTCCAAAGCTTTCTCACACTCAGACCCACAAACTTACACACACTTTGTCCTCATTCGGTTCGGATGGAGCTGAGAAAAACCGCCGTCTCCGTCTCGCCCGGTCTGCTCTCTGAAACCAGGCTCAGATCTGATTTATTCCAGGTGACTATATGCCTGCCGTATTGATCTGCTGTCTGTGGGATTAAGAGTTGGATTAGACGTCCCGAGTCCATCGGCCCACAGATCCACTTCAACCCTAAATGTTACAAACTCACGTTTGGACCTCTGAGGGCGACCTTTACTCCCTGAACCAGGTCCCAGTGTGAGTTTGCATGCATCCAGTGGTTAGCCAGCACACTCCCCGTGCACACACACACACACACACACACACACACACACACACACACACACACACTCCCCATGCACACCTCATTATGTCAGCTCCCAGATTTCCTTTTCTCCCTGTTGCAGCTAACTGAAGTGGGCAGCTATAAAAGGCAAATGGACACCAACACCACCCTCCCTGCTGCTTCCCTGCCCCCCACCAGGCCTAAAAAAGCCCCCCCCCCCCCCCCCCCCCCCCCAGTGCAGTTACAAGATTATGTTGTAACAGCGCTGCACAGCAGGGACGGTTTATCATACATGTGTGTTTCTGATCAGCAGAGGCTTTGTACTTTGTTCTCGTTTGCCCGTGTGAGCAGATATGCCCTCCACCCAGCTTTTAATGGCTTTTATTGGTCGACGTCTCTCTCTTTTTTTTTTCCTCCTCTGTTCCTTTGCTTTCCTTTTGCCATGGAAACCCGGCCAGCATGCTTTGTGTTGCTTTTGTGTGTTCTTTCAGCATTTTTCTTTTTGCAGGCTGGTGGCCGGTTGCCATAGACGAGCCACGGGCAGCAGCCAGGCCTCCGCGCGGCACTCAGGTGGGTGCTGCTGCTCAGATTCACCCGGAGGCGCGTGTGCGCCGCGACACTCATGGCACTGATTACATATTTGTTTACGCACGTCTTTAGACTACACAACAGCTACACTTATTCTTGTCGAGCCACGGTTTAGAGAGAAAACATCTGCTTGCTTTTGAGTAAACCCGCTTAATGAGATGGCTGGCTATAATAAAAATGAACTGAAACTGTTGTGGGCCTCTGAGCTCACTGTAGTTTCATTGTGTGTCATTTTTTACTGTTTTTGGACGTTAGGATGGGTTAGCACAGGTCAGGATTAATACTTCACTCAGCATCAGATATTGTTGAAAAGTTGAGCGGTAAAGAGAAAATACAATTAGTCCCTTTTACTTAATTGCAGGCAACTTGAACCCAATATTTAGTCGTATTTTACCTCTTTTTTGTCTTTAACCCTCCCACTGTCCTAATGGGTGTGACCCCGCCAGGAAAGGTGACCGTTGAGCAGCATTGATGGCAGGGGTGAGGTGGTGCTCACTCCTTACCCCTGCCACGTGGACCCAAGGAATAAACCATCAACGCTGCTCAATGGTCAACTTTCCTGGCGGGGTCACACCCGTTAGGACAGTGGGAGGGTTAAACGTGAAAGTTTTACACCTTTTTGTTTTGTTTTAATTCCTCCTCAGAACACTGGAGAGACATCCCAACATTCAAAACAGAAAACAGTCATCAGGACAGAAAGGTAGTTAGACGGTGTCCCTCCAGGAATTTCATGTTTTGTCAGAAATCCCCGTGTGTTGTAATTCCTCGTGTCCCTTAATTCCTTCCACCTGAGCTGCAGGCGAAAGACGAGGAGGAATTACAAATCAGAGAGAAAAGTAGAGGCTCCTTAGTCTCCTTCAGGTTCTTTAACCTTCAAACATGAACCGTGAAGTAATGATGATCTTTATTACGGTCTTTTTTAAAGTAACAATGAATATGTTTTATTTATATAACAGTAATTAGGGATGGACAATATATCGGCATCAATATCGATATCGGCCACAGTAATTTTTTTAACATATCGGTATCGGTTCGATAAATAAAACCGAGCCGATTTTAACTCATTCACTGCCAGCCGTTTCCTGATCGCTAAAGGCCTTCGCTGCCAGCGTTTCTCACCGTTTTTACTGTTTTTTTAAGAGTGACAGAACGTTGCGCGCTAGCATGATGTCGATGCCAAAACAACCAAAACAAAGCGGAGACTCACCTCTTACATCAGGAAGAATCCGCGCGTTTCGAGCGTTATCCGTTCTTTCATAATCCGTTGTTGAATTGTGATCGGCAGACACTTTTCTGGTTCCCGCCTCACTTTTTTTTTACAGGAACGGCCCAAAACGATCTCCTAATATATGGATGGTCTGCTTCCTGATCATGTGATCTGTGACGTATGCGGATGAAGATCGGCTTCAGGGCTGAGATGTTTGTTCTCTCAGCGCGGGGGCTCGTTCCGATGCTCAAACAGTAAAAAAAATGCAAATGACGACTTTAGTCGTCATTGGCAGTGAATGAGTTAACAACCGGGGGGGTATTTGTTTAGTCATGTGACAGTGAATGCAATCATCTCAGAAGCGTAAATGTGTGTGTTGTGCGTACATAATAATGTAAATTCAGCTTTACCAATATTCATTCAAATCTGCTGATTTTAGAAGCATTAATGTCAGTTTATCGGTGTCGGCAAATATCGGTTATCGGCCACAACAGTGATCTTAACTCATTCGCTGCCAGCGTTTCTCACCATTTTTTACAGTTTTTTTAAGAGTGACAGAACGTTGCGCGCTAGGATGATGTCGACGCCAAAACAACCAAGACAAAGCGGAGACTCACCTCTTACATCAGGAAGAATCCGCGCGTTTCGAGCGTTATCCGTTCTTTCATAATCCGTTGTTGAATTGTGATCGGCAGAAGCTTTTCCGGTTCATGCCTCACTCTTTTTACGGCAGCGGCCCAAAACGATCTCCTAACACATGGATGTTCTGCTTCCTGATCACGTGACGTGTTACGCACGCAGATGAAGATCGGCTTTAGAGCTGAGATGTTCGTTCTCACGGTGCGGGGGCTCGTCCGACGCCCACACAGTAAAAAAAATGCAAATGACAACAAGTGAAAGGTTGGATTTAAAATGACAGCTTTAGTCATCAATGGCAGTGAATGAGTTAATATCGGTATCGGCCCAAAAATGTCATATCGGTGCATCACTAACAGTAATAAATAAACAAACTGGGCTTTTGACATATGTAGTGGCAGGTTTCTGATGAAGGGACTAATCCTGATGCCCCTTCTGGATGCTTTAGGACAGAACTGGTTCATGTACTATTGATAAGATTTCTATTTTGAGGCATTTTTATCCTTCAAGACTGATACGCTAACAGATAGGCAGGGGAATCAAGTCCAATTACCTCAAACAACAAACCTTCCCAGCAGTTAATGCAAAATCCTTTTCTAAATCTTTACACTATCAATCTCGAGTTTTAGTTTTTTTTTCAGCATGAAATAATTCCTGCCAGATTTACCTCCCCATATTCTGTTGGTGATATTAACGACTAAAGAAAGGTTTTCAAAGAGCAGGTTCACTGAAAAAAACATCTTTAATGATTATTTTTGAAAATGATCGGCCCCTCTGAGTGTTTCGTGCAGGCTGAACATGAAAATAGTCTCCTACACCTATCTCCTGCAGTAGCTTCTGATAGAAAACAGACGGTGAAACACTAGGATTAGAAAATCCCGACAGATCTACGTCACACTGTCACTTCGGCTGTTGTTGGTTTAGCGTCCTGGAAACAGCAGAGAATGTCTATACTTATAGAAGCTAACCGATAACATTAGCAACTGCACCACACAGCAGAACTCCTCCAGGCTTGTGTTATTGGTGTAGATAAAACATCAACGTTGCAGAGTCAGTGGTAGAGTTGTGTTGCTGTCAACCAATCAGAGGAAAGATGTCCACATATCAGGAAATAGGACTCCAAATCCTGCCGACTTAAGCTACTTTCTCCTCCTGCTGACTTCCAAGTCCTCAAACAGGTGCACTGGAGCTTTTTTTCCCTCAGAGAATGACTTACAAGGCATTATTTTCTACTAGAGACCACTGCAAGTGTATTAAAATATGAGTAAAGTTCACCTTTAAACAAAAAAACCGAGATAAAGATGTCTGTTTCAAATAATTTCAGTCAACATTTAGTTAAAATAGTCTTAAAAGAAATTGCACTCAGTGTGTAAAGCTACAAAGAGTTTTTGTTTTTAAAAATATGCATCCCTCTGTCTCTCTCTCACACACACACACACACACACACACACACACACACACACACACATTGAGGATGGACTTGAACTGCAGGTAGACCCGTCCAGAGCCCATCTCGTGTGCAGATTCTGCTTCTTTTGTCTTGGTGAGAGAAGATGCACGACTGTCCCTGGAAGAGAAGTGTTGCTGAAGGCAGCAGCAGATGTTGCTGTAAAACCTCTGCTGGGCTTGTCTGTGAGAACGCTGCCATCACAGAAGTGGAAACGAGCTTTGCCAGGAACACACATCCAAGCCCGTACCATCACAGAGATGGAATTTTGGACTTGTTGCTGACAAAAGTCTGGATCCTCCTTTTCCTCTTTGGTCCGGAGCACGCGGCATCCGTTTTACATTTTATGGCCCCGTTTGTTGCCAGGAGGAGAAGAAAAACAAGAAGAGAAAGGGGAAGAAGGATGTGGATAATAAAACGGGACAGAGGACCAGATGTGGGCAGCGGACTCTGGAGTTTATGGACGGCGCCTTAAAGCTGAACAAGCACAGAGAAAGCACATCTTTCACTCACACTGGGATGGAAGGAAAATCCTGACATTCTTGTGGGAAACTGATCAGTTTTACTGACACAAACGGTCAGTTAAAACTTCCTAAGTCTTCTAATCAGGAGCAAAAAGACTAAATCCTAATATCTGCTGAGACAGAAAAGGTGTGGGGTTGATGGGATGCAGATGACGAACAGGGCTTGTCTCTCATCAGAACCAGGTGTAAAGTTTTTCTTCTTTGCTGATAAGTTTGCGTCAGTGAGCCGAACTTAAACTTTATAAAAACGACTGGAGACTGGGTCGGATTAGCTGTTCAGTGAGGAATTAGTTTTGAGTGGATGCTGCCTTTGATGTCCTGCAGAACCAGCACCAAGGTGCTCTCAGTCACCTTCATCTGAACCCTAATCCTAATCTGCGTTTCGGACTTTAGCTGCTTTCTCAGCCACTTTGTTCCTGAACATTCAGATCTGCTTTACCTGAGTTCTGTGGGAATTATGAAAAATGAATATCTCTGTTTTAGATTTAAACGGTCTCAGGAAGGAAACAGCAGTTCATCTCAGTTATGAATCTATTATTTATTACATTATTTTTTATGTAGCGCCAAATCACGATATCTCAGAGAACTTCACAAAATAAACGTTCTAAATGGAGCTCAGTTCATTAAGTCAATTAGGTCAAAGTTTCCTACGTAAAGAAACCCAGCAGGTTGCATCAAGTCACTGACTTGTTGTGTGTCTTTGCAGCAATCCTCATACTAAGCAAGCATGCAGCGACAGTGGAGAGGAAAACTCCCTTTTAACAGGAAGAAACCTCCAGAGGATCTTGGCTCAGTATAAGCAGCCATCCACACACACACACACACACACACACACACACACACACACACACACACACACACACACACGCACGCACGCACGCACACACACACTCACACACACACACAAATACTTGTCTCTTATGTGGACCCTCCATTGACTTTCATTCATCTCTGTGACTCCACTATGCCTAACCCATCCCGTAACCATAACCAATGCTGTTCTATTCCTAATCCTAATCTAAACCAAATGTTGATTCACACCATACCTTAAAAACCACGTTTAAGTATATTTTGTCATTGCCTGCAGCGTTTCAGGAACTAGAAGTGAACGTCATAGCTGAGCTTCAGACGACAGCATCTGGACTCTTATTTCCTGACATGTGGACATCTCTCCTCTGATTGGATAACAGCAACACGGCTCTACCATTGCCTCTGTTTCCAATGCAACATTGATGTTTTATCTCCACAAATAGCACAAGTCTGGAGGAGTTCTGCTGTGTGGTGGAATTGCTAATGCTAATGGTTAGCTTCTGCTAGCCGAGACGATTGTGCTTAAGTGACAGTGTGACATAGATCTGTCAGGATTTTCTAATCCTAGAGTTTCACCGTCTGTTTTCTATCAGAAGCTACTGCAGGAGATCGGTGTAGGAGAGGTTTCATGTTCAGCCTGCATGAAAACCTCAAGTGACCCGTTAGAATCAGAAATAATCATTAGAAATTTTTTTTGTGAAGCTAAACTTTACAAGCTAAAGTAGCAGGAAATAATGCAGCCAGAGAAGAGTGGAAGAAAGTAGCAGAGTGTGGAAAGTGGTCCGCATGTCCTCCCGCAGTCTAAGCCCATAGCAGCATAACAGTGATACACTTTTCAAAACGATGCCTTGAAACCTTTTAATTAAGAGCCAATCACACATAAAAAGGTTAATTTCAAGGGATGAGCCAGATTCTGTTCTCTGCTGGTGACTGTTTTAAGGGCTACAGCTCTCCAGCAGACCTCCACGCCGCTTGTCTGATTAGGTCTGGAGATCAGAGCAGCCCCACCCCCGGGAGCTCTGAAGGAGGAAATGGGAGGTAACATGGGTTTTGTGCAGGCTTCCTAAGACGTTTCGGCTCAGGGCTTCACTTAAAACAACTAAAACCTCATCTAGTCAGGGTAATGCATATTTTACAGATGTTTCTGTTCCAATTAAAGATTCAGATAAATTCCCAAATGTTCAGAGGAGAAGCAGCACCTGTTAGATTTTATTATTCATGAAGAAAAGAAACGCAGCTTTCTGGTATGGCCACTAGATGGCGTTGTGGTCCTTCAACTGAAATGAGTCAGAGTCTGTGTGGAGCTCCTAAAACAATAATCTAACCAGTAATCAGGTGCTGGTTTAAGCGGTAAAGCGGTGGAGGTGTGGAGTTCAGGCGCCCTGGCTGACGGGTGTCGAGCGGCTGCTCTCAGCCACTTTCTCTCCCCTCTCTGCAGTCCGTGTTGCTCCACCTCGTTCAGAATGAGTTCCTGTTCCTTTAAGGGATGTCTCCAACATTCACCGTAGTCACGCTGATCCATATTCAGAGAAAGTCCAGCGGTGGAGGGTGGGATACCAGAGCAGGGCCAAGAGCAGAAAGCAGGTGAGACCACTTCATCATCATCATCATCATCACTCAAACTCACGTTTTACCTCCAGACCCAAAGAGGAGCCTCAGCTGTGGCTGCAGCTCATGGACGGATGTCCTCTCAATCTCATTTTCAGCTCACAAGACAGTTTTTCCTCTTCTTCTCTGATCTTTGACCCCTGAAGATGAAATCTAACTTCATGTATTTCATTTATGTTTACTGCTGATTTGACTTTTCAGACTTTGAGACACTTTGTCTGTTTGTGTGTTTTGAAAGTGCTCGCTGTACTTCTTCAGCCTGTGGCTGTGTGCTGGCGGGTTGTTGGAGTGGAAAGCTCTTTTACATGATGCACAGGAAACACGCGTTCAGTGAACATCACCTCGTTCTCATCAAGCTAAAAGGAGAGACAGGGTCGAGCGATCAACCGTGGGCTTGCGCCCACTTTTATTTTTGTAGATTTCTTTTTATGCCGTCCACCCTAGCAAGAACGGCTCAAAAGGTTGCTTCTATTTCTGCAGAAATAGCAAACGGGTCTTTTTTAGGGCCAGGAAACGCATTCTGAGTCCCTGTAGGTCAAACTAAATGTGACAGGATGAAAGTGTGCAGCTGATCTCCAGTTTTTTTTCTGCTTTGAGAACAAACTGTGCTTCTGAAGCTGCGTCTGATCGACCAGGTTCTGGGTTTCCAAACCACCTCTCATCAGATTGAATAATCTCACCCCTCATCTTTTGCAGAGGGTTAACTCATCATGAGCGCCGATAAACATCCTGAGTTTGAATCCCCAGATGGAGACGGGATGGGTGAGTATCTGATTCCTTCTTTCAGCGTCGGTTCGTTCCCCCACAAAAAACGCCGTCCTGCTGCCTATGGCGAGGTGCAGACGGCTCAAGGTAGTTGTGTGTGTGTGTGTGTGTGTGTGTGTGTGTGTGTGTGTGTGTGTGTGTGTGTGTGTGTGTGTGTGTGTGTGTGTGTGTGTGTGTGTGCTGCAACTCTCACATCTGCATTTGTTTCTTGCAGTTGTTGTTCACGCCACGGAGAGACTTTGATGGTTAAATGTCTTGTGGATAACCTGCAGGTGTGACTCTTCCAGAAACCTGCGATGACGTTTCAGAGACGAAGTCACAAGAGGAGGAAGAGGAGAAGGAGGAGAACTCCGTCTGTGTGAATGGAATTCGGAGTGAGGGTGTCATGGATGCATGTACGTGCACACACACACACACACACACACACACACACACACACACACACACACACACACACACACACACACACACTTTTCTAAAAGAGCAAGTCACCCCCAAATAAACTTTTTTTTGCTGATAAACTAAATAAACGAGTGTCTAATCGTGCTGCAGACATGTGTCGTCAATAATTTGGCACTTCAATGCATTTTAGTTAAAATTTAAATATTCTGCCTAAAACTGTCAGTGTTGTGCCGTTGTCAGGTAAAAACTCTGCACTGTATTTGAATTTAAATCTGCCATCGCTATTGGCTAAGAGGTATGCTATGATGTAAACTGGTACATTATGATGTCACAATGCTGTCGTGAGCCTGTGTGTGTGTGTGTGTGTGTGTGTGTGTGTATTTGTAAGCTGCTCTGCCCTCTCGGTCTGCCAGGCAACAGCATTTGTTGCATTTTTCAAACATGAAGTGAGAGTGGAGTTAGACTCTGGTAGGGGGTGACTTGCTCTTTAACCGTGTTCACACTCGTTGCTGTTACGTTCAGCATTTTCCTCCTTAAGCGCTAAGAGTGACATTTGTTGGTTTAAATCTGCATCTTTTCTCTTTTAATCAGAAAACAGAAGTTTTTGTTTTTCATGAGAGGGACAGCAGAAGTTCAGGAGGTGGAGCGGGTTGTCCAGTAATCAGAAGGTTGCAGGTTCCATCCCGGCTCCTACTAGAGAATGCTGCTGTTGTGTCCTTGGGCAAGACAACCAGGTCCGCTGTGGCTGCATCGTAGCGCGTCCCCACCAGCGTGTGAATGGGTGAATGGCTGTGTTGTAAAGCGCCTTGGGGGGTTGTAGAGCCACACAATTACAGGCCATGTATCAAAATCTATTTTTCTGCTTAATCCCAGCCTGATTAGGAATTAGGACTTTCCATAAATCAGAACATGTGTAAAAATCCTTTAAAGGAGCTTAAAAATACCCGAAGAATCAGAAGTTGAGTCATCGCAGCTGAGGGTCATCTACAAGGTCCAGTCTGATGGTTCTGTTCAAGTGATTAAAGGCGTTATTTTCTGATTCAGGTTTGATTAAAAAGCGTCATTTATATAATTCAGGTTTTACACCCAAAAACAAACACAGAGTTAGTTCCTGTGACCTTTAATGGTGCTTAGCACCACTGAAGTCATGTTTAATGTGATGAGCAAGCTTTTTATTTAAAGAAAAGGTGTCAAAAGTTTTTATTTCTCCACGTTAAAATATCACTTTGCATCCGTTTGTATTGTATATCTTTTAATTTTATTCTTTTTAGGATTAATCGTGGAATTAATCCGAGATGGGTGGTTTAGGGGAAGAGTCCTCTGACGTTTAACAGAACCGACAGTTTTCAGTATGAACACGGCACCCTGCTGGGTGCACCTCCTAAAGCCCCGCTCTGCTTCTGCTGCACGGCCTGCGGTTCGAGACCCTGGACTTTATATCGGCGTCTCGGATCTCTGTGTGTGCAAAGTTTCCATAGCACCTCTGAGCGCTTTCCACAATTGAAAGCGCTGCTCTTCAGCTCATCATCAGTCACCGCCAAGACCACAGTGTGGTTTCTGGATGGAACTGAGCACCCTGGGGGGTAGGTTCATGCTTAGTAAGAGGTTAGGTGAGAGGTCCTGCAAGCCAGCCTGCAGGCCTCTGCAGCTTGACTACATCACACACACACACACACACACAGCTAGCTGTGCAAACGCTCTAAATCTCCTCTAATTTACGTGTTTTCTTTTACGCAGCCTGATTTGAGTTTTCCGTTCTTTAGTTGTTTCGACCCTCTGAGTTTCTATTTGGGCTTCGGCTGATTTCTGTTGTTTCCGATCGTGACGGTTGAGTCTCTGCGTCCAGAACACAATAAAAATCTGACAAAGGAGAAGAAGAAAGTATCATTTCTATAGCGCCTCTCAAGATAAAACTCACGAGGCGCTTCACAAAAACAAAAAATGGAAAAAGATAAAAAAGAATTTAGAAAATGGTTAAAAATATATTTAAATTGAGCAAAAAAAAAATAGTCAGTTGTGATTTAAAAATGTAAAAAAAAGAGAGTGTGTGAACAGGAAAGAGGGAAATCAGTGGATCCTGAGGAAGGTGGAATAGGTGGGGAGAGCAGAACAAGGAGAGGGTGATGAAGGTCACACCAAAACCTGAACAGGTGAGTTTAAAGGAGACCACTGAGTCCACTGATCTCAGGCTCAGGGGGAGAGAGGTCCAGAGTCTGGGGGCCACGGCAGCAGATGATCTGTCACCTTTGACCTTTAGCCTGGTGCTGCACAACCAGTAGGCTTTGATCACTGGACCTCAGGGACCTGCTGGGGGTGTAGGGACTAAGAAGATCACCAATGTAAGATGGTGCTTGTCCATGTAAGGCCCTATAGACCAGAACCAGGATCTAGAAATAAACCCTGAAGTTGACTGGCAGCCAGTGAAGCTGGAGGAGAAGCGGGGTGGTGTGGACAGGACCCAATAAATAAATATGTGTCGATGATCGTTGGCTGCATGGACGTAATTTTTGGGGGGGACAGGGGGGACATGCCCCCCCCCCACACACACACACACTTTTTCCAAAGTCATTTTTGACCCCTGCACTTTTTACCATCCAAAAACAACATTACGCTATATTAAGTTGACACTGGTTGAGCTCTAGGACCAAGCAGAAAACAACCGTTTGTGTTGAAGCCTGTTTCCCATTAGAACATACTGTAAAGATACCCCCCCCCCCGTGTCCCCCCCACTTCTAAAGTGAAAATTACGTCCATGGTTGGCTGTATGACAAGTTTGCAGCTAACAGCTTAGTGGAAATCACACAAATTTTCTTTTACTCTCTTTCAAACTGAGATATAAAGTCAGAGTCACATTAGTCGACACTCGCTGGTGGAATTTGTCCTCCGCGTTTGACCCATCCCCTGGGGGAGCGGTGAGCTGCGAACACGGCCGCGCTCAGGAACCATTTGGTGGTTTAAACCCAATCCAACCCTGCTGAGTGTCAAACTGGGAGGCACTGGTTCCCATTTATAAAGTGTTTGGTACGACCCGACGCTCGTGCCACTAGGCCACTGAGCCAGTGGTCTTTGGTATGTTGTTCTCCGTTACTTTGAGCCTTTAATGGAGCTGAATGAAACACAGGTCAGGGTTTAGTGGTTTCACCAGACAAATAAACAAACTGAGTGGAGCAGCAGCCTGCGTCCTAAAACATGCCTGACTTAATTTAGGGTGAAAAAAATACTTTTTTATGTTGTTAAAAGTGAGAATTTGCAGTTAAAAGGAATAAAAAAATGAAGGAACCCAACAATAAAGATCTGTAAACGGAGTTAAAAAGCAGCAAAAGGGAAATAAAAGAGCGTAAAAGACCTTCAGAACATCTGGAGAACTGTTGACGTTGAAACCTTTCTGCAGAGCGTGTGAACATCTGTAAAAGAAGAAGGGCCAGATAAAGACTTTAATGGTTGTAAATGTGATTAAAACACAGAAAAAGGAGCAGAAGTTGTTCTGGCTGTGGGAGAAAATGATCATTAGGTAGCTGATTCACGATGAACGTTGGAGGTAATAAAAAACACCCGAAATGACTCGTAAAGCAGAAGAAGTGGTGACTTGTCTTGTGCTTGAGGCGTCCGTTTGTCTCCCTCCTGGCCTGGTTCTACTTTCTGTGTTTTCAGAGGAAACGCTTTCCTCTTATCTCGCCTGCACATCTTCTGAATCTCTTTGTGACTCTACGCATCGGCCCAAATTAAGCCACCCACACCCTGGAGACTCGCGTGTTATGAATAAAAAGTTGAAGTGAAGACCTGACCTTGTTTCTGAACGTTCTGGCCCTTCTAGCTCCTTATTTGGCTGTGAGGAACATGTCCACGCTGCTGCTTATCCACTCTTCAGATGCGGTTTAAACATTTCTTCGTGTCCTCCGCTCTGCCCAGGTGCGATTAAGATGGAGGCCGAGGAGACGAGTGAGCACGAGCAGTATCCCAAAGAGGAGGCGGAGAGAGGCAGCGAGGATGGGATGGAGGAGGGATTTGATGAGGAGAGGACGGAGGAGGACAATGACGAGCAGAGGGATGAAGATGGCCTGAGCGAGCCACAGGACCTGTCGCTGATCGATTACTCGCGCTACAACGGCGCAGAGGCCCACGCTGCAGCGACGGCAGACGAGGCTGCAGAAGAGGGCTACGCGCCCGACGGCGTGGCCCCCCGCATCCAGACGGGGGGCAAGTTCAGCTGCGACATCTGCGGTCTGTCCTGCATCAGCATTAACGTGCTGCTGGTGCACAAGCGCAGCCACACGGGTAAGCGCCAAGCACGCAACCGCTGCACCATTCTCACGCAGCTCCAATCTTCTTTTATTGGTCAGGTCAGTTCGAGGGGCGCACCAAACCCACGATGCTCGCGTTCTGATCGGCGGCGGGATCTGATTCTGAAATGTCTTCTGTTGTTTAGTAACGGCACAAACTGTCAGCGTGTGATTTGATGTCGGAAACGGATAAGTGTTCAGATCAAGCTGCTCAGAGTCGCAGCTGCAAGACGGAGCATAATATTCATTCTGGACTCGTGAGGCTACGCTTTTCCTTGTGCTCCGCTCGCCGTCGGCACCCCACTGAGATCTGAGATGAACTGCGACATAAACCTGTCCTCTGAATGCTTTAAGAGCTGATCGTCGCACCTTTGATCGCGCTGCGGAGCGACCGACAGGGGAGAGGGATGGAAACGCTCCCTGTACTCCAACAGATGCTGTCACAGAAGTGTCCCGGGAAAGTTCGCAGGGCTTTGTTCTCGTGATAAAACTCACGGTGAGCGCTCGTGAACATTAGAGCTACTGGAGCTTTCAGCATAAAGTGACATAAGGTAGTTCGAGCCGTGGGAACGTGGGGTCAGGTAATCAAAGTGGATGTGACTTTGTTCCTCTTCTATAGATGGTGGATGATTCTGCTGTTTGCAGTTAACTGTAACACGAGGAAACGAGTGTGGCACCGAGCCACGAGAGATCTGCAGTTGCACGTCAAAAGAAGAAAGAAAAGGAATAAAACTGCAAAGTAGAAAATTAGACGTAGCTATGAAGCTCAGTGCCGCTGTTGCCTAAAATCCATTCCAAACATACTCATAAATAATAATAATAATAATAATAATAATAATGCATTAATAATAGTAATAATACTACTACTGATAATAATAATAGTAATACTACTACTAATACTACTACTACTACTACTACTACTACTACTAATAATAATAATAATAATAATAATAATATTAATAATAGTAATAATAATACTAATACTATTACTACTAATTAATATAATAATAATAATAATAGTATTATTAATAGTAATAATAATACTAACACTAATACTACTAATAATACTGCTACTACTACTACTACTACTACTATTAGTAATACTACTACTACTACTACTAATAATAATAATAATAATAGTATTATTAATAGTAATAATAATACTAACACTAATACTACTACTAATACTGCTACTACTACTACTAATAGTAATAATAATACTAATACTACTATTAATACTGCTGCTGCTGCTACTACTAATAGTAATAATAATAGTAATAATAATAATAATAGTAATAATACTCATAATACTGCTGCTGCTACTACTACTAATAATAATAGTAATAGTAATAATACTATTACTACTACTACATGGGGCTGCATGGTGGCACAGTGGTTAGCACTATTGCCTCGCAGCATGAAGGTTGCAGGTTTGAAACTCGGCTGCGGCCTTTCTGCGTGGAGTTGCGTGTTCTCCCCATGCATGCGTGGGTTTCCTCCTGGTACTCCGGTTTCCCCCACAGATCACAACATGCCCTATAGGTTATAAATTGTAAGTCCCTTTTCTGCTAAATGAATAAACATAAACATACTACTACTGCTAATAATAATACTAATACTAATAATAATAATCTACATTGCCACGGTAACGTTGTGATCTCCAACCAGTGGCATGAATCTTAGCAGGACCACCTTAAAAATAAGATGTTGTGTTTTACAGGATAAGCAGCTCATGGTGAAGGACAATACCTTTTCTGATCGCAGTAAACCGTCCGTTTCTCGTGCCTTTGTCCTGTCCAGACTCGACTGTAACGCTTTGTATGCTGGTCTGAGTCAGGGCGCGATTCCTGCCTACAGCTGGTTCAGATCTCAGCTGCCAGGTTTCTGACAGGAACAGGATGTCGTGAACACGTTACACCGGTGTTGGCGGAACTCCACTGGCTTCCCACGCAGCACAGAGCAAAGTTTAAAGTGCCGATGCGAGCTCAGAGGGTTCTGCACGGCACTGCTCCCGCCCATCTATCAGCTTTACTTTGATCTGTTGACCAGGAGTTGGTGGTGGTCCCTCGCTCCGGGTGCAGATCAACAGGAGATCGTGCGTTTGCAGTTTTGGCTCCAACTCTGTCCAACGGTCTGCCCTAGACCATCAGGCAGACGGGTTAGGGTTTTGGAGCATTTTGGTGCCGTGTGGGAGACGAAAACAGAACTAAGGCCAAAGACATGGTAAATCTGCTGCCAGCAGCTCATTGTGGTCACCATGGCAACCACCAGTAGCTTGTTAAAGAAAACATGGTGGCTCCATGAGGTCACCAGCGTAACGACACACAGAGCAGCCTCAAGGTAAAAACAAACAACCGGTGTGTGAAAACTAGAAACACGAAGAAGAAAATTCAGTCTGCTCTGGTGGTCTCATGTGAGTTTTTATCCTTCTATAATGTTTTGTGTAGAGAAACAAATAAGAAACTGAATATTTGGAGCTAAAACATAGCTACAGTCATGGAGGCGTTGCTGTGCGCTCTGAGGGGATTTGAGACAAAAGCATCAGTCCTGCAGCAGTGAGCCAGGCGACAGGAGGCACAAACACGGACGTTTGGATGTACGAGTTTGTATTTGTACTAAAAAGCTGCTGTAGCGAGAAGCTGAACGTAAACGGTTCAAAAGGACGTCAACAATCCTACAACTTTGACGATAATCGTTCAAAACCTGCTTCAGAGGTTTAAAATGTCAGTTCAGGAATGTAACGTCTAACTTCCTGTGACACGTTTAAATGTCCAGTCAGCGGTAAAAGAAGTACTTCATTTGTTTGCTGAAGTAAAAGTACAGATAAAGGGGTTAAAAGGTGGCTTAAGTAAAAGTGGAAGTATCCAGGAAATCCTTGACAAAAGTAAAAGTAATAAATGATGCATTTTTAATGTAAGTCAGAAAAGGGTAGAATGCCTTCTCCGGGTCGGGGATGAGGTCCTGCCCCAAGAGGAGGAGTTTAAGAATCTCGGGGTCTTGTTCACGAGTGAGGGAAAACTGGAGCGTGAGATCGATAGGCAGATTGGTGCTGCATCTGCAGTGATGCGGGCGTTGTACCGGTCTGTCGTGGTGAAGAGAGAGCTGAGTCAGAAGGCGAAGCTCTCGATTTACCGGTCGATCTACGTTCCTACCCTCACCTATGGTCATGAGCTTTGGGTAGTGACCGAAAGAACGAGATCGCGGATTCAAGCGGCTGAAATAAGTTTTCTCCGCAGAGTGGCTGGACTCTCCCTTAGAGATAGGGTGAGAAGCTCGGCCATTCGGGAGGGGCTCGGAGTAGAACCGCTGCTCCTCCACATCGAGAGGAGCCAGTTGAGGTGGCTCAGGCATCTGGTCAGGATGCCTCCTGGACGCCTCCCTGGTGAGGTTTTCTGGGCACGTCCAACCGGGAGGAGACCTAAAGGTAGACCCAGGACACGGTGGAGGGACTATGTCTCTCACCTGGCCAGGGAACGCCTTGGGATTCCCCCGGAGGAGCTGGCCCAAGCGGCTGGGGAGAGGGAAGTCTGGGCCTCTCACCTTAGGCTGCTGCCCCCGCGACCCGACTCCAGATAAGCGGAAGAGAATGAATGGATGGATTTTAAATGTACTTTAAAGTAATAAGGTAGAAGATGTGATGTGTAGAAGTGTTGCGTCGGACCTGGGGAGAGGGCAACAGGTGAATTAAAGTACTGTTACCTTTGACGCTGCAGTCCGGAGCACACAAGGGTGTTTGCTACCGGTCTCCGTCCGACTGGAGTGGGGTGGGGGTTTCACAAAACCACAGTAAAGTAATTTTACTCTTTAAACTTTTTAGAAAGTATAGTGGAGTAGAAAGTACAGATTACTGCTGTAAAATATAGTGGAGTAGAAGTAAAAATCTGCCCTTTGTAGTACATTATGTGTAGTACTCGAATGTACACGCTCTTATATCCACAGCTGCTAGATGAGAACTTTGTGTGTGTGTGTGTGTGTGTGTGTGTGTGTGTGTGTGTGTGTGTGTGTGTGTGTGTGTGTGTGTGTGTGTGTGTGTGTGTGCGTGTGCGTGTGCGTGTGCGTGTGCGTGTGTCTCTCAGGAGAGAGGCCCTTCCACTGCACCCAGTGTGGGGCCTCCTTCACCCAGAAGGGAAACCTGCTTCGCCACATCAAACTGCACTCCGGAGAGAAGCCTTTCAAATGCCCGATGTGCAGCTACGCCTGCCGCCGCCGTGACGCCCTGAGCGGGCACCTGCGCACCCATTCTGGTAGCAGCCAGCCACATGCACTCCTCACGTTTGGCGCTGATATGCTCTGATACTGTATGCACCTGCGTGTGCAGTGTCCTTCCAGTTGGTTTCTCACTGCTTTTTCATTCGTAACACCTGAGGTGTGCAGAGCCTGCGTAGCTTTTCCAGTAACAACCTGTAATTCAGCCTCGTCTCGTATCTTAATCACCTCTGGAAACTTAGTCATTTGCTTTCAGGTGGTGTGATTTTCCTGCAGAGAGGCTGCACGATCTCTAAAATCCACATCATCAGTTTTGAGCGAAACTGCCTGCTTAGGAAACTCTTTCTTGCTGTGCCAACTTGTCACGTCCTTGCTGCCGACGCTGACTGACTGAAACCTCTTGTTTGCAGTGGAGAAGCCCTTCAAGTGCAACCACTGCAGTCGCAGCTACAAGCAGAGAAGCTCCCTCGAAGAGCACAGAGAGCGGTGCCATGTGTACGTTCAGAGCAAAGGTCCCGCCGAGAGAGGTGAGCACACGGCGACGCCTTCAAAGCTGCCCCACGTTTCACACGCGCAGCCGTGATCCGTCGGCACGCGAGCAGCAGGCGTGCACTCAGAGCTTGTTGTTGCCAGCAGATCCTGGTTTTAGGGCCTCGTTAAGTTAATGAACTCACGGCTGTGCCGCGTGATTGCAGCTGAATGGGTTATGGCCGCTGTGGCGTGGAGGCTCGGTGCCTCTCATGTCAGTATCAGCAGAAGTGGAAGCCAAATAGGGCCACATCAGCATCATCTACGCCACCCCCCCAACCCCCCATGGTGCTTTTATGAGCCGGCAGGACTGTTGGACGATTGCAACACACACACACACACACACACACACACACACACACAGAGATGGCGTAAGCTTTTGCTTGATAGTGCTGTAGTGGTGAGGAAGTACATCCTCATCCTGTGGTCTCCTCTCCTGCACTGATGAGGTAACAAGAAAAAAAACCCAACATCAAGCAGGAAGTGAGGTCAGAATCCTGATTCTGATCCTAAATTAATATCTCGTTCCTCTCTGAGGTGAGCAGCCGGCGCGGTCGCAGCCCAGTGAGCTCATGGCGCAGCCTCGCCAGCAGAAGGTCTTCGTTTTCTTTTTGTTTACTTTTCCTTTTTGTTGTTGTTGTTGTTGTTGTCGTTCACGCGGTCAAGCAGAGGATGGCCACACACCCAGGTCTCAGATGGGCTCTGAGCGCGCGCTGCTTCTCGACCGCCTCGCCAGCAACGTCGCCAAGCGGAAAAGTTCGATGCCGCAGAAGTTCACGGGTAAGAGCGCCTGAAGAGGAGCTCAGCAGCTCTTATTTTGGAAGCTATCTGCTTAAATCTTCCAGCACTTTCCAGTAAATTGCATCTATTCTTCAACCTGCTTTCATCGTAAACGCTGCTGACTTTTTGATGCGTTGATTTGCTTTTTGCGTGCTTTAAAAAAAAGAGAGATTTGTGCTTCACGGGTAGTTTTAAAGCTGTCTGTCAGAGCTTTTGGTCTGTCTGTTTACTCTGGCCTCTGTCCCCTGCCAGGCAGAGCAGCTGCCTCTTACCTGCACACACCACCGAGTGGTCTCCTCTGCCCTAAATACTCCACAGCAGGGGTATCATAGGTGGGTATCTGTCACCGTGCATGGTTATTTTCACCTACTTGATGTTTTTATGAAGTGAGGGCGCATGCACCTGAAACGTGTCGGTTTTGCCGCTCGCTCTGTGTGTTTTGATTCGAATGCCGAGCGATGATGGATCCCAGGGTCACAGTAAACGCCAGAGTGGGCTGGGCTGTTTCCCAGACCTTCATAAGTGCACACGCAGTGTTCCCCTCTCTTCTCAAACTCAGCGTTGGGTTGTTGTTTCACAATCACGCCTCGAGCTCCTCACACACACTCACTCACAAAAAAACAGAAAAGAACTCCCCCGTCTATCAGCTTGACAAATGAAGTGAGATCTTTCAATATGACAACCACAGGGGAAAAGAGAAGTAAGAGAGTCTGCGACCGCAGAGAGAGACAGAAGAGGCGGGAGGCGAGAAACGTGAGCAGGTGTTCTTCTGTCGATGCTTCTGCCGAGCAGCTGCTCTGAAGGCCTCCATCTGCATCGTCTGCTTCCTCTCAGCCTTCTGTGCTCTCCTCTTAAGCTGCTCTTGTCCCGCGTGGCGCCTCTTTGGGCGAAGGGGGTACACATATTTATCTGCGGTCCAGAGAGACACCCCCCCCCTCATATGGAGCGCTGTTGTTAGTTTTTTGGTGTCTGTAAGCAACAACTGCCTCGCTGCTTTCTGATGATTTTCTGGATGTGTTCTTAAGTGAAGTTGGTGAAACCTCCTCCCTCCTGTTCAGGTGACAATGGGGTCTGTCTGGACCTGAGCTTCAACCGGGACGTTCTCCATCGATCTGATGCGAAGGAGCCTTCGCCGGGCTCCCCCGGGCCTGATGGACACCAACAGCAGTCGGTCCTCTCGGGCCCAGACGCCGACCCTCCTCCCGCTCACAGGCCCTACCCCATCCCATTAAGCCGCACCGACATCGGCCCGATAGGCCTCACAAATGGCCACAAGATGCCGATTCTGGGCCTTCCTCATGCCGCGCAGCCCCCCCTCGGCCTGGACTCCTTCCACTCTGACGGATCCCAAATGTCCCAGCCCGTCATGTACAGCCTAGGGCACCTGCTGGGGGGCCTGGGTCACCAGAACGGTGTGCCACACCCTCACGGCCAGCCCATCCCCCTGTCGCCCCTGGAGGCCCTGCGAGTGATGCGGGCCGACGGGGAGGCGGGGGCGCTGCCCGGAGCCGTGTATCCCTGCGGCCACTGCAGAGTCATCTTCCTGGACTACGTCATGTTTACCATCCACATGGGGTGCCACGGCTTCCGAGACCCGCTCGAATGCAACGTGTGTGGCCACCGCAGCCGGGACCGTTATGAGTTCTCGTCCCACATAGCCCGTGGAGAGCACCGCCTCGAACTGAAGTAGACGGCTTCGTACACACAGACAGATCAGACGCAGACAGACCTACTCATAAGAGGAGTTAGTGAACGGTTTAGCGGCTGCTCTGTTTGTCTGCGTACGTGAATGTCGGCGCCGTAGGAGTTGTCGCTTTGTTCTCATCTGAAACGCCTGTAAAGTCTTATTTCAGGAGTAATTCTGCTTCTTACCACGCATATATTTGTACTTCAGCACCCGTTTGTACCATAAAGCCACGTGTGTTTCATTCCAAGAACAAGAAAAAAGAATTTTGTGTATTTTGAACCCGTTGTTTTTCTACTTTTGTAAACGTGAGAATAAAAGATGATCCCTCCTCCGTCACACACGAGCTGCACAGTGTAGACAGAAGTTCGGCTTCGAGGCTGCAAACAAAAAAAAAGATCCTATTATCTCGAAGGTCACATGTCTCCTTTTTTAGGCTGTGGTTTTCAGAGAGGCGCAGTGCACAGCTTCAAAGGACACCACGCTGCATCAAGTCTCGGTTTCTCATTCCTAAATAATGTTCTCGTAGCGCTCCCACCAGACAGAAGCATTCTGGGTTTCCATGAAAGAGCGCACAGCGGCCGGACGCCAATGTGGAGCTCACTTCCTGCCAAACTGACTGTCTGAGCTGAGGACTGTTGGCTTCAGGAGCAAATCAGCTGTAGATGTACGTCTGTTGATCATAGAAGTTTCATTAAAACAGGCCCAAAAACGATGACCTTCTGCTGGTGGGTGGTGACCAGGAAAATGAGTAAATCTGTAGGAGTGAATGCCTTGTAAGTCATAATCTGGGGGAAAAAAAGCTCTGGTGCACCAGTGTCAGAAACTAGGGGTGTCAATGTCAAGGCGCCTGGCTTACGAGGACTCTGTCCTTCCTTGGTCAAAGAAAACAGTTAACGCGGCCTCCATGGCGGTCACGTAACGTCACGTGACACGGAAGATAATGTCATATTTTATATGTATTAGTTTAAATATAAATATATAACGACACTTTTACTTTTTAAATTGTGTATATAATATAAGTGAGTTACTACCCGCTAGCCACGAAGCTGCAACTACTAAGCAGCTAACCAACCATAGATAACTTTTTTGGATCTAAAAAAACATTTTAAATTAGCTGACTTACTTTTAAACTTGAAATTTGTCCCTGAAGTAGCTGCCGGCTTCTGATCCGCCGTCCTTTTGAAAATACTGTGGTGTATTCTGGGTAATTTTTGACCAAGGCTAGACTACAAGACACCTCCCGTGTGTCTTCGCTCAGCTAGCTAAACGGCTAACAAACGGAGAACACACGCCTCGGTAGAACATGAACATTGGAACACGTCTTGGCGGCTCCCGATGATGTATCTCCTAGGCAACCGGGGCGGGGCCAAGACATCAAGGCAAGGTTCCTTGGCATTGAGAAACACCCTAGAAGTGAGCCAGATAAGAGGAGAGCTTCAGACGGCAGGATCTGGAGCCTTACTTCCTGATACTTGGACATCTCACCTCTGATTGGTTAACAGCAGCACAACTACCACTGAATCTGTTTGCTCTGCAACGTTGATGTTGTATCTCCACAAATAACAGAAGCCTGGAGGAGTTCTGCTGTGTGGTGGAGTTGCTAATGCTAACAGTTAGCTTCTACTAGCCGAGACGTTTTCTGCTGTTTTCTGGACTTGAAACCAACAACAGCCTTCCCCGTCGTGAGTCCAGACGGGTGAGTCCATGAATGTTAGTGACAGTGTGACGTAGACCTGTCAGGATTTTCTAATCCCAGAGTTTCACCGTCTGTTTTCTATCAGAAGCTACTGCAGGAGATAGGTGTAGGACCAGACTTCCTTTTGTGTGCTGAGAAACTGACACTTGGAGGTGTTCCTTCCCATCATCATCTGGAGGAAAGGTTGATTTCTTTCTGATTTCTAGCTGCGTGAACGTGGTCCAGGGGAGGAGGGTCTCAGTCAGAACCAACAACCAACTGTCATGGTTATTCAACTAGAAAAGAACAGAGGAGCCGATTTTAATCAGCAGTTTCACTCTTCCCTCTTCGCTCTCGCCTCGCCCACAGAATGGATCATCACTGATTATTCATGCCAGTAAAGCTCCTGCTGTGGGAATTTATTTGCTACATTTATTTTAAATGTGAGGTTTTCTGGGAATTTTAGATGTGAAAAACCTTCCAAACTTCCAGTGACTACTACCTGTGCCCCCGTCTGAGCGCAGCGGGGAAGTTTTGTCGAGCACGCGAGATGACACGCCACAGACTTCATCATGTCCGCGCGTCAGGCTGAGTGTGTGTGCGTGTGTGTGTGTGTGTGCACTTTGCCCACACGGCGCTGCAGGAACTTGTTCACGCCTTGCTGCCTTTAGACCAGAAGAGGGTGTCAGCCTCATCCAGCTGCCACCTTGCTATCTGTCCTCTCCATCAGCTCCAGTTCCCTTTTCTCTCTCTGGGTTTGAAGAGAAGTGACACTTGTGAAGGCAAACTGTTATCACAGCTTCCATTCCACATGACAAACAGCATAGTCATTCGTTTCTGCAGAACTTCACTGCTTCTATTTTTGCCCAGGTACAAGACACGGCTCGCTCGTTGACGTGCCTGTTTTTGGTCTTTAACAGGAAGCCAGAGCACCAGGATAAACACACACACACACACACATGCACAAGGAGAACATGCTATGGATTTGAACCTATGGCCTTGATATGATGCAACGGTGCTACCCGTTGCTCCATCTTCTCCGAACAGCGGTTCTGAGTAAAGCTGACTTTATCAATGATCCGTGGGAATGTGGGAAGGCGTAAAACGTGTAGAGTAACAAGAACGACTTACTTCTCCAAAGACTTTGAGACTTTAGTCCAGGTTTCAAACACAGAAAGTCAAACACAGATGAATCAACATAAAGAAAGTGGTTTTTGGTGACATCTGCTGACAGACTAAGGAAAATAGAGCTGATGAATAAGCAAATCTGTTCTCTTCCTGATGGTGTAAAGTGTTTTAGAACACAAATATTTAGATATCAGAGATAACCCGAGTCAATACAAAACACTGTTTTCAAAAAATCATTACACTGGTTGGATTCATCCAACATGTTTAAGGTCAGAGGTCTACCTCAGCATTATCTGCTAGAGAGGTTGTGGTTCACCAACACCAAGTGTCCCGGACCATCACACTACCACCGCCGTGCTTGGTAAGATGTTTTATGCTTAAGTTTTACTTCAGATGGAACAGGATGCACACCGCTTTACTCTCATCAGTTCACTGAATATTTTCCCAGAAATCTTGGGGATTATCGAGATGTATTTTGTGTTTGGTAATCAGTGTTTGGTCTTCTTCGGGTCTGCAGAGGTTTTGGCCTTCTGGCCTCGACCAAGTGAGGCATGCAGTGCTGAAAATGTTCTGGTTACTTGAATTCCTCTCGAACGGGACATGACGTGTTGCTTTTTGATATCTTTTAGCCTTCGTGTTGTCAGACGGCTTCTCTTGAAGGGATTTGTTAATTCTACAGGTCTGACATTAATCAGGCAACAATAACAGATCAATGATTATGTTTTTTACTCTGTTTAATTTTTATGTAACCACATAAAAAAAGAGTTACCATTTTTAGGGGCTACAAAACTACGAACCTCTACAGTGCTCCAGCTGACAGCACCTCAAATACAACAATGTCTGAATAAAAAAATAATGAAATACTTCAAACCACCTTGTTGCTATTCTGTAGTCTTTTTTGTCAGACGTTAGCCCAGCTTGACTGGCCCAGTTTCTATGATTTAAATATAAAAAAGACTGTTTGACTAAATAACATGATGTGATTTGGGTAGATGATTTGTCAGGGAAAAAAAAAAGAAATTTACAGATGTTTTGATTACTGATTCAACAATGAGAGGCATGGAATAATGAAAATGTGTTATTATTATTATAAAACGTGTTCCACTGATTTCCCTCTTTCCTATTCACTCTCTCTCTTTCTTAACATTTTTTCTTTTAATTCCCAATTGCCTATTTTTGCTCATTTTAAATATATTTTTAAACATTTTCTAAATGCTTTTTTACATTTTAAAATTTTTTTTGTTTTTGTGAAGCACCTCGTGATTTTTCTCTTGAGAGGCGCCATAGAAATGATATTTTCTTCTTCTTATAACCACCTATTCATGAATAATGACACTTTCTATGCCCTGATTTCCAGCTTTAGTGTAGGATCTGTGTTCGGACTCTCCAAAAATGTCTGTACAGCAACAGAGAATGGTCTTAACGACCAACAACCGCCAGATGTGTCTGTTTTCAGGTCAGGACGTTTGGATGGTGAAACACCCTGCAACAGTCCCCGCTGCTGTTGTGCACGTGTCCGGCAGATGGCGCTGTTTCCACACAGCTGTTCGAGATGGCGCAGCCAGCGGTTCTGACCGTTTGACCTACATGAGTCGCTGAGCTGCTAAAACAAGAGAAGCAGGTCAGATTATTTAATCCCAATAATTTGGTACAAATGTCATGTTTACTGTCAGAGTTTGAGGAGGTCCGGGCTCTGAAGTTGCTCCCTTCGCCTTGACTTCTGATTCCGACCCGGAGGAATCAGCTGTGAGCATGCGCACTGCTTCGGGAGGACATCACGGAGAAAACGTAGAAGCAGCAGAATTTTACACACCGAGATTTGGTTTCCCCGCTGCGCCCAAACTGCGCGTCCGACGCGGAGCACGACGATGCCCGGTGCGGCGTTGAGGTGCGGGGCGACCACCTGACAAGGCCCCGCCGAGGTTCGAGTCGTCGTCCGGAGGGGAAATTTATTTCTTCGTATGGGAGCAGCATGCGGGAAATGGTCGGAGGTTGCTGCGTGTGTTCAGACGAGCGAGGCTGGGCTGAGAACCCGCTGGTTTACTGTGATGGACATGGCTGCACCGTCGCCGTTCACCAGGGTAAGCCGCCGCTAGCGAGTGGTTGTCGGGCAGCTGTTGGAGGCTGAGCCGGCGGCGCCGCTCGGTCGGTCGGTCGGTCTGTAGGAAGGCTGGCCGCTGTCTACGTGCGTGTTTCTGTGCGGGTGGGAGGGGTGGGTAGGCGTGCTGTTTGTTGTGAACGCTGGGGGGGCACGCAGGCTGGATGGAGCCTCCGCGGCAGGTCCGTGTGAGGATGTTCGGCCCGGTGGAGCCCAACGGCTCCGGGGAGGCCCACCTGTCCGGTCCGCTTTGTTGGTTTAATCTCACCTGAAAGGAGAGATCCGGTTTCTGAGTAAAAACCAGGTCTGAATAAAGCATCACGACTCTGAAGCAGGATTACCACAACAAAAACAGCAGCCTGGGTTAAAGGTTAAAGGTTAAACACGAAGGACGAACAAATAAACAGTAACAGGAAAATAAACAAATAAACTTTACATTTTTATCATTCAAATGATCCAAATACTAAAAAAAATCTGGTATCGTTTTCAAATGAAAAAGCCTTTTTTTAACCATCGTTCCTGATTATAGCTGGTTTACAAACACCGAATAAACTATATCATCATTTAGTTTATTGGTATGTGATTGTGGTTGTTTGTTGGATTTAACATGTTGTGTCGGATTGATGATGATATTATAAATACAATCATTGTGAAAAGTATATCAAATGTTGTATGGGAGTGTAAGCTGAATTAATTTGTTGTGATATTGAAATAACTGATGCGAGTGGGATTAAATGGGGTGGGATTAAATAAGTTTTACTTCCTCCCACTCAAGCAAGGGCTAAATGATTGCTTCTTTTGTTGTGCATCGTCGCTTATGTATATCTGCATATTTATTTTATTTTTAATGGCTCAAAATAAAGATGAATGAATAAAAAAAGATGAATGAATGAATGAATTAGAAAATGCAACGTTCTTCTAAATTATGCAGAATTACATCAGTATCTGCAGAAGCGGCCAGATGGCCACACTCTTTAATTTTATATCTATTTGCTGCCATAAGGGATGTGAATTATTGTCAAAATAATAATATAAAGGACATAATAAATGGATGGGATTTAGATCTGGATCATTTTGTTCAAATGTTTCGCCAACGTAAAAAAGCACCAATGGATCCATAAATGACCTAAAACGATGAAATGGTTGTTGGCCAGATTTTTAGTTTTAAGAAGTTGAAGTTTCTCTCATACACAAATATTTAGCTTTGTGCTTAATCTGTTTTATGTTTTGTTGTGTTTTACTCCAACAAAGATTCAAAACCACTTCAGATATGTTAAAAAATCATCCCATCTTTTGGCTTTTAAGTAAAGTTGCACAAAGAAGGAAACAAATTACTGATCAATAGTTGCAGTTATAATTGAACTCAATCAGTGCATTTTAAATAGGGATGTCCCGTTCCGATATCGATGTTGGAAGTAATTCGATATCGGCCCAAAAACGCTATCGGATTACATCGGACTGCATCAAAAATCTCCGATCTAAGCAGTTTATTAAGGTTCAAATTTTTGTAACCAGTGGCTAAAATAAAATATGATTTTTTTTTCTCTGAGTAATATCACTTGATCATGCCTTTCATACACCCACACTACGAAATAGGTAAAAGTATGTGTGATTTGTGCTGATATCGTATTGGATTGATATCGGTATCGGTCAATACTGAAGGCTGCGATATCGGTATCGTATCGGAATTGAAAAAGTTTTATCGGGACATCCCTAATTTTAAACCCATTTTGGGTGAGGACCAGAGCTGTTTTAACTAGAGGTCGACTGATATTGTGTTTTCTATTGCCAGTACCGATAAAGGAGGCATGGTCAGCCCATGGCCGATATCTAGATGTTTTCCACCTTATTTTCATGCCATGATGTCACCAATAACATCAGCTGATGCACAAAATTTCTGAAGCTGAATCTGTTTTTGAACTCTGAATTTAACTAACTGTTGAATCGTAACTTTGTGCATACTCAGTGTTAAAGTCAGACACCTGAATAAAGTTCATTGAGTGTTTATTACGCAGATGTTATCAGTGAAGTCAAAAATACATGTAAATTAAACACAACAGCGCCGGGCTGCCTGAGGATGCATCGGACTTCCAATCGACTCTATAAGGACAAAAATCAGCTGATGGATAAAAAGCAGGGAATATCGGCCCGATAAATCGGTCCATCCCTAGTTTTAACTGTCTCTGTGGCCTAATTTTGTTATCGGTCATTCTGCTGCACAAACTTCATGCACTTGTTGCATAAACTGTAAAAACAGCAAAAACCACCCTCCCTTGTTGTCAGCTTTTTGGTATATGACACTCAGGTTTGTGTCGGAGCTACAAGGCGCCGCTTAAGAGGAGCTGATGACCCACATGCAGCTCCAGAGCCTCAGCTTTCAGACCCCTAGACCGGACACTTTCCAGAGTCAGAGTCCGAATGGAACACTTTTGGGATTCCCAGAAATCAGATTAAGCTGTAAAATAATAATTTTGACAAAATAAAAACTATGAATCTATACAAGCAGCAGTTAGAGTCGATCTTTGCCTGCTTTTTCAATATTTACTCAGTCCAAGCTGCAAGTATCACGTCACAAGATCGCATTTGTGGGTCGGAAGCTAAAGGTTTTAGGAATTGCCGGCATTTTCCTGGCAATGTTGGGCTTTTGTGTTGTTTTTATTTGGGTGAAGTGATTTTTAAAAAAACAAACAACTTCCCAGGTTTTAAAACATTAGAAAACGTTTGTGTGTTTGCAGGAAAGTCGATGTTTCTGGCTCTAATTTAACGATTCAGACTAGTAATCTGGATTAGGATTTGTGCATCATATGAGACTTGGGAATCCTTGAGATTAATGTTATGATAGTAATTTACATTTAATTAAGGACCGTGAGACGTTAAGATCCCATATCGAGTACAGGGTCAATCTTACGGACCACTGGTTTATTTCAGAAGACTGGAACTTTTTAATGCAGGGATTTAGATAACTCTTTGTATTGACTGAGAGACAAGAGAAGAGAGAGAGACCTTCAAACGTTTAAGATGATTTATTACTTAACAAATTTAAACAATTTAACAATACTAACTCTAATGATGGATGTTCTGTTTGAATGAGGTGTGAGATGGATGGTGTGTTTATGTTTATGTATTTAGCAGACGCTTTTGTCCAAAGCGACTTCCAAGTGATAATCGGCATGTTGCCCTTGAGGCTAACAACAACAATAACAACAACTTGACATCAATCATGGAGAGGAGGGAACAAAGGAGTGGACGGTGGTGGGTGGTGGGCGGTGGGGGGGGGGTTGCAGGGAAGGTGCTAGCTTAGAAGATGCTCTCTGAAGGGCAGGGTCTTCAGGGGTTTCTTGAAAATTGAAAAGGAAGCCCCTGTTCTGGTAGTGCTTGGAAGGTCACTCCACATTTGTGGAACGATGCATGAGAAGAGTCTGGATTGTCCTGAGCGTGGTGTAGGCACTGCTAGCCGACGATCCTGTGATGACCGGAGCGGCCGGGCCGAGACGTAAGCCTTTGCAAGAGGATTCAGGTAGATGGGAGCCGTACCATCTCGGACTTTGTATGCTAATGTTAGCAGTTTGAATTTGATGTGTGCTGCTAGCGGTAGCCAGTGGAACTCAATGAACAGAGGGGTGACGTGTGCTCTTTTAGGCTGATTGAAGACCAGACGCGCCGCTGCGTTCTGGACCATTTGAAGAGGTCTCACAGTACAGCCTGGAAGTCCAGTTAGAAGGGAATTGCAGTAATCGAGGCGGGAGATGACAGTAGATTGCACCAGGAGCTGGGTGGCGTGTTGTGTTAGGTATGGTCTGATCTTTCGTATGTTATACAGCACAAAGCGGGATGAACGAGCAACAGAGGTAACATGATCTTTAAAGGTCAGGTGTTCATCGATCACAACACCCAGATTTCGAACTGCCTTTGAAGGAGCCAGATATAGGAAGTCATTTTGGATTGAGATATTGTGCTGTATGGATGGTTTTGCTGGGATGACAAGTAATTCAGTTTTAGAGAGGTTGAGTTGGAGATGGTTGGATTTCATCCATTTTGATATGTCAGAGAGACAGTTTGATATTCGTGCAGAGACGGTGTGGTCGTCTGGTGGAAATGACAGATAGAGCTGGGTGTCGTCTGCATAGCAGTGGTAGGAGAAGCCATGTGATCGAATGATCTCACCCAGTGAGGTGGTGTATATGGCAAAGAGAAGAGGTCCTAGTACAGAGCCCTGGGGGACTCCTGTGGCAAGATGGTGCACGGTAGAGGATTGTCCAAGCCAAGATACACTGAATGATCGTCCTATGAGGTACGATTCAAACCAGGCGTGTGCTTTCTCTGTGATGCCCATGCTAGAGAGTGTGGACAAAAGGAAGCCATGGTTGACAGTGTCAAATGCAGCCGATAAGTCGAGCAGGATAAGCACTGAGGATTTGGCAGTCGCTCTAGCTTCTTTTAAGGATTCCATCACTGCTAACAGAGCAGTTTCAGTGGAGTGGCCCTTTTTGAACCCAGATTGGTAAGGGTCAAGCAGACAGTTTTGAGAGAGGTATTCTGTGATCTGCTCGAAAACCACCCTTTCAATGATTTTGGACAGAAAAGGGAGGAGAGAGATAGGTCTGTAGTTCTCCACATGATTTGGAGGAAGAGATGTTTTTTCTTAGCAGCGGTTTAACCTGAGCGTGCTTGAGAGAGGTCGGAAATGTACCGGATGTCAGTGAAGCATTGATCACGTGTGACTGCTGCGGCTACTGTAGGAGCAATAGCTTAGAGCAGCTTAGTCGGAATGGGGTCCATTGGGCATGTAGTAGGGCGGCTGCACGTGAGAAGCTTGGACACACAGTTCTCAGTGACAGAGGGAAAAGAGGAAAATGAAGCAGTAGGGCTTGAGATGGTTGGGCTAGAAGGGGTTTGTGGTAGCGAATGTTCAGGAGTGGCCAGTTGAGTAAAATGTTTGCATATAGCTGCCACTTTGTCAGTGAAGAATGAGGCAAAGGTGTCAGCTGATAGATTGTTGGTTGGAGGTGGAGAAGGTGGATTGAGCAGAGTTTTGAATGTTGGTGTGTGTGAATGAGTGTTATTCAGAGCTCTCGTATCCGGAGAAGCAAGCCTGAGTGAGATATGATGTTTTGCTTCTAACTTATCAGAGTTTGATCGGAGTAGTCATAAACACATGAGACGCCATATTGTCGCATCCACACATACCCTCAGTGAGACCTCCAACCATGGATCCAGAATGCCAGGTCCACGGACCTTCCTTTCGGTACTGGAGGCTGGAGCCAATGGTACAGCGTCACAGCACGACAAACTAGTCCTTCGATTGTCTCCAGGTAAAAAGCAACAGGTGGTTCACAGCGTCAAAAGGGGACCCTCCTTGGGTCAGCGAGTTCAGCTTTTATTCTGAAAGGAACCGTTGCTTGGTTGGTAAAAACAGATTTTTCCAGCTTGATGGTTCTCAGCTTAAAAAGTGAAGTACAGATGGCCGGTCCAATACTTCGCTTAGCATGCGGTGAACTCAGTGAGATCTTGAGAACTGAACTTAAGATGGCGTTGGAACTGTTATTAATCTGGATGTTTTTGATTCTGGTCGAATCAAAGCTGGCAGATTTATAAACACCAACAGAGACTCTGCCACACTTCAGACTAGGAAGGTTCTGATTGGATCAGCAACAGTAATGTGTCATGTGATTGTTTACCTTACGTGTGTCAGTGTGTCTAGTGAACTAGATTAAGTCATATTACTTATTTAAACTTATGAATCATAATATTGTGATTTCACAGATCGGTCACATTGTATTATTGACTAACAGTTGTTTTGATTAGCTTTATTAAAAATAGAGTTCTTTGATTTAATAAAAGAAAAAAGTCTTTTATCTTCTTTCTTCATTGCTGGAAAGTAAACAGTTTAGAAGCAAATGCATGACCTCGAGGCTGATTCATGCACTCTGGCGCGGTGTCAAAGGAACTGTGGAAAGAGGTTAAATAACCTTGGAGGAGTAGCTCCTTCATCACGTTACATTAAAAACAAATAATTGAATTTATAACTTAGATTCATGATCCTAAACAGAAAAAAATCACACTTCTGTTTTATTATAATAATTGTATTATTATTTATTCTTTTTTACAAGACAATCTTGTGTGTTTTAATAGTAGAGGAAACATTTCAGAACCGCTGATCCAGTTGGATACGAACCCCTCAGACATGGCCTCCAGCCACTGAGCCTGGACCCAGAAACAGTTCATGGATCATACTGGGCCACACACACACACACACACACACACACACACACACACACACACACACACACACACACACACACACACACACACACACACACACACACACAGAGTAAAACTGCTTCTTTTGGCATACGCTAGTCTGCAGAATCTTTTACATTAAATCATTTATTTGTCACCCTGCCTCTGAGGTTTTATCCCGGTTAAATAATACAAATAAATAATAATAAAAACAATATTTTTATAATATGGCAGCATAATAAGCGTTGTTTGAGTTATTAACCGCCGACCCAAACCGTCGGTCGCTGGTGAGGCAGCTTCAGCTTGGCTTCGCTAAACAGAGTTACGTCTCGGTTACAGCCGTTTGCAGCTCGCCGTTATCGGGCTCATCTCTTTTATTTCACTGTGACCCAAAAATCAAACCGTTATTATGAAGCAGGTGATGCTCACGCGGAACTCAGAGAGCCTGAAACGAGAGCTGCTCGTCTCTGAGCCTACAGCCGTAGATTTTCTAGGGTTTTATTGATTTTTTAAAATTTGTTTCTTCTGAAATGGTTTATTTCTGATCGTTGAGGCTGATCAGCACCTTTGAAGGTTTATTATTGTAGAAAAACAAAACTGTAGATGACAGCTGGGTGTTTTATGTGTTGCAGCGTGCTACGGTATTGTCCAAGTTCCCACCGGGCCGTGGTTCTGCAGGAAGTGTGAATCCCAGGAACGTGCGGCGCGCGTGGTGAGTTTCCCAACAACGCGGCTCATCCGCGTCCCGCTCACGAATCCTTGTAACGGCCGGCTCTGTCTCCTTCTGTTTCCCTGCAGAGGTGTGAACTGTGTCCACACAAAGATGGAGCCCTTAAGAGGACGGACAGTGGTGGTAAGTATCCCTGAGATCTAACGCTGGACCGGGTCAAAGGTCGTCGCTAATATCAACGACGTTCTGCTGATCTCTCAGGCTGGGCCCACGTCGTGTGTGCGCTCTACATCCCAGAGGTGCAGTTCGCTAACGTCCTCACCATGGAGCCCATCATCCTGCAGTACGTCCCCCATGAGAGATACATTAAGGTACACACACACACCTGTGCTAGGCTTCCTTCTGTCATTAACAGACGTAAACAAAGGAAGTGCTCAGTAAGACGATCCATTGTTTAAAGTCTGAGATGGCTCGATTCTGATTAAAAGATTAATAGTTATTATTAAAGGTGCGGTTGACTGAAAATAACATTTCTAATGATTATTTCTGATTCTCATGGGTCACTCTGAGTGCTTCATGCAGGCTGAACATGAAAATAGTCTCCTACACCTATCTCCTGCATTAGCTTCTGATAGAAAACAGACGGTGAAACTCTAGGATTAGAACATCCTGACAGATCTACGTCACACTGTCACTTAAAGAGCAAGTCACCCCCTACCAGAGTATTACTCCACTCCCACTTCCTGTTTGAAAAATGTAACAAATACTGTTGCCTAGCAGACCGAGAGGGCGGAGCCGCTAACAAATACATACACACACACACACACACACACACACAGACTCACAGCGACATTGTGACATCATATGCTACCAGCTAATGTTCTAGGGTACCTCTTAGCCAATAGCGATGGCAGATTTAAATTCAAATGCAGTGCAGAGTTTTTACCTGACAACGGCACAACACTGACAGTTTTAGGCAGAAAATTAAAATTTTAAACTAAAATGCACTAAAGTGCAAAACTATTGACTACACGTGTCTGCAGCACGATTAGACACACATTTATATAGTTTATCAGGAAAAATTAAGTTGATTTGGGGTGACTTGCTCTTTAACATTCATGGACTCACCCATCTGGACTCATGACGGGGAAGGCTGTTGTTGGTTTAGCCTCCAGGAAACAGCAGAGAACGTCTCAGCTAGTAAGAGCTAACCATTAGCATTAGCAACTCCACCACACAGCAGAACTCCTCCAGGCTTGTGTTATAAATGGAGATAAAACATTAACGTTGCAGAGCAAACAGATTCAGTGGTAGAGTGCTGTTGCTGTTAACCAATCGGAGGATAGATGTCCACATATCAGGAAGTAAGACACTCCAGATCCTGTCATCTGAAGCTCAGCTCTGATCTGGCTCCCTTCTAGTTCCTGGAACAGACGCACTGGAGCTTTTTTTCCCCCCAGAGAACGACTTACAAGGCATTCATTCCTACTAGAGACCACTGCAGATGTAGTAAAAATATGATTAAAGTTGAATTTTAAAGAGAAGTGAAAGACTGAAATAACATTTCTGAACTTTTTAAAACATTTATTGTAAGAAGAAAACATTTTTTCATTACATTTATAATTAACTTGAAAATTGTGATTTTGGGAGGAAAATTACGTCAGTTTGGTAAAACGCATTTGAGGCCCAAACCATGTTTTAATAAAACCCCATTATCAGGAAAAAAAATACATTTAGATGTTTAGAGCAACAGAAACGTTAAAGCTGCTGGCAGTGGCTCATTAGGATCACCTTGGTAACCACCAGCGGTTCATTAAGAATCCTCAGAGAGAGGAGGACTAAAAATAAGCCTCGGTCTAATAGTTCTTTAACTCTGACCATCAGTGGGCCCAGTTGGTCACACGTGTGAATTTTTATGTTTCCTACTGACGTTATGTCGAGGTCAAAAGAGAGAACTTCAGCTCAAACGTTCAAAGAGGTTTTCATGTTCTCTCTGATGGGATTTGAAAGAAAACCATCACTCCTGTAACGGTGGCCTAGCCTGGCCTGCCAGACTCCTCCTGTGTTTAATTCTGCACAGATAAAGGGTCTGGGAACTCTCCTGTTCAAATAACCCCGCCCCCTGAGAATTCTAACTGAGCCAATCAGCGCTGAGCAGCGTGCGTCACACACCACAACGCTGAGTTTGTCATAAACATGGCAACTGAAGCGGAGTTCGCTGTGGCTCTTTCCTCTGGTCTAAATGGCTAAAAAATCAAATAGAAACGCTAAACGATGTTTGCACTGTCGCCAGTCGCTACAGCTAAAAAAAACTACAGCATCAGCATTTCCATCTTTTTTTTGATTGGTTATTTTTGAGCTGCCTAGTCCCGCCCCTTATGTGCCTCTCGGCCTGTGAGTTGCCAGACTCTCTCTGTGCAGGATTAAACAGAGGCCAGGCTCACGTTGAGAGACATGGTGGCTAATCTGTAATTTCTAAACGTGCTGGACAGCTCTGTGAAAAAAAGGAGTTTTAAACATTCAAACATAATTATTAGTTTGGCGTTCTGTGGCAAACTCGCTCTATAAATCATCAAGTGGGATTGTGTGAAAACCTTAAACCCGTGCTGCAGTAAGTGGTGATTGTAAAGACAAATGATTGATCCAGAGTGTGTTCTCGGAGGGCACCATCTAGAGGCAGAACAACCGTACTGCACCTTAAGCCCGTCTCCCTACTGCCGAGATTACAGCCTCTCATTCGTGAACACGCGCCTCTAGCTGGCCAACAGAGCTAAAGCACGTAGCTTTAGTTTTTTAAAGACTTACTTGTCCATGAGAAATGGCGCCAATTCTGCATCAGTCTGGGTACATCCGCCGACACGGAACACAAGCGGATGTCTAACGCTAACGGCTAACGGGCTCGACACACGGGAGGCGACCCGCAACAGCGGCCAGAGGAAAAGCCGTCTACGCGTTCTGTTCCATGGCGAAATCGAATCTTCCGTTGTTTTGACTGACTGTGTCAGGTTGGAGGGAACTAAGGTTATTTAAGCGGTTCGGAGTTAAAAAAGCGGTAGATATGATGTTTCACAAGGTGCTGCTAGTTATGTGCCGTGGCCTTTTTGTGAATATCTCTTTATTCTTTGGTAGAAATATCGTACAGTTCTGGGAAATCCGTCACAGCAAGGATCAACTTCTCCTCCATGTTTGCTCGGAGATCTACGGAGCATCCTGTCCGCTCATTGGTCAGTGAACGAAACCGCCGTTGATTGGTCCTCGTCCGAGCGACAGCGATGAAAAGTTGAAAATATTTCAACTTTCTGGGATTGCGTCGCCTGCGCACGTTACGTGCACGAGCGCACAATTTCACATGCACGTTTTTCGCGTTTGGCTTAGTAGGAGGGGGACCCGTGATTATCGCTTTGTCGCGCATGTCTCATTGAAAATGAATGGAGGAGAGGCGATGTCGCCTCCCGTGTGTCGAGCCCATAACGGTACAGCGCTCAGTTTAACTGACTTGGGGCTGTTCGGGTCAGGAGGGCGGTCTTAGCACCAACTAGACGTGTTGCCACATTATTCTTCTAAAAGGTTGTACGTAATTCCTGATTTTAGACGTTTTAGCCTAAATTTAAAAAGAACCTGGAGAACTATTGATCCAAACCAGTTTAAAAGAATAACAGAAAGTCATTTTGCATGAAGGGAATGTTTTTCACACAGAAGCATCAAAGAAATGCATGTTTGATGTACGGGCTGATCCCGTGGGGAAGGCGTCCGCGTGTGCTTGCCTGCATATAAATGCACACGTGTGACTGTTTGAGAGGCTGGTTTCATATTACTATGTCAGCTACAGTAAATTGCATGCAGCTTTGCCCCGTCGGAGCCATTCATCCTGATTTTGCTGCCTGCATTTCTGGACAGCCGCACAATGGACAGTGAAAACTTGAGAAGCCACTCTTCCTTTGGCGTTCTCGCTTTGGTTCTGTCTCTGGCCTTTCACGGCGCAGCCGACGTCCTCCGAGGGGAAACGGAGAGCTGAGTGGCATGCAGGGAGTGGAAGAAAAGGGGGAGAGAGGGCTGAAGTAAAAAAGGTAAAGAGCTCGCTGTTCCTTTGTCTCGCACCTGTTGCTAGGCCTCCTCTGCCCCCCGCCAGTCAGCCCCGCTCGCCCAGAGAAAGCTGAACAACGAACACAAAGCTCGTTCGTTTCCAGGCTCACATGTGGATGCTGTCGTTTATTTTCTGAGCATGCCTCTGTGACTCTGGTTGTGAAAACAGTTTGGTTTTTATGCTCAAAAGTTTTCAGTTGAGAAAACAAGTAAGAAAAGATCAGAAAATGAATCCTGCAAACCAAGACGTGAGATTTCCGTCCAGCTTCCCCAAACATCTGGTCGACAGTTTTGTTGTTCAGAGCCTTAAAGAATCTGTTCTCTTTGAAAGCCTCATCTGCAGAACTTCCTGATCGTTTACAGTAGAGCTGCAGCTGGAGGCGGACTAACAAGTGTTTCATCTTTCCGCCACAGTGATTCTTTTTAATGCCGTCGCTCTGGACGAGAAGCCGTGCAGCAGCTGTTAATAATAAAAGTAATAGTGACTGATGTGCCCGTGCTCCTGCTTCTCCTCCGCTGTCCAGACTTGTTATATCTGCGAGGACCACGGGAGAGAGAGCAAGGCGGCCTGTGGAGCCTGCATGACCTGCAACAGACAGGGCTGCAGACAAGCTTTCCACGTGACCTGGTGAGTGTTCAGAACCGGCCGAGTGTGCATGAAAGCCATATTTCTGCCATTTTAAAGTGTGTTTCTGTGTTAAAGCTATACATTTATCCTCTCTTACATGCTCTAGATCGCTTCTTTGTTGACTTTTGCTTGGAAAAATACTTTACACCCCAAAGGACTGATGAGCTAACGGCTAGTTCGACCGTAGCAAAGACCAAAGTGTGTTGCTGCGTTCTTAAACCAGCTCCAGCCTCCTCAATCTCAACAGTTTGAGCTAGTACTGTTTATTTCATTTCATTTCATTTATTTATAAAGCCCCTTCTGCGACCAGTGCAGACGCCCAAGGTGCTGAACACAACACAATAAAAACATAAAACCGTCAGAATAAAATATAACAATCGTAAAACCAACATAAAATCGACTAAAAGAGGAGAATAAAAGCAAAAAATAAAATCCTGAAAAAGATCAAGAGGCCGGGGCATCGAAACGGGGTAAAAATTGCTAATCCTGGAATGCCTCGACAAAAACATGGGTCTTAAGGCGAGTCTTAAAAAATCCCAATGAGGGTGTCTGACGCACCACCAAAGGCAACTGGTTCCAAAGTGCAGGTGCCAACACCGAGAACGCACGGTCCCCCGTGACCTGCGCTTGGTGCGTGGAACGATCAACAGCTCCCTGCCGGCTGAGCGAAGGGCCCGCGAGGGGACATGCCTATGCAAAAGGTTGCCAAGATATGCTGGAGCAGTTCCGTGTAAGGCCTTTTATGCCAGTACCAAGACCTTGAATTTTGCCCTGTATTGCACAGGCAGCCAGTGAAGGGATGCCAGCACAGGGGTGATATGTTCCCTGTGCCTAGTGCCTGTCACGAACCTAGCGGCTGAGTTTTGTACTAACTGCAAGCATGCTACCGCACCCTGACTAAGGCCGGCATACGGTGCACTGCAATAGTCGAGCCTTGAAAGAACAAAAGCATGTGTGACAGTCTCTAGATGTACTCTGAACAGGAGGGGCTTAATTTATAAACTTTTGCACCAGGAAGAGATTTTAGTTGGAGCGGAACCCGGAGGCACCAGATGTAACGTGTTAAGCTGCTGCTGGTGGTACTTAGCATGGACGTCCACGTAATGTAACCCTAACCGGGCCTTTCCACCCGGCACGTAGAAGTGGTGCAACATCCGCTAAGCCGTTTGCCGTGGGTATAGTGGATGGGTGCGTTTCCACGGGCAGCGAAGCGTCGCCTTTTAGAAACATCCTAGGGTTCACTTTTTACACGCTACGCTTCAAGAACGTGTCAAGCCCTGCAGTTCAGGCCAACCTGAGACGGGAAGTCAAACACGAAAGTGGCGTTAAACATCCGAAAAGTTTCAAAATAAAAGTTATGTGCAGATTTCCAGTTGCTTAACTAGTGAAAAAAGTACTTACCTGTGAAACCTCTGTAGCTGAGGTAAACATAACTAGGGCTGCACGATATTAGGAAAACCTGCGATATTCGATAACAGTGATTAATATTGCATTGACGATATTACTTGTGATGAATAAAAACTTAACTCAGGAACAAAAATAATCAAAAACAAAGAAATAAAAAAAATCATAAAAATGAGAAAAGCAAAAATGTGTGGAAAGGGAAAAAGAAAATGAACACGAAAAGGCGATCAGTGGATCCCGGGAAAAGCAGAATCAGGAGAAAGAGCAGAACAAAGCTAACTCAGGTGTTAGCTAACCATCTAAATTAAGTACCGTCCACCTCGGGGGCGGGACTCTAACCTATGAGAACCCACCCGATTGGCCAAATGGGTGAAGAGCTCTGTTTGATTTGTTAAAAAAACATCATTCTTCTGTTTGATTGACAGAATGTGCTATGTGTAGCAAACATTTGAGCTGACCATTCATTGCGATATTTATCTGTTCTTTGCGATATGCATATTGTTCATGCTGACACCGCGATAACGATATATTTACGATATATTCTGCAGCCCTAAGTAAAACAAAAACTAAACCACAGACCTTTTTGAATATATGCCGCCCTCCTTCCCCTTTTACTGCCGAAATCCTGCATGCTGGTGGAGTTCCCAGGCCATCATGACCTCGCGGGACAAGATGCGTGGAAAGCTTTTGCTACGTTACCCGAAGGGAGCTCGCGTGTAAAACATTTCTCTTATGTTACGCCTCGCTTATGCATCCAGTGGAAAGCCGAGGCAATGTGAAACTGATAGGAGGTAATGATTTATACAAAACCACCTCACAACCACAGTTTAGGGGATCACAGGCTCAGACTAGCTGTTAGCTTATCAGTCCAGAAGGCTAAACAGAGCCATTCAGGAAGCTTGTTTTACATGGAAACACATTTCCAAATAATCCAAATATCCTTTTAATCTGCATAGGATGGTGATCTTTAAAGGCCAAGTTCACTGAGAAACAGGTTGATTTGATTTGGTTAGAAAAGCCTGACAGATCATTCATGGACTCGCCCATCCTGACTCACGACGGCGAAGGCTGATGTCGGTTTCGCCTCCAGGAAACAGAGAACATCTGTGCTATTAAAAGCTAACTGTTAGCATTAGCAACTCCACCACACAGCAGAACTCCTCCAGGCTTGTGTTATTTGTGGAGATAAAACATCAAGATTGCAGAGCAAACAGAGTCGGTTGTGGAGTTCTGTTGCTGTTAGCCAATCAGAGGAGAGATGTTCGAATATCGGGAAATAGGAGTCCGGATCCTGCTGTTTTCTCCTCACTTCGCCTCCGGCTCGCTTCTAGTTCCTGACGCAGGAGCGCCAGAGCTTCATTTGTAAGCATTCATTTATATCGGAGACCGCTGCAGATGTGTAGAAACAAAGAGTGAACATGGTCTTTAAAGGAAACGGTGCTGTGATACAGTGACCCTGTGCTCCTGATAGGACATGTTTAAAAAAAATCAGGTTTTTCCACAGCTGAACCTTAAAGAGCAAGTCACCCCCTACCACCAGAGTATTACTCCACTCCCACTTCCTGTTTGAAAAATGCAACAAATGCTGTTGCCTAGCAGACCAAGAGGGCGGAGCCGCCAACAAATACACACACACACAGACTCACAACGTCATTGTGACATCATATGGTACCAGCTAAAGTTCTAGGGTACCTCTTAGCCAATAGGGATGGCAGATTTAAATTCAAATGCAGTGCAGAGTTTTTACCTGACAACGGCACGACACTGACAGTTTTAGGCAGAAAATTAAAATTTTAACTAAAATGCACTGATGTGCAAAACTATTGGCTACACGTGTCTGCAGCATGATTAGACAGATTTGGGGGTGACTTGCTCTTTAAACTAAAACAGATTTCTTTTGAATGACTCTGCCACTTTGAGGTTGCGAGTTTTAATTATAAAGAAACAAAAATGAAGCTTTGACCTGAGCGAGCCTCATTCTGGTGACAATGACCAGCGTTGAACCGGGTCACATCCCAAGAGCAGAATCCGCCTTTTTATTGCTTTAAACGTAACTTTTATGACTGAAATTTGAGTTTTCACAGTAAAAATGTGAAAGCTTTCACTGAGCTGTGCCGCGTGCTCGGGTCTGTCTGCACCCGGCAGGAACTCGGCCTCAGAGCGAGTCCAGATCTCAGCAGTATGCTGGACAGGAATGACGGAGGTTATTTTTTCAACAAAGCATCGATATTAGCATCTTTAGCTTGTCCCGGCACCCTGGACGTCACTGAGATTGTACAGTTTAACATCGAATCCATCTGCTTATAATTGTGTTGTTGTCCTGATGTTTGTGTAGAAACTTGATAAATGTTTGTTTGTTTGTTTGTTTGTTTGTTTTGCTCAGCGCTCAGATGGCTGGCCTGCTGTGTGAGGAGGAAGGTCCAGAGGCTGACAACGTGAAGTACTGCGGCTACTGCAAACACCATTATAACAAAATGGTAAAAAGGGCATTTTCTCCAATTTTTTTGCCCTTTTGAAGTCGAAACGAAACCCTGAAAACGCCTGAGAGGATATTCTGTAAAGCTTTGGTCTTATTCAAGGCAAGGCAGCTTTATTTATAGAGCACATTTCAAACACAGAGGCAGTTCAGTGTGCTTTACAGCAGGTCAGGACATGATACCAAAACAACATAAAAGCACAAATTAAAATACACACAGATGGAATCACAGTTTAGAGCTAAGGGAGAAGACAAAGTTACATCACAGATTTCAGTGGAGACCACGCAGCATAAGAAATAATTCATGTAAAGGCTGATGAGTACATGAGGGTTTTAGTTTTGATTTAAACAACACTAGGGCTGGGCGATATGGCCTCAGATCTATATTGCGATATAATCTGAAGCATGCGCGGTAACCATATATATTGCAATATATTTTTTCCTCTGTTTATAGATGTCAAAATGACGTGCTTTTAAATATCCTCATGTGGTAAATATATGCCACTTGAGGCATATAGGCTTCCTCCTCCGCCCACTCCACGCTTGCAGTCGCTGCCATTCTGTTGCCCCAATGTCAGCAGGGTGCACATCTTAGTGACGTCATGTGTTATCGCGGTATAGCCAAAAACTACCATTACTCAATTTTATATATATAGTTTCTCAATCTAAAAACGACTTGTTAACGAGCGCGTGCTAGGGTTGTCACGGTAACCGGTGTAGTGGTAAACCCCGGTAAAAAAGTTGACAATAATAATAACAGTCTTGTTTTTTAAAAACTATATTATCTCGGTGGATTACCGTGGCTGCGGTGTAGGCGCGGTGACCCTTACCAGCCACCGTATCATCTGCTGAAGTTGCTGGCGGCGCATGCGCACTTTGTTGTTTACAACCAAAACTTTCTTGAAGCTAAAGCTGAAATAATGGCCAAAGGAGGAGACGACAGCGCTCAGGAGGACATTTATTATCCCTCAAAGAAGACAAAGTGGGAAGTACGGGCATTTTTTGGATATTTGAAGAATGTCGAGGGACAGCTGATAGAAGATGGCTATCCTGTTTGCAGCACGTGCAGAAAAAGTGTCTGTGAAAGGCAGCAACGCTTCAAATCTCATGACACATCTGCGTGACCATCACCCACAACTCTACAGTCAACGCAAGGCAAGCTAACATTAGCGTTTTAGCTAAAATGCGTGATCCGAGGATTTGGGTTGAGGGAGAATGCAACGAGTGGCTATATAAAGCAGCCGCAGCGCCGCTACCCGCATATAAACCGTGTCGCGGACACTGCCATGTTGGAATGACGCTATGCATTACAGGGCTCCCAGGGGCAGATAAGAGTTGGTCTCTCTCCGAGAATGATTATGAGTTTAACAACGATTACTGCCTGATGACATTTTCCCACATCTGCAAAGCTCACTGGAAGGACACAACCCGAGGACAATATTCTCCTGATATTGGGTTTATTACTCAAGTAAGGGTAAAAAAAGTATCTGATTAGAAGGCTACTTGAGTACTGAGTATCATCTGATCTAATATTTTTAAAATGATGACATCAAACAGACAAAAAATAAGAGGTTATGGGCAAATAATGGTATTTTAAAGACTAAAGGGGAAAAATGTAAACAAATAAACAACATAATTACAAAATAACTCATTTTAGGCAAAATTTAGACACAAACTGAGGACAATATTTTCCTGATGTACAGGGTTTATTTAGTTGTCTGAAAATGTAACACGTTTAAAAAAAATACCGCGATAATACCGAAAACCGTGATAATTTTGGTCACAATAACCGTGAGATTAAATTTTCACACCGTGACAACCCTAGCGTGTGCACTCACACAAGACGTACCGCTCAGGACAAAGCAGACACAGATTCTGCAGCATTCTGGAGGATTTCCTGTTAACCACGATCATTAGATGAAAAGGGAAGGAGGGCAAGAGCGGCTCAGAGCGCCAGCGTGTCAGTGGCTGAGCCAGGTGGAGGTGCGGCTGCCTCACCTGGAGACCAGTGCGGTGCAGCCACGTCGTAGTTTGCTGACAACGTCACGTTTTTCAGCTTAGCCATCGGCTACAGCTGGTTCTGCATGAATGTGGAGCAGAGTTTTAACCTGAAGATGGAGATGGAATTATGGTTTTGGGCTGAAATATTACATTTAGAGTAAGTTGCACTAAACTGCCACACTAATGATTACACATGTGTACATCACCATTAGACACTCATCTATGCAGGTAATCATCAGAAACAAGTTAATTTAGGCGTTACTTGCTCTTTAAATGTTTTTTATCTACTAAGAAATGTAAGATTGAATGCGAGAAGATGATAAATATCTCTGGAAAAAATTGTCCCCCTCACTTTTGAGATGATGGTTACGCCCCTGTACACACATCTTTTCATTTTTTTATTATCAAATTTATTGACATGCGTAAAATTATCACGATAAGAGTCAGAAATTTGGATAACGATACATTTTCGATTTATTGCCCAGCCCTAGCCTGCAGTATCAAAAGTGGCACCGAGGTCAAGCATCGTCAGGACAGACGCTGTACTTGAATCGGTGTTGAGATGAATGTCGTTTAATACCGTGATCCGTGCAGGTTCAGTGGAGTTGTGAGGACTTTTGTTTCATTATTGTGGTCAGCAGCAGCTAAAACCAGACCTTTTTGTGTTTTGATTTGCAGCAGAAGAAGTTGCGCTCAAGTGAAAATGCCGGCAGCTCCTTCAGTCATTCCAGAGGGCGCTCCAGCTCTCCATCCCAGGACAAACAACACCACCATCACAAACCGAGGAGGGTAAGACCCTCTGTTTAAGTCGCCCACCGGGCCGACGGCGTCAAAGTTTGATTTACCCCTCCATCAAGCCTTGGCCTTTTCAGAAATCACACAAGTATTCACCGTATTTGTTGAAAATTGTTGCAGCAAACACGTTTCCAAGACATCTTTTACATGGATGGGTTGAGATTGAGCAATTGGTAGCATTGTTGCCTTGCAACAAGAAGGTTGCAGGTTTGAATCCCGGCTGTTGCCTTTCGCCACTAAGTTGGCATGTTCTCCCCATGCATGCATGGGTTTCCTCTGGGTAAGGGGTTGCATTAGGCACCAGCTCCCCATCTGCGTGACCCAGCCTCACGGTTTTCACACCTTTGGGCTCACAAAACCTAAACTGGGAAAGGTTAGAGACAAGTTCCAGCAGCTCCTCTGAGTCTGTGACCAATTTTTTAAGCAAATGAGTCTTGCAAAGTTTTCAAATATCTTAAAAAATCCAAAAAAAGAGCGACCCCTGCAGCTCACCAGAGGACGTCAAGAACGCGCGAACATTTTAAGACGTTTTAGAAACTCATGGGTACAGTTTGCTGAGTTACTGGCTTAACTGCTGTCAGGTAACTACAGGTGGTGGGTGTGGCTTAAAGAAAGCTAAAGCACAGCAGAGAGGGAGAATTTCCATAGTATTTTTGCTACCAACAACAAAACCCAAAAATATTTGTGTTTTACTGTTTCCAGAGTCACAAGGACAAGAATCGTCAAAAAGAGCGATACAAGAAGTCCACAGAAAGCCTGAGCTCCTCCGTGACATCAGCAAGCGGCGTAGAAAAGGTACGAGCAGATGCTTTGGTCAGCTGTTCACCTACAATAGGCGCAATTTTTACGCAATTTCCAAACGTTTGTTTGGTCTCTCTTTAAAAATACAGGAGCACGTTTTTGCTAACCCCGGCTTTCAACCGAAAGCTTAACGTAATAAACGCGTTTTCCTCGTGACCTCAGCGGCGCTTCCATTTCTACCGGGAGCGTTTTAGACGCAAGTGCGTTCCGGGATAGCAAGCAAGAAGAAGGCGGCATGCACCCAAAAGATCCGGTTTTTGTAAGTGTTCGGATACGTTTGCGCTGGCGTGACGTTCGACGCTCATTTGAGAAACAACTTTGCAACAACCCGAACAGTGGTGGTGTATGAGTACTCGTGACCGTACAATCGGAACCAGCTTTATGAGCTCGACACACGGGAGGCGACATCGCCTCTCCTCCATTCATTTTCAATGAGACATGCGCGAGAAAGCGATAATCGCGGGTCTCCCTCCTACTAAGCAAAACGCGAAAAATGTGCGTGTGAAATTTTGCGCTCGAGCACGTGTCGTGCACAGGCGACCCAACGACGCAATCCCAGAAAGTTGAAATAGTTTCAACTTGTCATCGCTGTCGCTCGGACGAGGACCAATCAACGGAGGTTTCGTTCACTGACCAATGAGCGGACAGGATGCTCCGTACATCTCCGAGCAAACATGGAGGAGAAGTTGTTACTTGCTGTGACGGATTTCTCAGAACTGTACGATATTTCTACCAAAGAATAAAGAGATATTCACAAAAAGGCCGCAGCATGGGAAGTTGTTGGTGCCAGAATGAACACATGAGGTAAGAAGTACTTTACAAAGCTTATCTAGTGCAATAGCAAACCTAACGAAGAATGTTACGTATCTAACATACAATCTAATCATTTAAAACATCATTATTTATTTGGAGACAAAAAAATCTTATCAATATTTGTTTTTATAACGTTTTTTTAAAAATGCAACATATTTATTGGATTGATTTACTGGTTGTGAAACACAGCCAATCAAAACAATGGAAGATTCGATTTTGCCACGGAACGCGTAGACGGCTTTGCCGCTGCCGCGGGTCGCCTCCCGTGTGTCGAGCCCATTAGGCTTAGTAAAGTACCGATTACTGCTCCCAAAGTGGTTTGTGACGGCTGCTTCAGAAACCCTCCGAAGCTTACAGATCGAGCCGTTTGGTTTGAAACAGCTCCGGGAAAATTCTTCCTGTCGATCCGCTAGAGGCAACGTGCTGCCCGTGTGGCAAGCTGTCATGTTGGAAATGTCCTACGAAGGCTGTTTCTGTATTTATGGATTCATCAAATAATATTTATCTAACACTTGGACTCATGTCGCTAAGTCTAGTGTGTAAAGGAAGTGCTAGGTTTGTATTTGGACTCCCATCGTTTTATTTAGGGATGCAAAGATACCACTTTTTTTCAAACCAATACCGATACTTGGATCTGAATACTCGCCGATTACCAATACCGATACTTCTGCCACACAAAAATATGCAATGATTTGGAATACAGATTTTATTTTCTTCTCTGCTTTCAACAGGAAAAGACTGTGAGGTAGATAAAAAGTAAAATATTTTAATATAAATGATCACAAAACTAAAATATTAGGTGAACAGAAATGACCAGTTACAGTGAAGTCACTTTCAAGCAACTGCATTGGTATCGGTTCCTGGTATCGGTTAACTTTTACTGATACCGATACCAGTATCATATCGGTATCTGCACTGATACCAGTATCGATATCGGTGCATCCCTAGCACAAATACCAATACTGGTATCGGTATCGGTAAAAGTTAACAGGTACCAGGAACCGATACCAATGCAGTTGCTTGAAAGTGACTTCACTGTAACTGGTCATTTCTGTTCACCTAATATTTTAGTTTTGTGATCATTTATATTAAAATATTTTACTTTTTATCTACCTCACAGTCTTTTCCTGTTGAAAACAGAGAAGAAAATAAAATCTGTATTCCAAATCATTGCATTTTTCAGGGTATCCGCGGGTCCTTAAAAAGTCTTAAATTTGCTTTTCCAAATTTAAGGCCTTAAAAATCCTTAAAAATGTCAAATAATCCTTAAATACAGTTTCCAAAGGTCTTAAATGACCAAAGACCCAATAAACAAGATTCTTTTATTTCTATGAAAATTTCGTGAATTTCTAGTTTGTGTTCAGCATTTTTTGTGAATGACATTGGCGTAAGTGGAACCGTACATATTCAGTTGGTTGTGAAAGGGGGCTATTTTTAGATGAGCACATTAGCTAGTGGGAGCTTGCGCCATGGGGGAGTGCAAATTTAATGGTAACTGGATGGCTAATCAGGCAATAGCTGGAAATTATAGCCTAAATTTAATTTGAAAAAATATATAACAAACTTTATTAATCCCTCGGGTGAGTTCCTTTGGGAAATTCGGTTTCCAAAAAAAGCAGCACAACACCGACAGAAGTTACAGAGCGTCAGGAAATCTTATATAATAATAAAAAATAGAAATAAAGATAAAAATACAATTGAATTGCACCTTCCAGATATCAAAGTCCTTAGCACCGTTGACTATTAAACCAATTTGACTGTTTGACAAAGGTACTTGCATAGAAGGTATATGTATATATATGTAAGGTATTTTAAAAATAGCTTAAATGTAGTCAAAGTGGCCTTAAAAAAGGTCTTAAAAAGTCTTACATTTGGGTCCGTTAAAGCTGCAGATACCCTGATTTTTTGTGTGTGGTAGAAATATCGGTATCGGCGAGTACTCCGATCCAAGTTTCGGTATCGTATCGGTTTGTAAAAAAGGTGGTATCGTTGCATCTCTAGTTTTATTTGTTTGATGTCGGTTTGGTTCTGGCTGTGTTGGGACAGATCACCTCCAGTCACCATAGCAACAAGGACAGTGATGGAAAATCCAAGAAGCTGAGCTCCCACAGTCACAGTCATCACAGCAAGAAGACAGGAAGCACAGGCAAGAGCTGCTCCTCCTCCTCCTGCTCCTCCAGTCCCTTCAACACGGGTATGAACTCCTTCGTTATGGCTGGTTCAGATGGTTGAGTTTGAGGCTAACTTTGAGCTCCTCCTGCAGGGGGCGCCCTGTCGGCTGCTCAGGACTTTGATCAGTTCTCATCTTCCTCCCGCATGGAGCACGACCGCGGAGGAGATGACCACAGCAGGGAGAAGCGCAGTGAGCGTCACAGGAGGTCTGCAGTGCACAAGGAGGAGGAGGATGTGGAGGAGGAGGAAAAAGAAGATGACAAGGATGAGGAGGAGGAAGAGGAGGACAGTAAATATCATAAGCCACCGGCGTTGACTCCTGCCGATTGCCCCCTAACAGGCTCACAAAGTCACGAGCGGGCGGAGGGCACCTCCAGCCCCTTTGAGAATAAAGTCACCATCTCCACCTTTGGCTCCATCATGCGCATCACCTCCTCATCGTCACTCGGCAGCAGCAGCAAGGTCCGCAAGATCTCCTCTTCGGCAGACTACAAACCCTCAAAAACTCTCGGCAAGCTGTCTCAAATGAGTGCGCCTCCTATCTTGGAGGAGGCCCCCCTGAAGGAGAAGGCCGCACCCCCACCGCCACTGCCGCTGCCCCGTGAGTGGAGGCACCACGGCAACAAGAAGAGCCGCCATGGTCCGGGTCGTCCGCGGGGGAGCAAAAACCGAAAGAGTAGGGAGGAGGATCATCATCGCCACCATCACCCCCCCACAGCACCTCCTCCTCCAGCTCTGAGCTCCTCTCTCTATCCGAGCCCATCCTTCCCGTCGACACTTCCGCCCACCTCTTCCTCCTCGTCTTTCTCCTCCTCCTCTGTGGGGAGTTTTTCTGCAGGTCGCGGTAACGCTCTGCTCGGCTCTGGTGAGTCTGAGTGTGTGTGTGTGTGTGTGTGTGTGTGTGTGTGTGTGTGTGTGTGTGTGTGTGTGTGTGTGTGTGTGTGTGTGTGTGTGTGTGTGTGTGCATGCGTGAGTGTGTGTGTGTGTGCGTCTGTGTGTGTGCGTGCGTGTGTGTGTGTGTGTGTGTGTGTGCGTGCGTGCGTGAGTCTGTGTGTGTGTGTGCGTGAGTCTGTGTGTGTGTGCGCGTAAGTCTGTGTGTGTGTGTGCGTGAGTCTGTGTGTGTGTGTGTGTGTGCGTGAGTCTGTGTGTGTGTGCGTGCATGCGTCTGTGTGTGTGTGCGCACGCGTGTGTGCATGTCTGTGCGTGCATCTGTGTGCGTGTGTGTGTGTGCGTGTGTGTGTGTGTATGCGTTCGTGCGTGTGTGTGTGTGTGTGTGTGTCTCTGTTCGTTCGTGCGTGTGTGTGTGTGTGTATGCGTGTGTGTGTGTGCGTGCGTGAGTCTGTGTGTGTGTGTGTGTGTGTGCGTCTGTGTGTGTGTGCGTGAGTCTGTGTGTGTGTGTGCGTGCGTGCATGCGTCTGTGTGTGTGTGTGTGTGTGTGTGCGTGAGTCTGTGTGTGTGTGTGTGCGTGCGTGCATGCGTCTGTGTGTGTGTGTGTGCACGCGTGTGTGCATGTGTGTGTGTGCATCTGTGTGTGTGTGCGTGTGTGCGTGCGTGTGGGTGTGGGTGCATGCGTGCATGTGCGTGCATCTGTGTGTGCGTATGTGTGTGCATGCGTGTGTGTATGTGTGTGTGTGTGTGTGTGTGTGTGTGCGTGCGTGCGTCTGTGTGTGTGTGTGCGTGCGTGTGTGTGTGTGTGGGTGCATGCGTGCATGTGCGTGCATCTGTGTGTGCGTATGTGTGTGCATGCGTGTGTGTATGTGTGTGTGTGTGTGTGTGTGTGTGTGTGTGTGTGTGTGTGTGTGTGTGTGTGTGTGTCAGAGATGTTGTCCTAGATAGGGTTTGCTGTGTGCGCTGCACACTTCCTGACCTACTTTCGACGTGTTTATGAGCCTCAGAACTTGGTGTTAAATCAAAAGAAAGCAGTTATTATTTTTATTTCCTCTCTTTTGCCCGTAGATGTCTATCCAAGCCTCAAGGACCCTCTCACACTGGGCGGGGGTGTCTGCAGCAGCCCCCTGTCCTTGGGTGGGGGTGTGTGTAGCACCTCCTCGTCTCTGGGAGGGGGGATGTCTAGCACCTCCCTGTCCTCGGGACTCCTTCCATCCTCCCTTTCTCTTCCGTCCGTCGGCGCCGCCTCGAACACGCAGGTACGTGAGCCGGCGGCCACAAACATAAACGCTTTTTATTTCAGAACTTTTTCCACACAGCTGAACTCAAACATCCTTGAAATCTCCTGAAATGTGAGTGAAACTTGACGCACGCAGCTGCAGTTGCACGGAGACGAGGATGTGAAATTATCTTTTCGATCACACACGTTCTAAATAATCACGTCTTCTGAGTCAAGTCAAATAATTTCTCCACAATTTATGCAAACATGTACACCACACTGTTATTTTTTCATTTCACTGCTTTTTTAGCAGAGAATGGGAGAAAATCCTGCTCTGCACGCACCAGAACTGCTGCATTTAGCTGCCCCAGGGCAGCTCATCTTCATCAACCTGTGAATGTGTGTGTGTGCGTGGGTGAAAGACTGTGTTGTAAAGCACCTTGGGGGGCTGGCGCTGTATCAAATACAGGGTAAATTTAGTCTAATTAAATTAAATTAAAACTAAATTTTAATTGAAACTCTTTATTTTACAGCAATTTAGTTTACCTTGTTAGTTTATTTTTACTCACACACCAAGAAAAAGCAGATGATAGAATAGTTTGTTGCTTTTTTCTTGTTATTTTGGGGCAACAGGGTGGATAATATAATAATGTTAATCAATAATATGATTAAAGGTGCACTATTTAAGAATGATGGAAGGGTGACATCTTGTGGCCAAATTTTGTAACTGCAGCCAATTTTCAAGCTGCCACTTTCTCACTGCCGCTCGTTTCATGGCTGTTGCTAGCTGCGACTCGGGACCTGAAGGTTCTAGATGAAAAGTGAAGACGAGTCCCACATGAGAAGAGTCCCACATGAGAAATCAACTGTAATATTCAGTTGTTGGTAATTTAAAAAGTATGTAATGATTTAAATTACGTGTTATGTAATAAGCCATAAGGCGTGGGATTCCATAGGAAATATGAAATCCCCCTTACGGATCTGTAAAGTTAATTAAACCAGAAGATTGGAACTTTTTAATGCAGGGATTAGATCGCTTCGTATTCACTCAGAGACAACAGAAGAGAGAGAGTCAAGTTTAAAAGTTAAGAATTTTATTACTAACAAATTAAACTAGACTGACTTTAAAACTAAATGTATGGTGTAACTAAGGTGGATGAGACGGTGAATGGATGACGTGTGATGTTGCTCAGAACCAGCAAATCCGAAGAAGCGATTAGTTCTGATGGGAACTGAAGGTGATGTCTTCGCGTTAAGCTTTGGTTAGGAGATTCCTAAACACATTCGACGCCATTCCGTCGGTTTACGTACCCTTAGCGGAAGTCCCCGTTAGATCAGGAGGTGTAGAGGTCCAGCTTGACCTTTATGGAGCCGGAGCCTGTAGAAGAAGCCACGGCAACCGACCACCCATCTCGAGATACTTCCGGGTCACGACAATTTGTTGGCATCTGGTGAGACCCGGACCTGGGTCGTGATGGTTCAGCTTTTATTCTGAAAGGAACCGTTGCATCAGTTGAAACAGCAACAGATTTTATCCAGCTTGTCGTTGGTTCTTTCGGCTGAAGAGGAAAGTTACGGATTGGCCACTCTGACAACTTCTCTAGAACGCTTTGAACCGGCGTTAGAGATGACGTGGGCATAGTTTTATACTTCGGATGTTTTGGTTTATGGTCGAATGACAAGATGACAGATTTACCAAACACCACCAAAACCACGCCTCCGTCAGATTCTGATTGGATCAGTAAAAGCAATGTGTCATGTGTTAACGCTGCATGAGATCAGTCCTAGTGGAAACATTTAAAGTTATATTACTTATAATATTCTATAGGATTATAAAAAGTAATTAATATTTTGATTTCACAGATTGGTCACATCTTATCATTGACTAAGACTTGGTCGGATTAGCTTTATTAAAATAGAGTTCTTTGATTAATTAAAAGAAAAGAGTTCATTCTTCATTCTTCTGTTGAGCTGAAAATAAGCAGGTTAGAAGCAAATGCATGAGAACTTGAGACCATATCACATGCAGACTAGTCCTGTGTCAGAGACGGGGGAAAACGGTCATTTCATTCTGTTACAAGTAGCTTAAGATATTTTTAGAGCCGACCTTTTGCTTTTGATTCACCTTTAGCATTGTTAGCGCAGCATTAGCCTCTAGCTTGCTTCACCTGATATTAGAGTAAAACCAAAAGATGGCGTGGCTTCATAGGGATAGAAATAACTTCTAGGTTGCTCCTGTTTACTGGCCACAGTTCTTTAAACAACCCTGCTGCGTTTTGTTAGCCGAGGTCGAATTGCAAATGCCAGCGCCCCCCAGCCGGATAATGTAACCTTCCTTCCAACATGAATGAGGCTGTTTTGTGGTTAAACTGTGGAGATTTTTAAAGTAATTCAAAGTTGTCATACACTAATGTTACATGAATGTTTAAAAATCTATTATTCATTTGTATTTAATTAAAAATCTTTTTGCTCCAAATTATTTCTAAAAAATGAAAAGTTTTATGAAACTTGAGTTTAAACAGCCAGACTTGAGGCTTGTTTCCCAGAGATTTGCTGCATGTGCGTGTCTCCATTTTACCGGGCGACCCAAAAGGGTAGCACCGACGATGTGATTGGCCGGTGATCGAGACCAATGTTAAAGGTGCGTGCTGTTCTGGGGTTTACAACCCCAAACCTTTTGAGGACAGTTAGTTTAAATGGAACTCTGTGGGGGGCACCTGGGGTGGCCAATCAGATTCCAAGGGTGGCGTGTGCCACCCCTTGAACACACCCCTGTAAGGGGCGGCTTTAAAATTGCTGTTACTAAACTCCCGACGCCGAAAAACAAGGCAGAGTCCCCCGAGAACGACGTGATTCCATGGAGCGCCATAAAAAACTGAGCTTCTCTTGGTCATTGAACGCCACACTACATCAGGCAGCTGCTCTCGTCCTTCGAATGGATTAAACGATTCTGTACTTGGACAAAGTAGACTAACTAATCATTTTAATGTGGCTGATTAGTGACATCACTCCGAAGTCCTGAGAGAGCTGAGAGGACCCAGACACCCCATCTCCCTCCCGGAATTTACCCCGAGGTTCCAGCAATGGAAACGCGCCTAATTTCTCAGAACTGAGGCCATTCAGGATGCGTACTGTTAGTAACTGTAACACAGAACTGTTCTCCTGTTCCTCATCGGTTCTATCCAGGTCGTGCACGCATCGAGTCTTTGATGATGGAATAAATCTGCCTCGTTCTCCGTTTTTAAAGTTCAGCCTAAAGTTCGCTTTTCATCCCTGAAATGTGGCTTTGAGCTCTTTATAGTTTAAATTTAGCTGCAGAATTTTTTCATCCTTTTATGAATAAAACATCAAAAGGCCTCGAGTCGGTTTTAAAGCATCAAACGGGTTATTTTGACCAGATGTGGGGTTTTAATCCTCACAGATGCCTTTAATCAGTCTGACGTTGATCTTTACTGTCTTACAGGTCCATCCAGGTTCCAGCGCCTCCTACAGCCTGAACTCCTCTCAGCCTTTTGCCAGCGGTCTCTCCTCCTCCTCCAACCTGCCGCCTCTCCTGAGCCAAGCCCAGACGTCACTGCCAGGTGAGAGGGTGGTTAGGTGCCACCAGCAACCAAAAGCTTTTTTAAACGACGTTTTGCTCTCGTTCTCAGAGGCCGACCTCGACGACTGTCGCTTCCCGTGTCAGGGGAACTCGCCGAGAGAGAGCCTTTCCTCGCAGTACGTCTTTGATTTGACTTTTTATCCAGTTTTTTGAAGATCTCCCAGCTGGTGAACCACCAAAAAGACAAGCCTCGTTCCCTCACAGGTCCCCCATGAGCTGTCTTCCCCTGCTGTTTGACCAGAGAGACGGGTTGGGCTCTGGAGTCAGAAGCCGTCCGGAAAACGTCCCTCCTGCCAGCTCCCACATCGAGCTTCTGCTGGAGAAACATGGAAACGGGGAGATGGGAGTCAACAGTGAGTTCACGCCGTGATTAGGAGATGAAATCTGGTTTCAGACGCGTTGCGATGTGGACTAAAACCCTTCTGAACATAAAAAGGCGGAACTTTAAAGCGAGGAAGCGCAGAGGCTCAAGTTCCACCGAGTGAGACCGGTGTTGTGCGTAAAAGCGTTCCTCCTCTGGTTTTGTGTTTGTTTCCTGTTTCTGGTGACAGAAAACAACAACAAACCTGAACTCCTGCAGCTTTTTACTCCTGATGTTGGTTTGCTTCGCTTGGTTTTGGCTGCTAATCCATACTCTTCACCGTCTCCTCTCTCGGGACGCCATCAGCTGATGCCTGTTCTACGATCCCCTCTTTGCTTCTTTTCTCACACATGAAACAGCAAAAGGTGTAACGCAAACTCTTCCTACTCTTTTCCAGTCGTGGAGATGCTTCAGTCGCTCCACTCCCTACAGCAGGAGAACCAGCGGCTCCAGGACCAGATCCTCGGCCTGACGGCTAAGAAGGAGCGCCTGCAGCTGCTCAACACGGAGCTGGCTTCGCCCTTCCAGCCCCACGTTCAGTCAGCGTCCCACCACACGTCCGCCCCGATCAGCTTCCTGTCCTCCTCCCAAGGTTGGTTCTCTGACTGCTTTCAGGGCGATGGGACAGAAAGTCGTCGGCGTTTAATTTTAGACGTAATGAAGCCGTGACACTCGGGCTATTAATGCTCGAGATAAGGAACGAACCGGGAGAATTTCCAGATGGGGGGAGGGAATCTGATGCAGTGGCAGGAAGCTGTGATGCGTTAGAGGTGCGTGGGAGAAACCAAACTCGAGTAGCAAAACGAAAAGTTAGACGATGCGGTTTGGGGCTCGTTTTTCTCCTCGTGGGAGACGATGTCGTGATGCTTGGTGGTTTTCACCCGTCGTTCGCTCTCCTGTGTCCTCAGATGCCCTCGGCACCAATAAGAGCCCGCTCCCCAAAAGCTGCTTCCTGAACGACGTCTCCTTCGTTACCTCGTCAGAGGTGGGAAGCATGACTAGAATCCATGTTTGTGTTTAGTTTAGTGAAACTTGAGAAGTCAGAGAAATGACCGAAGGGTTTCATTTGGTGTCTTCTCTCCAGGAGCTTCACTCTGGAAGTCCGTCCCGCAGCAGCTCGTCGCTCTCCTTCCAGGGTACTCCTCCTCCCCAGCCGAGCCCCGCCTCCTTCGGCCAGCCCCTGCTGAACGGGCTGAATCGGGGAGCGACCGACGGTTTGGGGAGCGCCGGCTTTGCTGTGGTGGGTGGGCTCATGGCGTCCCTCGCAGGAAGTCCTCAGCTGAACATGAACGGCGTGATCCAGTCTCCCGCCCACAGCGCTCCGCAGCCGGGGCTCCCCACGCTGCGTCCCCAGCCGCCGCCGCTCAACCCTCAGATGCTGAATCAGAGCTTTCAGCTTCCCAAGAGCGCCAGCCCGTAAGTAGATCCATCAGGATGGTCTTGGTCTGATCCGGATCTTCACCAGGGTCACCGAGCTCTGGGTGGTTAAAACCCGGCATCTTCTCTGCAGGTCCTCTCTTCTGTCGGAGCAGCAGCAGCTCCAGCAGTTCCTCATCTCACAGAACTTCACGCCGGTAAAGGTCTCTCTGTCTAACGCTGTAATGAACACATGAATAAGGCAAATATGAAACAGGATTTCTGCTTGTGGACAGCTCAGTGAGCAGCTGGTTAGTTATTCTAGCTTTATTCTGATGAAGCCTGTTCCCGTCTCAGGCCCTGTCCACACGTAGCCAGGGATCTGCCAAAACGTAGATATTTTTCTACGTTTTGGCCTGTCATCCACACGAAAACGGATCTTTTTAAAAACTCCGGCCAAAGTGAAGATCTGCATTTTCTCCGTTTTGGGTGTCTGCGTGTGGACAGACAAAACCGGAGTTTTAAGGTCCGCAACGTCACTTTCCGCGACAAAAAAATGCTGACATCACGTGTGCGACCTGTGTTTACACTAGCCGGCATCATGGAAGCCCTCAGAGCTGCGCTCTGTCACTACCCGATCCATCAATTGTCCAAGCGCTTTTTGCTTGTTTGTTTTTGCAAGCGGAATTACTGCTCCTTGCGGAAGACCACAGACGAAGGACGAGGTTAAGAACGGGGGAAGTACTGCCGCCTACAGGTCTGGCATGTCCTTAACAACGTATTTATCCGGTTACGTGTGGACAGAGTTTTTTTTTTAAACGCGGTGGTGTGGATACAAGTTTTTGGAGGGGCGGATATTCGTTTTTAAAAAACCCCGGCTACGTGTGGACTAGGCCTGAGGCGTTTTGCTTTAGTTTACCTCTCATCGGGTCTGTTTGCTTCATTTAAATGAGTCTAGATGGATTCTGAGCTCTCGTTTAGCGTTTCTCACGTCGCAGCAGAGATTATTTTCATCTAGTCTTAACGTGATCGTTTGTTAGGAGACGAGAGCAGCCGTGTGGAGGTTTTTTACAGAGACGCCGTCACTCTTATTTGAATTGCAAACTGCTGAACGTCTGCAGAGCCTGGAACCAGCCAGGTGCCGCGACGCTAAATATAGAAACCAGTTTGTTTCCTGTTTGTGAACTTCAGGCGTTCTCCTGAGAATGCTGCAGTCAGACCCTTAGTTCTGGGACTTTGTCCTGCTTTTATTCCCGAGTCCACGAAAGGCTAAAAACCAGTTTGGGATGAGATCGTAAAGCTCGTGATTTTTTGTTTTTACTTTCCTGATTTGGTCCAAATCAGTTAAAGGGATAGTCTGGCTATTTTTGCTCTGGACAGCTTATCCTGCAGCTTCAGGAGTGAAGAGATAACATTTTGACATAAGTATTTACCTTTATCTGCATAAAGTGGTGAGAAAATCCCTGTAACTCCCCCCCTCCAGGAGCAGCAGGTGTTGGTTTGTCAGATGCTGCAGCATCAGAGACAGAGGGAGCTACAGCGCCTCACGCTGACCGGAGCGCTCGCCTCCACCCCAAACTCACCCATGATCGCTCAGTCTCCCAGCCTGTTGTCCTCGGCCACGGCCTCCCCCCTGCAGGGAGGCCAAGGAGGCGGCCTCTTCGGTCTGCAAGACAGCGTGCTCCACAAACCCGGGGTGAGTTATCCAGCAGGATTTTTGGTGTCTGTGTTCATCGGATTCAGTCGTCCAGCCTGGGTCTCTTTTACTCAGCCCTGGTCTTCTGGAGTCAGGGGTGCTTGTGCGCTAGGTACCAGATGTGTGGTAAAGCGGCAGGCACCCCGCTCCTGGGACGTCTCTTGTGAGATCATGTATCTGAAGGGGAGATGTGCTAATCCTGCGAAGGAGGCAGCCTTTGGAATGATTTTGGTTTAGCAGCTGTGCAAATACAAGAACAAAAATGTGTCAGCGCTGCATGAAGAGAGGTTTATAACTTAACCCAGTCTAAAATCTTCTAAAAATTAAAAAAAAATTTAAAAAAAAGCAGAGCAGAAAATTAACGCAAAAAACCCAGCTTGAATCCCGGACAAGCCCCAACTTGTTGAGAAGGACAATTTTTGAAAATGTGCAAAAAATGATTTAACAAAAGCAAAGTTAAAGTCCCACTAGTTGTCACACACACACTGGTGTGTGAAATTTGATCCATCCCTGAGCCACAAACACAGCCTCGCTCGGGAACCGTTTGATGTTTTAACCCCCAATTAGGGCTGGGCGATATGACGATTTTAGACCGTTTTACGATCTACACATCTGACGGTCTGTCATTTTTGAGAGACCTTTTTATCACGATTCACAGCTCTGCTGTTGAATTTCTGCCTTTGAATGAAAAGGGAACTTACCTCAGGCGAATGACACGCCTTTGTTTGACCCTTAACCAATCAGAGTGAGTCATAGTAATATATTAGTGCCCCGCTTGTTTTCACCTTCACCTGTGTGTGAACAAACTTGTCTTCGGCCGCGGCTGAGCAACAACGAGGTTTTCGTTCCGAAGAGGAACGCAGGGTTTCCTTAGCGCACGGCGCTAACAACTTAGTGACGTGACATGTCTCGGAGAAAGCGTAAAAACACGTTGGACGCTTCTTCTGAAGCAGGAAAATAACACCGCTTCTTAGGCAGAGCACGACGTCGCCTCGGCTCGTTCACCCTCTGCCGAGCCAGACTGAGCTCGGTCACTGGGTCTTTGGAGCTGCCCCGTGACTGCCTGATGGAAAACCAGCGGGTTTCATCAGACTCGTAATGTTTTTTTGTTTTTGCTGGGGACCCCCTGTATTTTACCGCTCCCTCCTGCAGTCTTCCCCTATTACAATTTAAAATGATTCTGTAAATCCGTGTGTGGCAGTGAGTGTCCTGTCACAATGTCCCGATTGATCATGCGCCCTGGCTACTTGGCCAAGGGGATGTCCCTTTGGCTGACTGGTTAGAGCATATGACTCTCACCCGGGAGTCTGGGGATCGAATCCCGCCCGGGCCCTCGTTTATCCACCTTGCCACACGTGTATCAATAGAAAAAATCTCTGCCTCTGCCAGCTGCAGTAAATGTAGTCTCCAAATAATAAGAGGTGCATTCATCTGTGTATCTCCTTTGATCCACATTAGTGATATTTTCAGCACCAGAACAGTGAAGCAAAGAAAGATTCCTGAGTTTGTTAGTAATTTTATTTATTAGGTGCATCTAACCTGTTCTATTTTTCTCTGAAATGAGATCAAATCAGTGCTTCTATGGGTTGTCTCCAATCTGCACTGGAAAACTTTACTTTATTTAGAGACTTGTTGCAGAAAATATTCAGAATGCGCAGTTGTTTGCTACCACAAGCGATCTCTGGTCCAGCCGCACATCAGAGCCGTATTTGAGCTTAACTATCCACTACATGAGCAACTGGGAGCTACATAGTATTTAGAACAAGTTAATGTTTGCACAATACGTTTGCAATTGACATGTTTGCACTTTAAATATGTTTACGATTTTAATTTATGTTAAGTTACTTGAAAAACGAGAAAAACTGATTTTTGTAATTGTTTCTCTCAGGGCTTTTATCATCTCTGGTGTGAGTTTAAAATATAAGTGTGTTAGCACTATGTTGATTATCCCCAATATGAATAAATGTTTATTTATTCAATGTTTTTCTTCTTTAATATGCAATTGAAGTTATGCTATTCATGGATAAAAAATCGTGATAAAATCAAAATTGTGGTAAAATATTGGAAAAATCGTGATAATCTATTTTTGCCATATCGCCCAGCCCTAACCCCAATGCTGAGTGTCAAGCGGGGAGGCGTTGGGTCCCATGTTTTTTCAAAGTCTTTGGTATGACCCGACCGGGATTCGAACCCTGATCTTCCAGTCCCAGGGCGGACACTGAGCTGGTCCAAACTCACCAATGAAACCCAAGTGAACATGAAGCTGTCTGGGATGGTGGTTGTTCTCACCTAAAGACACTTTGGCACCAAAACAGGTCCATCCGCGCACCAAAAACACGATCACATCTGCTTGTTTTTATTTTTAATTCATGTTTTTGTAAATGAAAGCCGAGTTTCTGATTCATCAGACGTGAGACTTTTGGATCCAGTCCAAACTGGTTGCATGAATTATTCAGCTGGTAGTTGAGAAGCGACTGGTGCCGTGACTTTTCCCAGAGTTTACACAGAACGATGCGATCTTTACTTTCAGGCTCTAGGAGAGAAAGGAGGAGACAAGAATGGCTGATGTTTCCTGGTGACTTCCTGTAGGCGCAGCTCAGATGAAGAAATCTGCAAAGTTCATGAAGTACTGAGGTCAACTCTTCCTCGTCTGGCATCTTCATCTGACAAACGTATATGAATGTAAAACAGGACGTGGCGGTGGAGCGTCTCTTTGTCTTTTTTTTTAAGAATAGAGTTTTTATTTTTATTTTTTTACGTTTTTTTTTCCTGGGCAGCTTTCAGAGAACATGAGTACGGTGGTCTCTCCTTAAATTGCACTAATTTAGCTCGACCAATGGGGCTGCTTCTGAAGCTCACCACTGCAGGAGGTGGGTGGGCTTTTATTTTGAAGTTTTTCCAGCACTGAGATCTCCTTCCACCATTCAAACCAGTGTTTCCAGTCAATCCGAGAGGAAAACAGACTTCTGCCGCTTGGAGCAACCTCAGCTGTCTTCCTTCAGACTCGGTCTTCCCGTTTGAGTTCCTCCCGGTTCCGTCCAGATCTTCGGTCTGTCGCAGGCACTTCCTGTTGTGTAAAGATGAATATAGTCATGTTGATGTGTGGTTAGTGGCATTTCCTCGTTAAGATAGTTATTACCTCAGACTCTCAGCCAGCTACCCTCCGTCGTGATCTTGTGTTACCGCGATAGCCTTCAGTGGATAGAAATACCCACCAAAAACTCTTGTAAGTGTAAAAAGTCGGCATGTCGTCAGCGGGTTTAAATCCACACCACCACCAGAGTTTCTACAGATCTTTATTTCCTTCCAGTTGCTGTGGAGATTAAGCAGATAAAACCAAACATTTGGAGAGCGTTTGAGAGAAAACCAGTTCTTTTTCTGAACGTCTTGCACTTTGCATGTTGACAGACGCGGTACTCCCTAAAGGACGTTGCGTAGGCAGGTTTATGATTTGTGAGGGTTTTTTTTTTTTTGCACCCTGTCCTGAAGTTTTCGTGTTACTTCCACAGATAACTAGATGTTTTTTTAGCAATACTGGATAGATGATGCCTTAATGATGGTAGATTCACAGAAAGGCCCACGGGTTCACGCTGTCCTCCTCTCGTTGTTGTTTTTTTTACCTCGGGTCTTCGACGGAGTCGTTTTCTTTTTAAATAAACTACTTTCTACTTTTGATAACTGACTTTAAAGACTTCAAACGGCTGAAGCGTGTGAATAAAACATACAACTGTTGGAACTTTTTTGTGTTTAAATGCAGAAACTCTTTAGGATTTTTTATGCTTCAGAAAACTGGAGAGTTGAGCTCAACTCTGTTTGTGGCAGGGGCGTGTCCAGGGAGTGGCCTGGGGTAGCACATGCCACCCTTGGAATCTGATTGGCCACCCCAGGTACCACCACACTCATTGTCCACAAAAGGCTTGGGGGTAAAACAAAAAAAGCATAACCATTGGTGCCACCCATGCACAAAGTTGTGCCTCACCTGGGCCACCCCATTTTAAAAGATCTGGACACGCCCCTGGTTTGTGATACGTAATGTGATGTTCTCAGCACTGACGGGACGGCGAAACTCCAGCATAGAGTCCAGCCTTCCTGGTTTTTCCAGAACGATTTCCCTCCAGCTCCTCGGCAGACCGTCTCCTTGGCCTTTTCCACACCTTTTCTCTCTTCCGTTTTGCAGTTTTGAACGTTATCTCGTGTGATGTTTAGTTTCTGTAGCAGCAGCAGCAGCTCACTAGTTACATACTGTAGCAGCGACGGAAGGAAAACGTCGATTTTATAAAGGTAATAGGTGTGTTATAAACTATAAAAAAGAAAGCGAGTCCAGCCACGAAGAGTGGAGCGAAGGATTTCTGAAGCCGTTTCTTTTGTCACGTTGCACTGGGGCTCCTGGAGCCCACATGTAAATTCCTTTTTAGGCCTTTTTTTTCCAGTTTAGTTCAAGTTGTAAACTTTAAAATGTGTAAAAACACACACTCATCGTTTTAAGCTTTGAGGTTTTTTGGGTAACCGCGATAATCCATGTTCTGAATGTCGTACTGTGTACCTTTTATGTTGCAGCATTTAAGCACCTGGCTCTAAACGAGGCTTCACCTGTCGGGATATGAAATGCATGAAATGCAGTGACGTCTCTCAAATAAATGGCTACGTACCAAGTAATAACTATGCATCATTTTAAATGCATCGTTCCCTGAAAAAGAAAATGAAACTAGCACTGAGTTATAAAGGAAAGCACGTTGTGGCTGTACAGTGTATTTGTTTGACAGAATTGAAATTCGACAATATTCAGATTAAATCCCTGTAAAGAATTTTGATATTTTTGTGTGTAAAATTAAAAGACAACTTTTTTGTCAATAAATGTATTTTGCTGAGTTGTCTCTTTGTGTGCACCACTGTCTAATCTATTCTCTCTTTTGTTTCATGTTATCTAAAAAGGACATACGACTTTTTATAATAGTTCTGTTTGGTCTATAAAAACATTTTTGAAGTTATTTGCACCGAGTCCCTCTCACACAAAGTGATTTTAGCAGTTTCATCATGGACAGTTTCGGTACCTTCCATAATGAGCCGTTTCAGGGCTCTGTCACTTTAAGAAAACAAGCTGGAGCTGGCCGCGCCCATCCATCACCTGCTCAAGCTGCTATTAGCTGAGAAGCTCCAATATCTGGGAGGGGCTTAGAGTACTAGTCTCTTGCATGTGGGAGGTGTTTCTAGTCTACTTTTCCTATTTGTGACATCACAAACGGGGACTTTTTGAAAAGGCTTGCTTTAGACACATAGTTTCTAAAATCTAACACTGACATAAAACAGATGGAGGGATTTTTTTTTCATGTTTAGGGTGTTTATAGAGGGAGAGGAGACCCACTCAACTCTTTAGTAATGGTTCCTAAAGCTTTATTGTGAATATGAGTGATTTGGACATGTTTCTTCAATCTTCATTTGTTGTTTTAATTATTGAATTTTATTTATCTTCAATTTTGCCCTTTAAACCATATATTTCATATCATTAAAAAGTAATTCATCTAATTAAAATGTTATCAAATTACATCACTAGTTGTGACCAAACATTTACTCAATTTTTCAGTTGCCTTTTAACCTAAATGTTTTTATTTGTATTTGGGTTTTATTTATTTATTTATTTGAGTAGTTTATACATTCATTGTGAAATCCAAATACATTAATGATCTTTCTGTTGAAAACAAAATACGGACCTTTTTTTAAAAGAAATGTAAGGTCTGAGTGTGTTTATTAGATGCAGTTTGGTATTTATTGGTCTTAAAACTAATAACTAACAATTTTATATCTGACTTGTTTGATTAGAACTTATAAACTTATGTTTGTAACATTTGTAATGAGATGTATTTATTTTATATTACCCATTAATAAATACATTTATTACAATTATTAAGTGCAATCCCTCTAAATCTACCGTGGATTTAGTGTCGCCCTGTGGCCGCCAGGGGGCGTATAATCTGATGATTGTAGTGCTGATAGCTAGCTCTAATATTTCCGGCTTTGCTAGTTTATTTAATCTTGTTAAACACGGATAATTAACATATATTTATTGAGTTTCAGTAGTTTGTATTGGTGAAGACGGTCTGGCTTCCTGTTATTTAGAGGAACAGCTGTTAACGCCAACTTGAAACCCCCCCCCCCCCCCCCCCAAAAAAAAAACATTTTTAAGTGTTAAGTCTTATTTTGAAGGAATCTACAGGAAGTGCTTAAGAGTAATATCTGGTATGGCTTTATGAATGCTGCCTGTAGTAATGTAGGCATATGTATGTATATATATGTATGTATATATATGTGTGTGTATATATATATGTGTGTGTGTGTATAAAATGTATATATATATCTACATATATATGTGTGTATATATATATGTGTGTGTGTGTATAAAATGTATATATATATATCTACATATATATATATATATATATATATATATATATATATATATATATATATATATATATATATATATATGTGTGTGTGTGTGTGTGTGTGTGTGTGTGTGTGTGTGTGTGTGTGTATATGGGGTTTGGCGCTCTCCAGTGGTGACTAGCTAGAATTACACTCTTATTCTGGTAAACCATTTAAAAGACAATATTTAGTATTTTAGCCTTTTCTCAAATAAACCGGAAAGAGAAAACTAATTTTTGCTTTTGTCCTCTTGGAAATTTTATTATTAAGGGGAAGAAGAAGGACAGGGAATAACATCTATAAATATACAAATGCCTTCAGAATAAAATCGCTCTAAACAGTCTTTCCCCCATGTTATTTAAGTCAAATACATTTAAAACCTCATTTATGTAAGTATAATAAACACGAAAAATGGTTGTACAACTTTGTGCTTCACCACTCACAACAAAATGTCAAAAATCCAGTGGTGCAAAATATATTTATTTATTCATGAGGAAAGAAGAAAACCAACAGGAGGCTCATCAGTTACTCACCCGCAGACGTGTATGGAGCCTAAGACTGTACTATGCTTAGATGACAAATCTATTAATAGAAAAAAGTAAATGTGTATTGTTTAATCGTAATGGATGTTTTGATAAACGTGTTTATTCAGATTAATAAAATATTTTAATGCAAATTCCTGTTTTTAAATGGCAAAATAGAAAATAAGTAAAATAACTAAATTCTAAAATTTCAAATGATGGTTTAAGAAAAACATTTCCAATTCACAATAATGCTTTAGAACCCTTCCGATAAGCTAGGTCGCAGCATGCTGAAGCACCCCAACATTTTATTTCACCGGTGAATTAAGACAAGACAAACAAGAAGTCTTTTACTTTGACAGTCACCGGTAAGAGATTAAATGATCTTTTATTTTGAATGTTGACCGTCAGCGAGAGTACCGTAAAGCTGCGTGTAGTCGCGCACGTCAAAATGGAGTATTTCTTCCGAAGTGGAGGCTCGCTCCCTGCCTTCGGAGGAGAGGGCAGAGCCGAAAGCATGGATCTCATCAGCAAGCCCAGAAGCAAGTCCCTCGTGTGGATTTACTTCGGTCTGAAGGCTGATGAAAACGGACAGCCTCTGAAAACGGATGAAGCGATTTGTCGTTTGTGTCGAAAGATAGTGCTGGCGAAAGGAGGGAACACCACCAATTTAAGAAGCCACCTGACACGTCGCCACCGTACAGATTTCTATGATGCTACTTCCTCTGCGTCTTCTGGTGCGTTGTTCAGCCCGGTTCTGTTTTACTCCGCGCTCTCTGCACGCGCACTGTTCCGCTGCGCGCTCTAAAAGAGCTCTAATTAAAGTTATTCTGATTCCTGCAGGGAAGATTCGTTCTGCAAAACGAGGAAGTCATCATAAATCTCGCTTTCTGGCCTAAATGCTTAATCAGAAGCACCAACCCACTGCTGGGTTCTCTGTGATGCTCGGAAAACTTGTTCCACACTCACGTTTGTTTATGCTTCTGATGCCACTGCCCAGAAAGGAGGAGTTACAGAATTAATGACGTCCTAAAAAAAAAGATCCTTTCTGCAGCAAGTTGGGTATCTAATTAAGGAGAATGCCTCTGCGAGTCAGGTAGAGCCTCTGAAAAGCTCACATCTGGTTTGGTTTCCTGTTGCACTTGCAGTTCTTAGGTAGACATCAGGGCAGGATTAAAATCTCCAGAGCCTTCCTGACCCCCGTAGACCACATACTGCACCTCAGAGGTGATTAAAACTATTCATGTTTTCACAAAACACTTCATATGTCCTAAATGGACCCAGGGTAGGAAGTACTTTAACAAATCGAGGAGGCACCATGAGAACCACACAGTTAGGACTTTTTGACTTTGTGGCACACAACGTTTGTTTGATGCCGAAATAACAGAAAACTGTCTTTGTCAACCAAAGCTGACCTCCATGGGATTTTTCTGTAGTTGATCACAGCGCCCCCTAGATAACTAACTTTCGATAACTTTAAAAAACATGGTCAGAAGAGCATTAAAGTTGGTCTGTGTCATCACACCACCAGTGTGGTAAAGATAGAGTATCCAATTGGTCAAAGTGTCTATTTATTGGATAGTATAAATAAACAGCATGGAGACATTTTAAGGCAAAACAAACCAGTTTCCGCTTTTTCAGACATGTTAATTGAAACTCGCTTTGGGAAGGTGGCATTTCTATTATGTTGACACTAGCAACTGGCAACCAACGCGGTCGCATAGTAGTGACGTAGGTCAACACACAGAAAACTAGACATACAGCAGAGACCGGAATACCAACCTTACTGTTTGGTATTTGGGTGATATAAACTAGCTCTTTCTATACAGCAAGGTTACCGTGTATTCTACACAATTGTCGTGATATTTTGCGTTATTGATTAAGTTATTTTGTCACGTGTGTGATGGAGTTCCCGCGGTGTTCTATCTGCTGAAGCTCTAGCTGCAGCTGCCCATAAGGAGCAGACACAAACATGGATCTCATCAGTAAAACCGGGGTTAAGTCCGCGGTGTGGATGTACTTCGGCTTGAAGGCAGATAAAAACGGAAAGCCAGTGAAAAATCAACCAGTCTGCCGTTTGTGTCGAAAAATAGTGCCCACAAAAGGCGGGAACACCACCAACTTAAGAGGTCATCTGACTCGTTCCCACCGAGCAGAGTTCAACGGTGACACCTCTTCTGTGACATTTGGACCTATACCTGAGAGTCAAGGTAGTTCGAAACCATTTCTGTTATTTATGACCAATCAGCGTCGTTTTAGTCCAAGCGTGTTTAGTTTCGCACAAAAGGACGCGGGAAATCGCGGCTGCAGATCGGAGTTCATCTGACTCCTGCAGGGAAGATTTGTCTTAATAAAAACACGTGACGCTGTCTTTAAAGTACGGTAATCACGTATTATTCAAGTCCCCGCGTTTTCTGGCGTAGATGGTTCACAGTAGAAGCCTGCATTCGACACAGGAAGTGATCTTGCACCAGGACTGCCTCACACGCACGCCGCGCGCACACACACGCATGTACATCTGTTCTGACACCAGAAATTCAACGCTTTCTGCTTTTCAAGTACTGGTACTTGAATGGTACATTTTAAAATAATTTAAGAGATAAAAACTACTTCAGTATTTTTAATTAACTTACAACTTTGAGTGCAAACCGTACACATTTAAATATTTATTTAAAAACTAAATAAAAATGTAAATAGTTGCCTGTCAGAGCGAAGTAAGTATAAGTAAGAGGTATAGAAAACATGGACAACTGAACTTAAGTCCCAGTGATTTATCCTTGGGCAAACTAACATGGTACCTGCAGTGTTGGTCTGTTCTCACCCCGTGGAAGATGGTTAAAGCTTTGCCTCCAGCTTCACTGGCTGTCAGTCAACTTCAGGGTTCATTTCAAGATCCTGGTTCTGGTCTATAGGGCCTTACATGGACAAGCACCATCTTACATTGGTGATCTTCTTAGTCCCTACACCCCCAGCAGGTCCCTGAGGTCCAGTGGCCAAAGCCTACTGGTTGTGCAGCACCAGACTAAAGGTCAAAGGCGACAGATCATTTGCTGCTGTGGCCCCCAGACTCTGGACCTCTCTCCCCCTGACCCTGAGATCAGTGGACTCAGTGGTCTCCTTTAAAAAGCAGCTGAAGACTCACTTGTTCAAGCTGGCTTTTGTATGACCTTCTTCACCACTCTCTCTTTATTCTGTTCTCCCCACCACCTTCCTCAGGATCCACTGATTTCCCTCTTTCCTGTTCACTCTCTCTCTTTCTTAACATTTTTTAATCACACTTGTCTATTTTTTGCCCATTTTAAATATATTTTTAAACATTTTCTAAATGCACCCTGCTTTTTTATATTTTTATTATTTTTAGTTGGATCATAATGCTTAAGAGACTCCTGATTTGAGGAGTCTTACGTTTTAAAATGCCGTTATCAGCAGTGAAATAATTTCAGACAGATGTATGACAAATGATGAACACTTGTCAAACATGTAGTTGGTTAAAACTGCTGGATTGTTGCTCATACGGTCAAATATGTAATGAGACTGTAACATAGACTCAACAAAACTATCAGTTTTTCAGACATTTTAGTTGTACTTGAAAGAAATTTGCTTTGGAAGATGCGTATCTCTTGTGTTGACACTAGCAACTGGCAACCCGTGCAGTCGCATAGTAGTGACGTCAGTCAACAAACACGCAAAAGTTAAAGCAACACAGCAGACAGACCGGAATGTCAACCGTAGGCTTTGGTATTTGTGCTTCAGGACAACTTTGTCTAAGCTAGCAGGTTACTGTATATTCCACACAATCCGAGTGAGTTTCGTGCGACTCTTGGTGAAGTTGTTTTAGTCACGTGTTTGATGAGTCGCTGCGGCGCGTGTTCTGTCTGCTGAAGCTCCAGAGGCGGCTGGCTGAGGGCAGCAGACACAAACATGGATCTCGTTAGCAAACCCGGAGCCAAGTCCGCCGTGTGGATGTACTTCGGCTTGAAGGCGGATGAAAACGGGCAGCCGGTGAAAAACAACAAAGCCATTTGTCGTTTGTGTCGAAAAATAGTGTCGACAAAAGGAGGGAACACCACCAACTTAAGAAGCCACCTGATTCACTACCACCGTACGGAGTTCAGCGACGCGACTTCAGCTGGGACTTCTGGAGTTTGGTACGAGACTCAAGGTAGTTATCAACCCAGTTGTGTTGTTTTATTGACAACTGGCTTCGTTTTAACAACGAACTGTTGTTTTGTTTCGTACAAATGGACGCGGGAAAGCGCATCTGCGGAGAGAGTGGAGTAAAAGTAGTCCCGAGTCCTGCAGAGAGTACTAAAGCAGTTCTGACGTAGTCATGCACGTTTTTAGGATGCCCCACTATAACGTGTGATAGTGACGGGAATTCCGGCTCTTTTTAGAGAGCCGGTTCTTTTGGCTCAGCTCACCAAAAAGAGCCGGCTCTTTCGGCTCCTCAGATTTTCTGTTGCGTAGAGTATATTTTTCACCAAAAATAATGTACAACTATATGTAAAATTATTTACTAATGTAAAAAAATGCAATATATCAAACAATTATCATTTATATGGATTTATTAACTGAACAGTTTAAGAAATCTCCACTTTCCGACTGCTGTCGCTCATTTTCCCACCGTCTTCGTCGCACTCTCCTCTAGAGGTTGTATGAACTAGTCGACTAGTCGACTTCACTGCTCTGTAGTGATTTTTTTATGACTGTCATCGACTAGTCGCTGTCACGTGATAATGACCGGCAAGATGCAGTCCTCGGAAAAGACAGGTGACGAGCCCCTGCGCGTCGGGAGGAGACGCGCTGTGTCAGAGCGTCGGTACTGACGCCCGCCGTAAAACGGACATTTAACCAAATTGAGACCTTTACCCTCTTGCAATTTAACCTTCCCCTCACCCCCATCCTAACCTTAACCAGCTTGCGCATACAAAGCTCTGATTGTTGACGCGCTCCAGACATCTGCGTCCTGAGCACGGCCACAAGTAACATCAAATTAGGTGTCGCCACCTCAAAAACAAATTTAACACGCGATCGTTCATGTCAGCTCATTTCCTTTTATGTTTTCTGTCTTTTATTTGTGCCTGATGCGTTTCGCTGCTGTGGAGCGGGGCACATCACCTTGTCCTCCGGTGTCGCACCTCACCGGTGCGGCCGGCGTGCACCCAATGACGAGCCGGCTTCCGTCATTCACTTCATAGAGCCGGCTCTTAGCGCCGGTTCGTTCGCGACCGACACATCACTAACGCGTGATAAATGCCAGAGGGAACTAAACTGTTTTGGTCCCTTTTTGAAGAAATGCTTAGTAATGGAAGCATCTTCCACTGCTTGGTGATCGTTGTTTACCGTAATGGTGTGGCGATAATGATTAGCTACTTGTTTATTAAATTATCAAAAAGATGTGATGTTCCATATAAATATGAAATACCAATCTGATTGGTCTCTGAAGACTTTATTTTCTTTGACTCATTCAGGAAACAGACTACACACTTAAAGAGCAAGTCAACCCCTACCAGATTCTAACTCCACTCCCACTTCATGTTTGAAAAATGCAACAAATGCTGTTGCCTGGCAGACCGAGAGGGCGGAGCTGCTAACAAATACACACACACACAGGCTCACGACAGCATTGTGACATCATAATGTACCAGTTTACATCATAGCATACCTCTTAGCCAATAGCAGTGGCAGATTTAAATTAAAATACAGTGCAGAGTTTTTACCTGACGACGGCACAACACTGCCAGTTTTAGGCAGAATATTTAAAATTTTAACTGAGATGCACTGAAGTACCAAATTATTGACCACACATGTCTGCAGCACGATTAGACACTCGTTTTTTTAGTTTATCAGCAAAATAAAGTTTATTTGGGGGTGAATTGCTCTTTAAAGAGCAATTCACCCCCTACCAGAGTCTAACTCCACTCCCACTTCATGTTTGAAAAATGCAACACATGCTGTTGCCTGGCAGACCGAGAGGGCGGAGCCGCTAACAAATACACACACACACAGGCTCACAACGACATTGTGACATCATAATGTACCAGTTTACATCATAGCATACTTCTTAGCCAATAGCGGTGGCAGATTTAAATTCAAATACAGTGCAGAGTTTTTACCTGACAACGGCACAACACTGCCAGTTTTAGGCAGAATATTTAAATTTTAACTAAGATGCACTGAAGTGCCAAATTATTGACGACACGTGTCTGCAGCACGATTAGACACTCGTTTATTTAGTTTATCAGCAAAAAAAAGTTTATTTGGGGGTGACTTGCTCTTTAACATGAATCCAGAGTCCAGCATTTAGTTTATAAAATGATTTTAATTTTCTTTTCCTAAAATAAATGATTGTATGGATGAAATGATGGTTGTACAGGATGACAGATGATGAATGAAATGATAGAATGTGACCTAGATGTTTTAGCAAAACCTTACAAGTATCTGAGAGAGATTGCGGCGTATGGGTTGTAAAATCAGTGTGGCTGTATGTTTTGATAAGCTAGAGATTTGATTATAAAACCGTCCGACTCAGTCGTTCAGAGTCTACGCACCCTGTTCTGTTTGGTTAGACCAATTGTTGCAGGTTTTTGGCAAACATCAGGGCAGGATTAATATCTCCAGAGCCTCCCTGGCCACGGACAGCTGCATGCTACACCATCGGGAATTAATTTGAGCTTTTAATCATTAAGAACATTCACCTTTCAGAGGCAATTAATCTTTTGACAAAACATTTAAAGGTGGGATTCACTCATTTAATCTGGGGATGCACAGTGTATCTGCGTCAGTATTGGTATCGTTGGTGTTAGTCATGTTTTAACTAGGGAAACAGACTACACACTAGGGCACCGATATGATGCCAATACCAGTATCGGTAAAAGTTAACTGATACCAGGAACCAATACCAATGCAGTTGCTTGAAAATGGCTTCACTGTAACTGGTCATTTCTGTTCACCTAATATTTTAGTTTTGTGATGATTTCCATTCATATATTTTACTTTTTATCTACCTCACAGTCTTTTCCTGTTGAAAGCAGAGAAGAAAATAAAATCTGTAGTCCAAATCATTGCCTTTTTTTGTATGGTAGAAGTATCGGTATTGGTAATTGGTATCGGCGAGTACTCAGATCCAAGTATCGGTTTGGAAAAAAGTGGTATCGTTGCATCCCTAGTTTTAACGTATCGTATCGGTCCAATAATTAAAACTGGGCTGATATTAGCAACTGTTTGTGTAAATGTTTCAGAGGGTGAGGGGGTTGATGATGTGTAGGGCTGCAACTAACGACTATTTCAATAGTCGACTAGTCGCAGTCTATTGAAACAATTAGTCAACTAATTAAAAAATTATTAAATTTTTCTTAAATTTAGCAAGAAATTGTGTTAATTATGTGAAAAATGATAATAAACACAAGGAAGATGGGTACTTCAATGGAAAATGAATATTTTATTGAACTTTGCTGCTGATAGGCCGATTCATACTAAAAGTAAATAAAAACGCCGTCTAACACCAATTGGGCACAGCGCTCAGTCAGTACAGACATAAATGCATAAATAAAACTAAAATACTTTTGTCAGGCACAGTCGGGCATAACATTAAAGGGGCATTATGGAAGTTTGACAGCCAAAACATGTATAGAATTAATAAATTTCTTCTTCATACATTCTCCTGCAATGCCCTGGTCCTGTAGAATGAGCCCTGGCATTTTTACTGTGATTGCCTGTTTTTCTGTAAAATCACAGAAAAAGAGAGATGCTCGGGTCGAGCAGGCTGCTTCATGCGCGTTCACGCTCAGGCATAGCCCGTAGCATTTGCTATCCGTAGCTTTAGCAGCAGAGAGAGGCAGTGCCACTTTGTCGCTGTTCCTAACGCCTAGTGACAAAGCTAGCTACATTTCTGAGGACCCTTAGCTACTTTCTGTAGAACGTTCTTCTAGATATTTCCTGCAAATTAGCAACAAAATAGCCATTTTTGCTCCAAACCGTTCTTTGGTTTGACGTTGTTTCAGCTGTCATCAAGGATATAAAAGTTACAGATACTTTGAATGCTACTGGTGTGTAGCTCACCTTGTAAGATGTCTGACTCCCATGCAGAAGACCTGGGTTTGATTCTGGATGTGAACATAGTTTAGTTAGAGTTTCTTTTTTACATTAATGATATATTTTTTTACAGTAAGACGCCCACATTTTCATTTGAGACTCGCCGAACGGCATTGAATTCACAGATAAAAAAGATGTGGGTTCAACTTTCATTTTGGAACAATTTTTCAAGCAAGGGAAGGGAATGATCTGAGCATGCAGGAGGACTGACCCATCATAAACCTTTGTCGGCTGTGCTGAAGAGAAAGGTACAGAACCAAATTATTTAATTAATTAGCTGCGCGTTCTCCTGTCCTCTGTCCTCCGGGCCACACACACACACACACACACGACTGTCTCAGCTGTTATTTTTGTTAAAGAGTGTGCACGTACAGCATAAGCGCCTCGTGCACGAGCCTACTATTGAAGCTGCCGTTACGCTTTTGGCCTGAGGGGGCAATCGCGAGCATAAAAATTCAAAACTCCGTAAAGTCCCTTTAAAAGTTACATGTTATGAAATGACTTTTTTTTTAAAGTCCCATACTCATCACACGTTGATCTATGTGAAGCACTTTGTGATTTTCTGTTTGTGATGAGTGCCATATAGATAAAATGTACTTACACTGGTGAAATTCATCTCCGCCTTAGGCCCGTCCTCGTGGGGAGCGGTGAGCTGCAGCTGTGGCAGTGCTCGGGAACTATTTGGTGGTTTAACCCCCAATCCAACCCCGACGCCCACACAGTAAAAACATGCAAATGACGACTTTGAAGGGTTGGATTTAAAATGACAACTTTAGTCGTCACTGGCGGTGAATGAGTTAATCACCAGATGGTTTTGTGTTTTATCGTCGTCTTCCTCCGCTTATCCGGGTCCGGGTCGCGGGGGCAGCATCCCAACCAGGGAGCTCCAGGCCGTCCTCTCCCCGGCCTTGTCCACCAGCTCCTCCGGCAGGACCCCAAGGCGTTCCCGGACCAGATTGGAGATATAACCTCTCCAACGTGTCCTGGGTCGACCCGGGGGCCTTCTGCTGGCAGGACATGCCCGAAACACCTCCCCGGGGAGGCGTCCAGGAGGCATCCTGACCAGAT